AAGCTGTCTCTGAGAGCCTTTTCTGAACCTCCACTGTCCCCTACAAGGCAGAAATGAAAAAAAAAAAAAAATATGTTTTTCGCACTTGCGTCTTCTGGCGTTTGGTAATATCACTAGTTTGTTACGCGTAGTCGTGACGTACTTCCCGAGGCCAGATTTCGCCGAGTGGGACACTCGGCGAACCTTTTAATTTCTCTAGGGCGACATACACTTCTTCCGCATCTCCGTGGAAAAGCGCTCGGACGCACGTGTGATGCAAGCAACCGTAGCCCAGATGTGGCGTCGCATCACGACATTCCTCTGAACGAAGGCAGACCGACGGCTCCCGTTGAAGAGCGAGAGAGATGTGATTCTTAAGTGAAAAGATGATAAAACTGGGCCCCGCAACTGTCTGCATCATAGTGCGACACCTCACCAGTAGCTAACGAGGGACGGGGGTAAGGAGGGATTAAAAGGATAGGATTAAAAGATATAGAGATATAGGGAGCGGAAGGAGAGAGCGTGGCGCAGGGACAGCGACACCCAGAAGCAAGGAGAAGATAAAAAAAAAAAAAAGATGGACACGGTCTCAGGAGTCCGAGGACGGGCACCACTCAGCGAGAGCTCTTGTCGGCTTCGGGAGATGGCGTAGGGCGAGCCAGTCGGCCAGAGCTGCGCTGTCGTCGGAGATCGCGGGGGCACAACCGGTCGGCACGAAATCCAGCGAACGAGACACGTTGAAGAGCGCGCGTTTGCACTGACACTGAATGAAGGAGGCGTTGGCCAGACAAACCTCGCCATCACCATTCTATGGGTGGCTCCGATCTCTTGATGAGGCAGTCTGTGCATGAACTCGAACACGAGGCGACGGAGACTCATAGGCCCCTGTAGCCGGGGAAGGTGGGATGGGTTGGGGATTTAAACTTTTGCCCCTAGATTTTTTTACTTTTCCTTGCGTATATGTGCACACATGAAAACGGCCGCAGCACATAGAAAGTATGGCCGAACAAAATTTCTGGCTACGCCAATGTAAGGCTCAACTTTTTTTCTGTCGTCACACCTTGTAGCGACGGGCAGTGCGCATATGAACCTATGCGTAGATTTTTTTTTTATTTAGAGGTTCACCTGATGCACTTCATGCACCAAAATGCATGTCTAGAACCAATCGTAAATGCTGAGGCCTTATCAGCCACGATGAGCTACAGCGGCGTAGCCAAGAGAAGGGTGCAGGTCAAAATGGGGGTGTGTTGAAATATTCGATTTTCCTTGCATATTATACACGCACACATGCAAGCACACACACGAACAATCATAAAGTATGGTTGCAGCCCCCACCCTCTCCACGAAAAAAAAAATCGCAGGATATCCACGGGGTGAATGATGACGAGATGGCGAAGCTCCGGAGGGAATCAACGGTAAACCGTGAATCTACCGTATTTAGTTCGTGCTCCTTACCGGGCTGCAGAAATCAGGTGCCTTCCTCTTCTAACAACTACCACAACCACCATCCGACGACTCCGAGCGCGCGTCAACAGCGAGCGAATTTTATTACAACGCTCCCCCTGGCGTACATCACCGAACTATTGCCTTCAACCAATGACACGCGCCATATGTGAGATCATCCATATTATAACATCTCTCATCTTTCATCAACTACTAGTACCGCCATCTAGTTTTAAATTTATCAACTATATAAACATCATCAACCTACAAGTCGGTTCGTCAACCCGTCCGTCCTCGCGACCATACATGCGTCCGTCCGTGAATGCGTCCTCCATATGTCTGTCTGTTCGTGCGTCCATCTGTCCGTACGTCCGCGCGTCTATCTATCTGTCCGCCTGTCCGTCCGTCCGTGCTTCTAGAGAACACTCCAAGTACCGCCATCTCCCATCCCCTGTGGCACATACCCGCTCTAAAGCGGTTATGTGCCACCGGTGGCTAGGTACTACTCCATACATACAAGGGATGGACAGGCACAAGCCTTAAGGAGCTTCGCCCCTAAAAAAAAAATCTGGCTACTTACTTCTCTGAGGCTGTCAAGGGAATTCAAAGTGGGCTAGTTGGGATAGGTGAGCAGAAAAGTTGGATCTCACTCAGACTCACTCAAGATATATAAGACTATAAGACGTATATATATCTTGAGTGAGACTCAGACTCACTCAAGATATATATACGCGCCAGCTATTTTGGCACCATTTCAAAAGTATTTGAAAAAAAAAAGTGCTGATTTTCTGCATTGAAAACAGTGAAACGGCAGAATATTTTTGAGAGAACAAATTTTTTTGGTCACGTGGCTGCCTTCTGAACTTTCCGGAGTGTCATTTGGGTGTTGTTTGTGAAAAAGTTTATTTTAAAAGAACTGCTCCTTTCTTTCTATACCAAACTTTATCTACATGCAAGGTGTTTGAAGCTCAGTAATATTACTGGAATTTTTTTTTCTTTTTGGCACACACGCCTCCAAGAGTATAGCCAAAATGTGTTACGTTTGCATTTTTTATTGCAGCTCTGCAGATTGAATGAATATCTGAGTAGTGAATACTTAATCCACAGAAGATACATTTTGAGGAAAAAATATTTTGACCTCTGAATCTGCTAAACTTTAAGAGAAAAATTCAGATATTTCATAAAATCGTCAATTTTGTCTATATTGAGACGCAATTTGCACCATGTGGTGGTCCAATTAAAAATCATCTGTATACTTAAATGGAAGGCAAATAAACAGTTGTTTTCATGTGGAAAATCTTATCATTACATTTTTTGTTTTAAGGGAGAATAATTTTTAACATTTCCATTGACGGCGATGGGGAATTTCAAGGCGGCAGCAGTTATATGACCGAATGGGAAGATATATGCGCCGCGCGCGTCCCATTTTCGGAGTCTGGCTGGCTACAAACTGCATGCGGGGTTTATTGTGCAGTTCGCGCGTTTCGGTTACGCACTAAGATGTGCTTATTGGCGCTCGCGCGCGAATGGTGGAGTCCCTATACACCTTTTCACAGGAAGGAAAAAAAAAAAAACACCGCCAGATGGGCTGTGCACGGGAGTACAAAGGCTAAGGGCGCAGCGTTGTCAGTGCATTTTCGAGGGGACGCGCCAATTCGCACAGCCCAAGGAGGGCTATGGCGGCGCCCAGGGAGGCGTTTATGAAAAGGTGAATACATCGATTTTTCAGTGGCTCGCGGAACCCCGAGGAGGGGCCTGCGAAACCCTTAGGTTTCGTGGAATTCACTTTGAGAAACCCTGTGCCATGGGGAGTTGTGAGAAGCATTCTTGATCAAAAAGAAAGTATCCCATCGCAGCGATGACCCTTTCTTAGTGCGAAGTTCTGAAATTATATCTTCGTTGAAAGAAAAAACTTGTCATCGGAGTCTACGGCCTCTTCAATTGATGTGGAAGAGTTTTTTTTTTTTTTTACTAAATTCCATGTTGCGCCCTGTGATGCGGTCAGGTATGCAATTGATGACTTTGAAGAAATTTTCAATATATTTACCGTATTTCCACTAATAGCTTTACCGAACGTCCTACCTTGATTGAATAGTAATCCGCCACCAGTGTAGTATCAATGACCAGAAAGCCGGAATTTTCATCGATTCCGCTGTCCCGCCAGTCCTCAGCGACACATTCCTGGCAGCGTTCGACCAGAGCCTCGCCGCACGCGATAGGAGCAAACAAACTGCTAGCAAACTGCTAGATAGTTGCTTGAAACATTGTTTATCGTATTCTTTTATCTATCTATGTGGCCATCGATTATTATGGAAAGATTGGCAGGCAGGCTATTATGTAGACAGGCAGACAGACAGACAGATTCGTTCAGTGCGTCTTCGACTGGCAAGCAGGCTATTATGTAGACAACCACAGAGACAGACAAACAGACAGACACACAGATAGATAGATAGATTAGATAGATAGATAGATAGATAGATAGATAGATAGATAGATAGATAGATAGATAGATTCGTTCAGTGCGTCTTCGCCGTCTTCCGAAGCCACGAACTCCATTCGGTGCTGCACAGAATAGAGAGGAGGATGCCAGCGCTCAATGTGGCCACGACGCCGCAAGCACTTGTTTTCTCAGCTGGCGAGGCACACGCATATGCTTGCGACGTCTAATGAGAACCACGACGCCAATTTTCGGTTGGAGAGTAAGGAGGGATGGGAGAAGGAAATCCGACGGAGCTGTTGATCGTATGGTGGATGCATTCTTGCACGCTTGCCGCGGCCGCCTTTCGAAAGTTCGGAGGTTGATGACCGGCGGCGTATTGAAGCAGTTCAGACTGATTAATTAGACTCTGAAGAATATATTGTACATTTCGACTGTCAAAATGGTTGGTTTGGCGCGTTGGCGATTCATAATGGTTCACGATTCGTGATGATGACGTAAACAATGACAGCGAAGACGCGGACAAGCGCTAGCTATCAACTGAAAGTTTAATCGGAAAGCTGTGAGAACAGTCTTTAAGTATCGTATGTGCTTACGAAATTTCGGGTAAAATTTCACAATCCCGAAGACACCACTCTTACCACGAGACGACGCGCGAAAAAAAAAAAAAAAAAACGCTCGAAAAGAAAATGCGCGCGGAGACGCCACCTTGACATACCCGCATCAAATACCGTGACGTCATTGCTTTTGAAAGCGCCTACCTAGTCCTACGTAGCTTCAAATAAAAATGAAGGACGTTATAATCTGTGGATGCCGTGAGCCTAGCACCCAAATTTTCAGAAAATTTCATCGAGCCAACGTCGCAAAAGTCAGAGAGATGCGTTTTAAAATTTCTGACGTCACGCGCGTCGATTTCGGCGCGAAATTTAAAGAAATGAGACTTCACTGACTTTCTCCGCTAATAATGAACTGATGACAGTAAAACTTGTGGCGTTGGAGTTCCCCGAGTGCTGTTTATCAATTCAAAGCAATCGTTGTTTCTCTTTAGTGTCCCTCTTTATCGATCTTTGTCAGTTTATCAAGTTAAACCAATCATTGTTCCCTCTACATCGATCTTTGTTCATCTTGCTTATCGCAGGCGAGGACGTGGCCTACCGGCGCCGGACCGAGGCCTTGGAGGATGTTTCCCTCACACTCACCAAGAGGCTCAGCTTCATCAACGGTAAACGCGCGCGCGGACAAACTACGTGCGGCTACCAGTGTCGTCAATACGACACTGGTAGCCGACAATACGTTCCACTGACCGGCGACAGTTGTGACGTCACTCGCTCGTTGAACGTGCGAAACCGAGTGGCTTGAGCAGAAATTTCGATCCAAGTACAAGAGAAAGTAACTTCAAAAAAAGTTGGGGCAGCTACGCTCTAGCGATTCGAAAACTGGGGAAACAGCGGAGCTAGTGGCCTTCCGTAGCACGTTTGCAAGCACCAGCTCTCCTCCTTTGAACTATTCTACACTTTCCCTCCTCCCCATCCTCATGTCACCGTTCCTCACCCTCACTTTTCGAGTATGTACTCGCTATACTATGCCTGACATGACTTAACTTCTTCAGCGTCACTTCCCTTTAGCACCTCTTCACGCACACAGATACATAGCTCTGCTGTACCTATCCCTTTCTCCTTTTCACCCTCACTTTCATTTCCCAACACCTGCAACACTATACTTCACATGGTTATGCTATTCCCTCTTCCCTTACATTATTTCTTACTGTCACTTTTTTTCGAATCCCTTTGATATACTATATCATACACTGTTATGCTTTACTCCCAAGCACCTCCTCCTTTCTATCTTTCTCACCCTCTCATCACTTCCTCTCAATCATTTCTCTTTCCCGCTCCCTTGCTATACTATACTAAACATTTACTCTCCCCTACCTCTCCTGCTGTTGAATTGCACAGCCAAACATGGTTTCCTCCTCTCTTAGCATCGTTCTTCCCCATGTTGCCCATCCTGTTGTGTGCGGTCGACAAACTTCGCTACTCCAAGCTTGAACAGCTCCACTGTAAAAAATAGAACAAAACTTGAGAGACAAGTGGTTTGAATGAATAATTGCACTTATAACAGCTGACGGCCATATTGGCCATTACTGGCCTACCTTAGCTTTCATTTAGCCAATTCCTGCCAGCACCAGCCAATATTAGCCAGTGTTGGTTGTATACGCGTAAACATGGTAAATTTCACACATTGCCCGAATGATTTGATCCCCAGTGGCAGAAAGATTGATTTCTGCAAACAGACATAGGCGGACATAGGCATTTCTGCATTTGACTGTTCGAAAAGGGACTTGCCATTTGACTGATTTTTTTCCCACAAATGTTTCCTCACACACTCTTGATGTGTGTGTCTTCTCAATAATGCCAGTTTGTCACTTATTCTGCATTTCAGAGGATAAGCGCGGCTCTTCGACAGTGGAACTAGTCAAGAGGGAAGGATCAACATTGGGCCTCATACTATCCGGTCAGTGTTCCAACATGTTGTATGGCGTGTGTCTTTTAGTCTGTGAGGTAAAGGGCTTGTTGTCAGTATCGCTCGGTCATTTTTCTAGCAAAGCCCAACTGAAGTTGAGTGATGCTGTAGACGTTTACTAGCAGCGTAGTACAATGTTGACCATAACGAAATTTTTTCTAAAATTTAGTCACGCTCAATGACTTTCAATAACTTGCAAATTACTGAAGTAAACGTTTCTCCAGATACTGGTATTCTCTAAATGAATTTATTGTTTGCCAGGGTAACCGTTCTGTATTGCGGCCCCTCCAATCATGGCCGTTGAGTTTCAGCTCATATTGAGCGTGACTACCTGATCATATATATATTAAGGAAGAAATTGTTTTCTAAGGCAACAATTACACTGAATCTGAGGAAAGTAGTAACACTATGTTCAAGTGTATATGACTGTAGGAAGCCGATTTTCTTTTTTCAGGACAAGTTTTTGTTTTACCCGCTGATATTCCACAATGTAACTGACGTAATGCTGTAAATGTACTTGATGAAAAAAATGATTCGGCAACCAAGCATTCTTCAAGTGAGTGTGCAAACTCTTTTGAAACGTCTCGTGTGCCATATCATTAACTTTGCATGTTTCGGCAAGATTCTTGCGAAAACATATGAAAAACATTTGGTAAATATACAGAAGACATATGAATTCTGTATGAAAAGATATGGAATTGTTGACATGGCTTACGGAACGTTTGAGCAGGAAAGTATTAAAGTATTATTTAACCAGAACAAACTGATCTGTTATTCCTTGTTTAGAGATGGTTGAAAGCAATTGTTTTCTAGAACTATGTTAAAAACACAAATGCAGGTGGGATTGATAAAGGCAGCCGTCCAAAAGTCGAGTCTCTCCGGCCGGGCAGCATAGCACACAGGTAAGAAAACACACTGCTACACGCTTATAGGGATTGCAATCAAAAGAGTTCCAGAAGAATTCACAAGAATATTTCAAAACAATCGAGCTGCCCACAAACGTGCACATTACTCTAACCAATATCACAAAAGAATCTATGTGAAATGCAGATTAATCAATTCTCACACAATCATGCCCAAGGCACAAAAAATGAGTATTATTTTAAATAACCAGTGAACGCACATTTATCAGACCTAATTTCTAAATAAATTTTTTCTGTACCTCTCTTCATTATGTAGTAACATTATTACTTGCCTTCAATATGACTGATGTCCTCAAACCATTTCTTTCAGGTAAAAACTAAATACTGCGCTGCTGCTACTACGCTGGATAGCTATATTTGTTGAAGGACAAAATAGAAAACAAAAACAAAACGCTCGACTTACTAAAGTATTGCAATAGGACCAGTACATATTGAAAAGTGCTTTCATTGCGCAATATGTACAGGCAGCATTAGTCTATACATACTTCATGGGCACAATACGAGTGTACACAAAGTATAGACCACATAAATCCAGCACTCCTGTATAGTTTTGGTAAATAACCAAAACACAAAGCTGGCCAAACTATGAACCTTTCTTATCTATCCCCTTATGAACTTGTTTGTGAGAGAAGCCATGGGATAGACATAAACATTAAGCATGTACGCAGAGCAGGAATCGTGCAGATTTGGTAGTTTTTGCATAACCTTCACACGCGCAAATGAAGCTGACCAACTGTCTTGTATCCTGCCGTGGTCCTCCTGGTGCGCAGATGCGATGCCCTGGCCGTCGGAGACCACATCGTAGCTGTGAACGGTATCCGGACCAGCAAGCTGAAGCACGATGAAATTGTCAACTTGCTCAAGAATGCTGGCGACAAGGTTGTGCTTGACGTTGAGTATGAGATTCCGAGCACAGGTGGGTACATAAAGCGCCTTCTTTACACCAATCAATGCACATCACCTGCCTGACGTATATGAACTTTTAACAACACGTACACATACTCGGGGGGTTTTTTCTTTTGTCCCACAACTAAAATCATACATGTTGCGCGCCTTTCCTAGCATTACCACAGTGCTCTTAGCACTTCCAGGTTACAAATTGTATGCATACGCTATTGTTGGAGCTGGTGCCAACACCTCGACGAGCAGACTTGTCTTCTCTGTTGGAGCCTTGAGGAAGACAAGTCAGCTTGTTGGAAGGGTGGTTTCTCGTTTCAAGGACTTTTTTTGGTCGCTTCCCAAGATTCCATCTTCTTCTGAAACGCTACCTTATTTTGATGTGTGCGACCAGCATGACCAAACTTTTGACAGGAAAGTGGCAAGCTTTCAACGAAATAAGTGCAAGCTACCGATATGATAATTATAACTATAGGTCAAAATGACTCCCCAAGGTACACAAGCCACTGCACGTCCTGTCCACTTGCTCGCCTCTTACGTGTACATTTTTTTACCTCTGCCTTCGAAGCGTTTTGAACACAAACTGAATCGGCCATCTTTGTTACGCTTCAATTCAGTTCAGTTTCTGTCACACGGCTAACATAACCCTTTGGTGCTTACTTCATCTGCCACAGCTGCAGAGATGTCGATGTGCGTCTGTCCCAAGGTGATCCAAGTCAAGCTTGAGAAGGAGAATGGCAGCTTCGGATTCCTCATCCGCGGCGGCACCTGTCCGGAGAAACTCAAGTGCCGTCCTTTGACAATCACTCACGTGAGGCCAGGAGGTCCCGCGGACAGGTCAGCCACACTTGAATCTCGAAGGGAACGGGCGAATGCACTTTGGATGAGCCCAGCGTTTGTCTACGTAGCGCACTCAAACGTTATTTTAACAGTTTTATCTTACACGGAAATAAGTTCGTCATATCCGAAAATTCATTTTAAAGGTGTATTCCCAACGCTGTGTCTATTGTAAGACTATTTTTCATTTACTTCTTTATAACCAACATTTTGTTATATCAAAGTGCGAGTTGGTTTAGCGAGGTTCTGCGCAGACCTCGATATAACAAACATTGATATCATCATCATGATCATCAGCCTGACTACGTCCACTGCAGGACAAAGGCCTCTCCCATGTTCCGCCAGTTAACCCGGTCCTGTGCTTGCTGCTGCCAATTTATACCCGCAAACTTCTTAATCTCGTCTGCCCACCTAACCTTCTGTCTCCCCCTAACCCGCTTCCCTTCTCTGGGAATCCAGTTAGTTTCCCTTAATGACCAGCGGTTATACTGTCTACGCGCTACATGCCCTGCCCATGTCCATTTCCTCTTCTTTGTTTCAACTATGATATCCTTAACCCCCGTTTGTCCCCTAATCCACTCTGCTCTCTTCTTGTCTCTTAAGGTTACACCTACCATTTTTCTTTCCATTGCTCGCTGCGTCGTCCTCAATTTAAGCTGAACCCTCTTTGTAAGTCTCCAGGTTTCTGCTCCGTAGCTAAGTACCAGCAAGATACAGCTGTTATATACCTTCCTCTTGAGGGATAGTGGCAATCTACCTGTCATAATTTGAGAGTGCTTGCCGAATGTGCTCCACCCCATTCTTATTCTTCTAGTTACTTCAACCTTGTGGTTCGGCTCCGCGGTTATTACCTGCCCTAAGTAGACATAGTCTTTTACAACTTCAAGTGCACTATTACCTATCTCGAAGCGCTGCTCCTTTCCGAGGTTGTTGTACATTACTTTCGTTTTCTGCAGATTAATTTTAAGACCCACCTTTCTGCTCTCCTTGTCTAACTCCGTAATCATGAGTTGCAATTCGTCCCCTGAGTTACTCAGCAATGCAATGTCATCGGCGAAGCGCATGTTACTAAGGTATTCTCCATTAACTCTTATCCCTAACTGTTCCCATTCTAGGCTTCTGAAAACCTCCTGTAAGCATGCGGTAAATAGCATTGGGGAGATTGTGTCCCCCTGCCTTACACCCTTCTCAATAAATAATAGTATTAATGAAAGGGTGGTAGGTATTGTAATTAAACTGAATAAAAGATACAAGATGAAGGTAGTACAGGCTTACGCGCCTACATCCAGCCATGATGACGCTTCAGTTGAAAGCTTCTATGAAGACGTGGAATCGGCAATGAGTAAGGTAAAAACACAGTATACTATAGTGACTGATAATGATTGATATGTGGGGTTTAACGTCCCAAAACCACTATATGATTATGAGAGACGCCGTAGTGGAGGGCTCCGGAAATTTAGACCACCTGGGGTTCTTTAACGTGCACCCAAATCTGAGCACACGGGCCTACAAACAGTATACTATAGTGATGGGTGACTTTAATGCAAAGGTAGGGAAGAAGCAGGCTGGAGACCAGGCAGTAGGAGATTATGGCATCGGCACTAGAAACGCTAGAGGAGAGCTACTAGTAGAATTCGCAGAACGCAATAATTTGTGCATTTTGAATACCTTCTACCGCAAATGAGAAAACCACAAGTGGACATGGAGGAGCCCTAATGGCGAAAATAAGAACGAAATAGATTATAATTTATAATGAGTGCACACCCAGGAATCGTGCAGGATGCGGAATTGGTTGGCAAGGTACGATGCAGTGACCATAGAATGGTACGGTCTCGAATTCGCTATACTTGAAGAAGGAACGACAGAAACTGATACGCAAGAAGCCAATCAATGAGCTAGCACTGAGAGGGAAAGTACAGGAATTCAGAGTGGCGCTGCAGAACAGGTACTCGGCTCTTAGTGAGGAAACCAACCTTAGCGTAGATACAATAAATGATAATCTGACGAGTATCATTACGGAGTGTGCAGTGGAAGTTGGAGGCAGGGTAGTTAGACAGGACACTGGCAAGCTTTCTCAGGAAACGAAGAACCTAATTAAGAAGCGTCAAAGCATGAAAGTGTCAAGTACAACAGACAAATAGAACTGGCAGAACTTTCGAAGCTGATTAATAGACGTAAAGTATGCGATGTAAGAAGGTATAACATGGAGAGAATTGAACACGCTCTGAAAAACGGAGGAAGCGTCAAAGCAGTGAAGAGGAAACTTGGGATAGGCAAAAGTCGGATGTATGCACTAAGGGACAAAGAAGGCAAAATAACTACCAATATGGATAGGATAGTTAAAATAGCGGAGGAGTTTTACAGGGATCTGTACAGTAGCCGAGACAACCACGACCTTAATACTATAAGAACTAGCAGTAACCCAGATGACACCCCACCAGTAATGATAGAAGAAGTCAGAAAAGCTTTGGAGAGCATGCAAAGAGGCAAAGCTGCTGGTGAGGATCAGGTAACATCAGATCTGCTGAAAGATGGAGGACAGATTGTGTTAGAAAAACTAGCCACCCTGTTTACGAGGTGTCTCCTGACGGGAAGGGTACCAGAGTCTTGGAAGAACGCTAACATCATCTTAATACATAAGAAAGGAGATGACAAGGACTTGAAGAATTACAGGCCGATCAGCTTGCTCTCTGTAGTATACAAGCTATTTACAAAGATAATTGCTAACAGAGTAAAGAAAACATTAGAATTCAATCAACCAAAGGAACAAGCAGGATTTCGAACAGGCTACTCAACAATTGACCACATTCATACTATCAATCAGGTAATAGAGAAATGCTCAGAGTATAACCAACCACTATACATAGCCTTCATAGATTACGAGAAGGCGTTTGAGTCAGTAGAAATATCAGCCGCCATGTAGACACTGCGGAATCAGGGCGTAGATGAAGTATATATAAACATTCTGGAAGAAATCTACAGGGGATCAACTGCTACCATAGTGCTTCATAAAGAAACATTGATATAACAGTCAATTAAAAATAGTCTTGCAATAGATACAGTGTTAGAAATATACCTTTACCATGAATTTTTGGATATAATTAACCTATTTTCGTGTGAGATGCAACTACATTATAATAAAGTTTGAGCGTATTTGCAACGGCTCCTCTTCACTTATACTTCTCCTGAAAAAGAAGCAACTAGCCATAACATAAGAAAGATGGCAAAACAGGGAATGTCTATGGCGTCAACGTTACGACACGATGAGATATCAGTGCGGCAACTTGTCTACACCAGGGCAATGACTGCACTTACACAAGTCCTCATGTGAGAACATTGGCTCTAGTGACATTTTCAGTTGAGTAATTTCTGATAATCACATAATTCAATAAAACTAAAGTAACACAAAATAAGCTTATATTGATAAATTATTTGTTGAGAACATTGCTATCAATATTGAGGCCATTGGTTTGGTATTTAAAAAAAAATAATGAAGGTAGAGATGCCATTTTTTTTTCAAATTTTCCACCAATCTGCGACACCATGGGTGCGTTCTCATTTTTGGCCATGTCGGTCAAACAAATGTTCTCAAAAGTTGCCATGTAAGTTCTTGGCTGTATAGGACACAATTCCATCAGTTCTTAACAATCAAACATTAGGTAAGTCCCAGCATGGGTAGTGAAAATCTCTGACACCACAGTAAGCTGGTACGGAAACTTCAAGGCGGCACAAGACGGGACCTTTCTTTTGCACCTCTCCTGCCTAGCCGGTACGCTCGTGAGATGACAGTGGGGTCTCTGGTATTGTCTAAGAGCAATTTTACACGAGCCAAAATGTTTTAATTTCATATTGCCACCCGCACCTCCACTGACAATGCCAAATTACGATTTCAGGGAAGGCACCATCAAAGCGGGTGACAGGCTATTGGCAGTTGACAACATAAACCTGAACAACGCTTCTCTCAACGAAGCCATGGCTGTGCTGAAGCAGGTTGAGAAGCAAGCACTGCTGACCATAGAGTATGACGTCTCGGTTATGGGTACGTGGCACCATACATTACCCCCAATATAAAGCAACCATTACTTAGATTCTTTGGTCGGAACTCAGCTATTGGCCGACCAATTCAACGTAGTCCCCTAAAATAATAAAGCAAGTGTTGTGCTAGTCTCTCCATCTTTCAACATAAAGTACGAATTGTTATGACAACGTTGCAGGTACAAACTACGAACGAGGAACTGTTGAGTTTGGTAAAAGTGGTTTCAAATTTTGGCACATTCTAACAAAATCGAAGACATGACTCCTCGTTTAATGGTATCACTTAAACTACAATGAGACCAATGCCTGTCAAGTGTTGCTTACTTGTGAAATGCCAAGACTACAATTATCGAATGTAGGTGTACTACAGCCTACATTTCCTATCTGCTTTCCTTTTTAACTTTTTGTCAGTCGTACCAGAGTAACTCTGGCATTAAAAATTTAGTCTGGAGAAGCATGAGTGAATGCCCCTGCCCATTGATAAAGAGCTCGAAACTCTGGCAGATTGAAAATGAACGAGATTGATAGCTTTAATAAGTATACATTATGCTGCTAGGAGCTGAACAAGACAATATTAAGGAACACTTACCAAAAAAAAGTGACAAGTGCACAAAAACATCGTGAGCCTATAATATCCAATGTCCCACTCTTCTCACTATACTTCTCAATGATTCAAAAGTGTCAACACCATGTTAGTAACGAACAAACACTATATGTTCAACCCCTGACAGCGAAAGTTTTGTTTGCAAGTTTTTTACAGTAATTTGTAGCTTTGTGTCTGGTAATGCGAAATTATATCATAAATGCTTTAACGCATCGTATAACTATTGCTAGCAGCACTAATTCAGAAAGATTTTGCGTCAGTTCAAAACGCCCTTCTAAATACCACAAACTAGCGCCCTACAGCAGAGCAGCGCCTGAAACTACGTGTGCTAAAGCTTCGGTGACCCTGAAACATGCTGTTTTCAAATACGGGGACCGCGGTGAAGCATAAAACGATGCGGGGGCTTTGAGAATGTTTCCCTTAAGAAAAAGAAAAGCATTCCTGGCATAAGCAGACTAAACCACCTCGAGAGCAGCCCGACAACAGAACGAGAGGGGTGACGAACAATAGTTCTCACCGGGTGCCAGTTGGAGTATTGTGCGTGCCCCGCAAATGTTCCTGACCTCTGTAATGTCACAAGGGAATCGCCAATCTACATGAAACCACAGAAAATGTCGATTGTACCTGAGTACTCGGAGGAGCCCGCTCTCTTACTTTAAAACCAAGTTAAAATAACTTCTAGGCAACGCTCGCCACTAATAATCGGTCAGAGGCGGTTCGCATGCAGGACTACAAAACAGGACAAGCATTTCGCGTTTCCAAATTTGGCGTCAGGGGTCCTTTAAGGAATAATATGCAAAAACGCATTGCAAAATTTACCAAATTCTTCGATTACATCGAACAAGTGAATGACAGAAAAGAATTCTGCATTCTATATGCTCTGCTCGTAGGCCGCATTGCCCCCCAAAAACCAAATGCCAAGTTTACTCTTGAACCTACATATGCACAATTACTACTTGGTGCCGACTTAATGACAGCTCCCGATTGTTCACCCGCGTAGATGCTGTAAGGAATGCGTCGGGCCCTCTTCTCGTGGAAATTGACAAGACACCAGGAGCACAGCTGGGAGCAACGTTGACGCAAGTTCCACACGGAGAAGGAGCCGTTGTTTTCGACAGCATCAAACAAGCAAGTGTGGCTGAAAGGTAATGACCATAAATGACAGGAAAAGAAAAAAAAAAAAATGTCTTTGACATAAGTATATGAGTTTTGTTATCTACATCTGTCGTCTCATACTCTTCCCATTTTAAACTAAAAAGAAAAAAGCGTGGATTCCGCGTCCTGGAATTGTCAGGTAGTCTGTAAACCTTATCCGCAATCGCATTGTTTAACGAACATGTGGAAATTGTAGTGAACCTCAGCCTATGTTTAGACAGTACTAGCCATAATTTAGCCACACAGCCATGATCAGCTAATTATGGCCATCAACGAGCTAAAGCTAGGAAAAATTAGCCTGTGCTACTTGTACTCAAGCCATTGTGGTAGGCCAGGCACTAATGGTACACAAGAAAATATGTTAAATTGGGACATTGGTCTTTTTGGGCTACTTTCTTTATGTGTAAATCGTTTTTTTTGTTTTGTTAGGTGGTCACATGATTTCCTGTACATGCTGGTAAAATCGGATAAGGAAGCCATCAATGCTGGACTAGCGTCAACTAGAAACAATGGCCTTCATTATACCTTTTGAGTCTATCCAAACCAGTTTGTTCCAAGTTTATCTCCCAATAAACTGAGGCAAGGAAGACTTACACATTAAAATATAAAAACTACTACTGAGTTCCATTGATAAAATGAGTAGGAAACTTTAATTTCTCAACATTTAAAAACAACACAGAAATGCCATAAACAAACAATAAAGAAAGGCACAAGTGTTATATATATACATGTAGGGTGATGTAGCGACGGTGGTGACACAGTTCGTTGTACACATTCCCGACGGCACAGGTGCGGTGCCCTCCACGTCGGCGACCAGCTGCTGGCTATCGACGGGACACGGGTGGACCAGATGACTGCGGCCGAGGCCATGCAGCTCCTGAAAATGGCCATCGGCGACGTCATCAGACTGGAGATCCTGCCTATCAGCCAGATGGCACTCAGGAAATGCCCTAGCACCCAGTCGAAAAGGAGTAAGAACAGCCGTTCGGAATACAGCTACTACTATTCTACTATTACACTTGGAGGGGAGGAAGGGTGTATATGAGGCACCTTTCTGTCACACAATAGTCCATCTTGAGTGTTTTGTTTGCATTACACTGTAAAAAATAATCGAGTAAAATGGGTATCCTTTTTTCCGACAAATATAATCGTCATCTGGCATGTCTGCACTTTCTTGAAAACTCGGCGCATGCCCCTTTCCTGTCAAGAATGCCGTGCCACACTGATAACGTGCATGCAGTTTGTGACCTGAAACTGCCGGGAGTGCGGCGATAATGCAAGAAAAGGAATGTAAGACAGATGACAGTTACTGTTGCGGGACAAAAAGACACCCTTTTTACTCGTTCATTTTCTTAAGAGTCTAGTGCGCCTAGTGTTTCCCCGTCACGAATAGTGTATCCGCGTGACATGGCATTCCAGACAGGAAAGTAGTAGACTCGTAGTTGTTAAGAAAGGAAATGCAAATAAGCCAGATGAAGGCTGTTGTGCGACAGAAAAACGCCCAAAATTCATTCGTTTGGCCTGGAGTGCAAGGAAAAACCAATTTTTGTGGTTGCGATGGATTGTGTAGGGCTGGTACACGCTTTTTCTAACTAGTGGCTGAGATACTTTGGCCCAAACCGAAATACATATTTGCAATTTCAAATTAACTTTCATCTTTATAGTGACACTAACAGGTGAAAGATGTGAAATTGTAACAAGACAGCTTGCATTGTAGGAGATGTGCATTGTAGGCTTTTCATCGTCATTTTATGCCATCAGCTTGTAAAGGCAGCACTTGTGTAACTAACGTACTAGCTGTGTGTTATTGGAAGATAGAACCAGCAGCACTGCCTTTCTGGTGCAGAAAAGCGTTCTTCGAGGAACAAGGCAGGTGTATCTTCAAGCTATACGAGTTCGAACTTTTCGAGAAACTGTTTCGACTCTTTCAAACCCCGCTTCTCTCAAACCCAAAAGGTGCGGCTCCACCACCTCCTCCGCATGGCTATGCCTCAAGTTACGACACCCTCTCGTCCATGGGCGGTCATTCGAACAGGTCAGCAACGACGGCACCGACAGGACGCTGCCCTCTACCACCGCTCCCTCCTCCGCAAGTGCCCTCGACCCCATCGTCGTCGCGAAGGGGCAAGTCCAGCAGAAAGCATCTCCCGGAATATCTCTCCAGCTCCTCAAATGGTATGACGTACATTGATTCATTCGGGAACCTATGTTGCCTTATTGGTTATTATAGTATGGTGGAGTTATTATAGCATGGTGGAGCCAATAAAAAAAAATTTACACGCATGACAAACAGACCATTTCATCTCATGTATCCCGAAATAACGATAAAGAGCCTCAAAACGAGCGAATGCCCTCCCTCCCGCCATTTTAACTGATTCATTCATTGTACTTGAAGCAGTGAATGTATGCACACTCAATAGAGTCCTTTATAAGAAGCATGGGTGGGCATTTTCCATTCTTAGTGGCTTTTTGTTCGCCATACTATATTTTGATTCAGACCCAGCAAGCTTCCCCCACTACCTTTCCGAATCTTGCTCGATTATCTTCAAATCCTAGGGTAGCACATGCTTGGGATTTCACAGCTTGTTGAAGTAAAGTCCACACGCTGTAAAAAAGCTGCTGAAGTCTCGCTATGAGAGCTTTAATTTACCCCAAGGTTGTGGTCGAAAATTGAAACCATGCACAGATGTAAAGGTCAGCATTTTAGCTGCTGCAGTCTACGAGCATCCCATGTTTCGCCGTTCACTAGAAGTATTAATAATAATTGTAAGGGTTTTACGTCTAAAACCACAATATTGTCACAAGGACACAGGGACGCGGCTACAGCCTACCTTGCGCCAGCCGTTGCCTAGTTTCCAGCCTATCTTGCGTCAATATTATCACGTGTGATGCCGTATTGGCAAGCTCTGAAAATTTTGACCATCTGGGCTTCTTTAATGTCCACCCATATCAAACTGCACAAGCCTCTACCAATTTGTTTCCATCTAAATGCGGCCAAAGCGATCGAAATTCGATCCCGCAACCTTCCTTCCAGTAATCGCAACAAGATAGAATCTCCAGGGAATGGAGTTTCCCGAAATTAACTGGAGGGGACATTCGCACTGCGATTGTCCAGTAACCGTGGGAATGATGGGTAGTACACAAATTTGCCTAGTCTCTGTGCTTGCAGACTTCGAACGCACTTACGGCTTCGTTTATCGCTGTTTTGCTTTTGTTCAAAAAAAAAAACAAAAACCAACAAATAACAAGAGGAGGTGGTGGGGGTGGGGGGGAGGACTGCTGTGTTCATTATCGTTTTTGTGAGAAAGCAGCTCCCCACCATGCGAAGCCAAACAGAGCCAAAAGTAGGAACATTACAAAAATTCGTGCACTACCCATGATTCCCACGCTCGTTGAAGCACGTGCGTTGCAGCTCCCATAGACAGTAGCACCAGCGTTCCCTCTAGGATATTAAAAGAAACTCCCTGATCGTAGGTACAAATTTCAAGCCAATAACAGTTTTCCATTCCCACCCTTCATAGAGAAACATGTTTGGCTTCTTCCAGCGTCTATTTCGTCTGTCTACGGGGTTCCACCGTGCCTGGTCGGACCGAGCCAACTGAGCCACACCGAGACCACCCAGGTTGTGATCTACGCCGATCACAAGGGATTCGGCTTTGCCCTGCAGGGCCCCACCCCCTACTCGTCCGATCCGCTGCCACCCATTCCAACAATCAGCAGCATCGACCCGAGGGGGCCAGCCGAAAGGTTTGGCCCTTTGGTGAACGCTTTCACTTCCGATTCTCGATTACGTCCAACGATGAGACAGTTTGCTAGATTACGTAGCACAGGTGGTTTCGAAGCTTCAGCTATCTCCGAAAGGAAAGACCACTTTATAAACTTGATAGCCTATACATGAACCCTAACAAAATGAGCTATGTTATTGCTAGCTACAAAATTTGTGATCACTTCTAATAATTCTTGTGAACGGTTTTCAGATGTTTCCACAGAATCACGACCAAGTCTCATTTGAAAGGAAGGAGACACTTAGGGGGAAAAAAAGCGTTTTTTTTTTGTGCGCATACTGAATTTATGCTTTCAGCTTTGCACTGCAAATGAAAATTTATCACAATTTCTAAGGAATAACACAATGCTTCCATGAAAATTTTGTACACTCTCTTTAAAACGTTGTGAAGCCAAAAGGAATCTGCATCGCGGAAGGATCACTATAATAAAGACCGAAATGAAATAAGGTTCCAAAATTCAGTGCAAGCCTAGACTACGTCGTGTAAAGGGAAAAAAAAAATTTTTTTTTTTTGAGCAGTTACCCTGAAATGCTAGAAAAATTACATCTTCATGCTCATTACGCATGAAAACTTATTTTCGGACAGGACCGGAGTTGTGCAAGTCGGAGACCGCGTTCTCTCGGTCAACGGGCAGACAACCGAAGGTCTTTCCCTGGAGGAAGTCACCCAGTTGATCCAACAGTCCCGACCGCGTGTGGTCCTTGACATAGAGTTTGACGTCGCCGAATCGGTCATCCCGAGCAGCGGTACGTTCACCGTCAAGCTAGCGAAAAAGGGCCCCGGACTTGGAATCACCATCACGTGTAAGAAAGCTAACACCTCAAATCTTGTCTGCTCCGCTACGGAAGTGCTGCATTTGCAGGCTTTCAAAAATTTTTTACGACAGCTGAATCTACCATCAGCACTAAAATAGTTTCTTGGGAGCTATACTAGCCAAATCAGCCCCACAATTATCCTCTAAACTGTTGAAAGCTAGTATACTCTGTATACTCAACAATTTTTTTCGAAATAAAGGTAGGTCTCTCAATACAAACAAAAAATACTTAGCACTAATCAATGCGCAGATACTCCTCATCAAAAAAGTTGCATATTCTGTAGTTGATGCGCTTAAGCCACGATACAATTATAAGACACTATGGTGATGTCCCTTATGATTGTATAAATATCAGCAGATGGGTATTTTTGCAGATCATCCCCGGTAAAATGTGCCTGCTGTGTGCAGAAGCCGCATTCTTGAACTTGGAGATGCCGTGATAGAACAAGAAGCACGAAAAACACAAGAAACACGAGAAAGACACGAGAAAGATAACCATATGAGAGAACGTTAAAGGATAGCCATGCAGGAGTGTTCTGATTTTGTCTTGTGTATTTGGTGCTTCTAACTCCCACTGTGGATCGTTACAAATATGCCCAAGTATACACTTTCCCCCAAGCCAAAGATACCACAGGGGGTACTAAGAAAGTGTGCCAAGATATTAAAGGGACACTAAACAGCTAAACAATTTTTTAACGTATTAGTGAAGTACAATTTTACAATCCTGAAAACACCAATCTTACTTCGACATGATGCTTGGTAAGCAAGGAAACACGCAGAAAAAAAAAAAGGCGAGTGTAGACGCCACCGTGAGATTCTCACACCAAACACCGTGCCGCAGTAAATTTTGAAGGCACATATTGAGTCCCACATAGCTTCTACACGAAAAAATGATGTACATTGTCGTCTGTAGGTGCCAAAGACCTAGGTTGCAAAGTTTTAGAAAATTTCATTCAGCCAATGTTGCAAAAATAGGAAAAATATATTTTGCGATTTGTTATGTCACATGCAGACATTTCAGTACTAAATTTAAAAATAAAACCTCAACCTTGATTTTCTCCAGTAATAATGAACTTATGACAGTAAAACTTATGGCATTAAGATTTTTTTACAGTGCAGTTTATCAATCAAAATCAACTCATTGTTTTTATGTATTGTCCCTTTAATAACGAACATTCACAATAAACAATTACTCAGTGTAAATTTGTTCTCCTAGCCCCGAAGAACAGGCGGCCCGGTGAGCCCCTGCTGATCTCGGACATCAAGCACGGCAGCGTGGCGCACCGCACGGGCACCCTCCAACCGGGAGACCACTTGCTTGCCATAGACTCAGTCCGCATGGACAACTGCACCATTGAAGATGCCGCCCAAATACTGCAGGCTTCCGAGGAGGTCGTCAAGTTGCGGATACGCAAGGACGAAGCCTTCTGCGGTGAGCTGCTTCTGACCCCGTTGAAGATCTCTTGTAAAAGGATGGCTGGGCTAGTTTGCAGGAATTCATGTCAACGCAGGAGCGCAAAGGAAAAACGACACAAGCGAGGAACAAGTACATGAGACAAGTGCTTGTCTCGTTCGTTTGCATTCCTGCTTTGAAATTAAGATCTCACCCTCGTGTCTCGCACCAAAATTCACGAATAGGAAAATTTACCACGTCACAGCTTGCGGTGGTCTTCACATACGTTTACAATTGCAGAAAAGCATTGACGCTGCAGAGCTTTGACGCTGTCGCTCAGCTAAGGCTAAGCGACAATACTATATACTCAAACCTAGATATAACGAACCCAAATATAAAGAATCATCAGTCATAACGAAATATCTAAATGGCAGACCTGGTTTTGTTATAATGAGGTTTGAGTAAGTGGTTTCGTCAGTACAGAATTTCATTCCCAAAGGCAGCATAGCACATTAGATTCTCCACCATGTTTCAGGGGGGATGCTTCTGGACTAAGCTTTGTTTTGCTTCAGTGCTCAGGGGGTCAAAATAAAAATCTGAGTGAAATTAGGGTGACTGCGCTGTAGTGTCTATCATAGCTCACTATGTTTGTAAATGAAAATAAATTCAACAAAACAACTGCCTCTGACTTGGTTAGCCTCCAACTGCTCCGTCCCTATAGCACTTCTTTCTCAGTTAATGAAACTTCTGTTAAATGAAATACAGCAGAATACCTCTAATACGTTCCTCGGTTATACGTTTCCCTGCATATAACATCTCTCGCATCTAGTCCCTGCAAAAAGTCAACTGACATGCATTAGAACCCCCTATTCGTGCGCCATTCCTGCCTGATACGTTGCTAACTATCGCTGAACTAGATGTGCAAAGACCTCAAAGGCCATCTAAGTGCTCGAAACAGGTTTGGTTCTGGCAGAGGTGCAAAAAAAAAAGCCTAACATCTGTCAAGGAGTTCTTAAGCCCTAAGCTGATGAATAAATCCTTCTGCCTGTTTTGTTATTTAACAGCACTTTTTCTCTATTTTAACTGCGAATCCACATTATACACTTTCACCTAGTCCGTGCGTTAGAGGAATTCTAGAGTTTATGCGTTAGAGGTGTTCTAGAGTATATAAAATGAAAGCATCATGCTCGTGCAGAGGAACCAGACTGCAACGGGAGCCGTTATCTTCACTGTGGAGTTGGCCAGACACGGTGGACCACTGGGCATCACCATCTCAGGAACGGAGGAACCCTTCGACCCCATCATCATCTCGGGACTCACCGAGGGAGGACTCGCAGAGAGGTGATGGAAAAGAAGTTCTTCGCGACACTAATTTTCAAAGCGAAAACGTGGAATGTTGCCATAGAGAGGACCGCAGGTTGACACAAATCACAAACCGAACATGTGGTTGACCTCCGGTTTGAATTTCGCACAGAGGTGGTGGCTTGCAGTTTGCTTGCTTCAACGTTGAATATGTGAGCCTTATCATCATAAAGTCCGGTATGACATCTATGCATTAGAATATCCTACTTGTGCACCATTCCTGCGTGATACGTTGCTAACTATGGCTGTACTAGTTGTGAGCCTTTTGCTGTTGCCTTTTGCTGTTGCCTGTTTAGCCCACGGGAATGTATGAAGGGCTCGTTTGTTCATTAGATGCAAGCCAGAAGAAGCATGCGAGACATTAATTGCAGTTTTTAGCTAGAGCATCGCAATTATAACATAAATGAAAAGGAATTAAAAGTGGATTAAGAAACAACTTGCTGCTCGGCTATGTGGCCCTACCAATTATATACAGCAGCCTGTTTAACAAACATTCACGCCAAAGTGTACATCGTCTCCAGGAGCACAACCAATGAGAATGTTGATAAAGTTGATTTTACTACCTATAGGGCCACAAAAGTTCTACTTCTTTTATTTATGATTTACTGCTTCCTCCAACAATGAACTGTACTGTATGTCAATGGCTAAACGATGACAATCGTATCATGCCTCTTTTTTTTAGTTTGTAGCATGCTGATGCTACTACAATACTGTAGATATGCCTTCATATGTACACCCACCAGCAAAAGTTTACAGGGATGGTGCCACAACTAATACATTTCTCTGCTCTATTAGGGCGTAATGCTTCTAATCTAGCTAATGACGGTACAGTCTGCAATGGCACCTAGAAGGCTGCAGCACTGGTTCAGAGCTTATGTTCCCAAATGAAGCGAGAACGCAGTTTTCTCAAACATTTCACGACCAGTAAGCTTTCACAATTGGGCGTAGTACATACAATAACGGCCGTGCCGCCTTCTGCATGCAGGACGGGGGCCCTGCACGTTGGCGACCGAATCCTCGCCATCAATGGCCAAAGCCTGCGCGGGAAACCTCTCAGCGAGGCAATTCTCCTGCTCCAAAACTCGGGGGACGTTGTAACGCTCAAAATATCCAAGTCCCCAAGAAACCAAGGGAGAGGTGAGAACTTGTGTTTGTCTCGTACTGCTAATACAAAATGCTGCTACGAACCTCGCTGAGCTAGCTGCTTCAAATAAAAATAGAAGTTGAGCATTGTAGGCAGAACACTGCCTAGGCAGTACAATAGCAGACAGCTCGTACACACACGCTCTGTGATAAAACGGAACACGTCAAGAAAGAAATTAGAGGAAACAAACAGCCCCTAGGCGAAGAGGATGCGCCACAAAAGAGTGCGTCGCGTTTTGATCGTCTGTAGGGCAACCATGTAACGAATTCAGAAATGTTTTCAACTCATGACGAAATATAAAATTATGGTAACTCAGTACTTAGAATTTTCGATATTATATTCCATAGCTTGAAAATGAATGGCTTTAACAATTGTGTTACAGCTGATTGTGAATTACTAACAATTTTTATGTTGATATTTGCGTTGATATGTTCGCTTATTGGGCACAAGGTAGTGTCGATGTTTTACGAGACTTTTGGTAATGACAGTGGTCATTTTCGCATCATGAAGGTACAATATTCAATAAAGCCAGACACAAAGCAAGCTCATCGCATTCAAGCACGACAGGCACATAGAAATAAGAAATAACGCATGGCTGTCATTTCGCATACTTGTTCGTCAAGACTTCTGGCTAACATAAAATATTCTCTTACTCTTCCCAGGAGTGTGGGCAGCCAGTCAAATCAAATGCAGTCCGATAGCTACCAGCAGCAATCTTGTCAAACCTTTAGAAAAACTTCAATAAGTTGAGCATACTGAACGTGTCCTAGTGCTTGAAGACGCAGCAGAGGTGCCCAATTTCGTGTTAGCACCACAAAACTTGGCAGGGCTTTAAGGCTATGTTCACATGCATGTAAATTAAAATGGTGATGAATGTGAGCATTGTTCTCCTACTGCGAAATTCATACTGAGCTGGCCGACCTTTTCAGGCCTGGATGTGCACCGGATCGAACGCCCCAAAGAGGTGAGCTCGGTGCTTCGCAGAAGCTTGGTGGCCACGCCGACACCCCGTGCCGAAGAGGCTCCTCACACCACCTCCCACACGTTTCAGCCCGAGCCCAGCAGCTTCCTCAACCTGTACGCCACCCCTATCCCGAGCGTCGACAGCGCCGTCGAGTCGTGGGACAGCTATGGCGGACTCGAGGCCGCCGCGGCTGCAGCGGCGATCGCCAACGGGCCCATGCCCATCCAGAACAAGGTGCTACCGCCTCCGACACCCGATCTCACTCGTCGAGAAGCAGGTATGACTAGTTGAATGCGATAGTAACGGTACGACTAGGTTTACTGAGCCGGTTCCTAAAATCGGTATGATGCCATGACCAGTCACTGAAGATCAGATCGTCCGCGTGAACCTATTTGAGTAGAAGCAGCTTTTGAATTTCCTACGACAGAAGCCGCTTTTGACTTCAAGAAAGATGAGATATCGTAATTTTCAGTATAAGATATGCACGCAAAAAACGGGAAAAGAGCAGGCTGCCAACTGCCACCTAGAGGGGCACTATGTCTGCCTACTTATTCGGGAAGAGGGAAGAGATAGAGGAAAGGAAGGCAGGACAGATAAAGTAATCCTAGTCATTGCAGGAGTGGAAGTAGCGACTTACTGTTCATCTTTAAAGCAACGATATTCGATCAACAACAAAATAAATTAGTGCCATTTAATGTGACATCAATGAGAAGACACATTTGAAGCTGGCCTTGTGGGTGGCAGGTTGTGAACTGGTGGTTTCTAACAGTAAAGTAACATAGCAAGTCTGACAACAAGGGGGGGTACCAGTGAGGGAATGGGCACTGCAGCCCTCCGCCCCATGTAGGGACCCACCCCTGCTGACAACCGTGAGACTCGATCTAATGCGAAACATACTTCTGAACGTTCAAAACACAGATGTTCCGACAACCGTGGCCCAGCCGTCGTCTCCACAACAGTCCTCCTGCTCGCCAAACGTGTCAGCGGAGCTCCAGTCTTGGGAGAGGGAGGTCTGGGGTCACCGGCCGCCACCCAACCTCACTTCCCCCAGCACATCGAATCCCCATGCATTCGCCCCGACGAGCAGCCACTCCGCCGCGTCGGACAGTGGCTCCGCGGACTGGTCCAAGGTCCTCGAGGACCTCGAGACGTGCGGACAGTCCAAGCTGCTCCGACAGATCGAGCGAAGCATCATGGGGAGCCTGCCTTCGATTGCGCCCCTGCCAAACCCGGACGTGCATCTGCCAAACCCCGAGACCCTTCAGTACGACGACCTTTACGGCTTCCAGTCCCGACTGCAGTCCGACGACACGTCGACGGAGTGTGAGTTTCAGGTCCCGGACCACGAGCAGACACCGTTCACGCTGTCCCCGTACGAGGGGGGGCAGCCGCACCGTGATGGTTCCGGGATGCCCTATCCCAACTATGGCGGTCACATGACCGCACCTATTCCCATTGAGGTGCATCGTGTTACGCTCTTCAAGGACAAAGTGTACGAGGACTTTGGCTTCAGCGTGTCAGATGGCTTGTATGAGAAAGGTGTCTACGTCAACCGGATTCGACCAGGCGGACCGGCCGACATGAGTGGAATACTGAAGCCTTTTGACAGGATCCTACAGGTATGTTCTTCGCAGTTGGGACTGCACCAAAGCAAGGCATTCACTGTGCTAGAACTGTAATGAAACCCAGAGCCAGAGTAGTCCAGTGCTGTCAAGTTTTTAGCAGTTGTAACTAATTTTGACTTGCCCTGCTATGCATTCTTACAAATACGGCCTCTGCGATGCTTTTTTTCTTCTGCATCCTGCAGCACTGGAGTTTGTGTAGTGCCGAATACTGAGATGGAGGGAAAAAGAATTATCGAAATCGGTGCACGGTAACAGAAGTTCTTAGCCTTCAAACTTCGCAACCCCAGCTGGTAACAAAAAAACATGTTCCCTTTCGCATTACATTCTCCCACTGATGTCAAATGCCGGTTCCAATCATCCTGTGCCTCTTACAGAGGCTTACCGGACGACTCGCCTCGCAGTGGCCGTTGTGCAGTGCTCCTAGCGTCGTTTTCCAAATGTTTTCGCACTTTTGTATCTCAAAACAAACATCGTTCTGTATCTGAGGAAGCTTTGTTTTTGGAACTGCTTCTCGTGCAACAATAATACATTTAGATACATTCACCTGTCTATTACACTCTGAAATGCTGGTCCCATTTATTTCCCATATAGTCATATGTATTAGTTTCCCATTCTTTAGCGTTTCCTCTCCTGGCTGTCAAAAGCGAAAACTGTGATGGCACCTATACTACCCGTCGCCTCTGAACATAGTCGTGAAACTTGCCACGTGGCAACGTCTTTGCAGGCAAGAACAAAATTGCGTTCCTTGGCTTAATGGCACATGCTAAGGTGGCTACTGCCAGTGGGGATTTACACAAATTAGCACACATTGGAGCACACATTCGCGCACCACAGTAACTAAGCCATCTTCTCTCCTTCCTCACGTACGGTGCTCGCAGAATAAAGCATGATGTCAAAATGTTAAAAGGAGAAAAGATTTGTGAACACGGAGTGTCACTGGAGCTGTTAAGACCAACGAACTTGTCTTCTCAAGGCCGCAGACAAGACAAGTCCGCTTGTCGAAACTGTAGGCTCTCAAGCAGCACTCCGCGTCACAAATTCTTCATCTCCTCGTGCTTCCATCTTCCCCTGAACTGCCAGATGCTATGTTTCCTAGATGAAGAATTCTTTATTGTCTGTGGACTTCATAAGCAACATAACAATGGAGTTCTACTATAGCAGTGTCTGTATGCTTTTCAAGTGCAATGCTTCATTTGACTGCAACGGCACGATCTGCCTTTGCGCGAACGGACATTGCTTTCTTTTTCTCTGAGCTCACTGTATTTGGTGCCTCCAGGTGAACGAAACCAAGACCCACGACTACGACTGCTGCCTCACCGTGCCTCTGATGGCGTCGGCGGGAGACTCCGTCGAGCTGATAGTCAGCCGTCCCGCCTACATCAACGGCAATTCCTCGCACAGAGGCTACGAGCCTTCATCGTTTCATCCCTGGATCGACGACAACGACCGCGAGGACTGCTCATCACCACACGGCTCGCGGCCTGGCTCTCAGATTCTGACCAAAACCCTCTGAGAAAGAACAAGCCTTGTCTCCACTCCAGGAGAGCTATATTCAATGTGTCTATCTAATGGGCTGTCCATTTCAGTTGCCACTGATTGGCCAGATCTAGACGGGCAGTGGGTCACATTCTGATCCTTTCACAACATCATTTTTATGCCTCAGAGATTTCATACTCAGGGCACAAATGAAAAAAACGGAATGCACTTCAACATAATCCACTTTTGGCCGTGCGAATCTCGAAGGTTCAGATTCTGCAGTCATGTTATGTACACAAATGAGGTTTAATGTGGCCTCGTATTCAACGCTTGTATGCGTTAACTGCACCGTTCGCAGGCATCTGGGACATGCTGACATGCAAGGAAAGACTTGTCAAGTTTGTTCAAGTAGTCTGTGACTACGTTTCGTACCCTTTCTTCGTTCTACTGCACTGTACGAATAGGTGTGTTGACGTGGTCAAGAGAGCGATGACGCTATGGCTTGCCACTTTCTTGTGTAACGGAGTGTGCGCCGCTGAAATGGACATGTCCAACAAATGACAGTTCCGAGTATACCTCCCAAGTCTTGGCAACGTGCAAGCCAGAACAAAAGACATAGAGAGATTAACAAGCAGGTGTCTTGGTCCAAACCAACGATGCAGGTTGTGAAACTAACACGGGTAGAGAAAAGATATCGTACACTGCGAGCGGGCTATGAAAGACGCCGCACTTGAGATAATCACTTTTCTTGTTTTACTTCGTCGATGAAACTGTTTCAATGCAGCTGGTGTGAGCAAATAGAGATATAATCAGTGTTACCTAAAATTTACGTTTCCTTGAGGTTAATTCATGTGAAGGCTACCATTACAGCAAGATGTTTCATTTTAACCTTAACAGAACAAGTGAACACTGCATTTTGCAGATGGCACAACTCCGCTCCTTCTGAGCTGTACTACTTAGACAAGTATGCCTCGTATGAGGAATTGAACGAGAATCAAGTCGGACCTATTCACAAATTTTCCCCCTTAATAAAGTTTAAAAGTATTTGCTTAAGGCGCAAATAGCAATATACAAACTGGAGCCCAGCAGCTTCAGGGTGCGACCATTAGAAGGAAACTTTAAACCTGGCAGCAAGTATTAAGACGAGTGCCCTTACATTCACATAAAAATGCTCTCTTGTGCCCCACTACTTGAGCAAAATGCCTCCTTTCAGTGAAGGATAACTTTCATTGCAAGACTGAAGAAATTTTATCACACTAAAAGTGCATCTCCACGCCAGTGCCAGAACAAGCAACCATGCCCAGCAATCTTTTTGACCTTGAATTGTAAATTTCCGTGTTTGCCCTGAAACGATTAGTCGTACCTTTAACCAGTAAAACTTGCTTAATTGCCCAATATATTTTCACTGCTAGAGTAATTGTACACCTTGGCACATTTTAAAGATCAGCAAGTGATATTGTGCCATATATTACAATGAGAACTGTTAAGATTGAAATGAAACATCACATATATATATATATATATATATATAGCTGCTGTTGCCTAGGTAGAGGGCATTCCTTTGTGAAGGCTTTTATGACCATGAAGAGAACAAAGAACAGCCATCTTTGGGCAAAACAGATTGTGAGACCATGCATTTAAGGGAGAGAAAACTTGTCTTTCGCCAAGCCAAATTCGTTGGATCGCTTGCCGATGTACTCCATCAACCACGCAAAAAAAATCTAAGAAGATCAGCCAACAGTCTTCATGCTGTGAACGACTCTTGCTGAACAACCAGTTCTTGTGGCAAGTGAGATTCCTTTCTGGCCTCTTCATAACACGGCCCCCACAAACAGTTTCTCTATTTTTACAGTGTTATCAATCTACGAAGCAATGTACTATTTGCAATCAAGTTGTTCCTCAACATTTATTGTTAGCTTGTACATAAACGGTAAGCAATTCTTGTTCAGCATTACTGAGAACAGCTAGTCATTAAAAAATGTTGGAAGTGTGTTCCATGTTTGATCATCACCGATTTACGCGAATACTAACAAAGGCAGCAAAGTGTTACGCTGCTTTCAGTGTTTGTGAAATATCACCGCTCTGCGTCGAGGTACTCTGCTCATATTGGTACCTTCACTGTGTCCACCAGATATAAAATAAGCTGGAAGGTACAAAAAGCAAATAAATAATTAAAACGATGAAAGAACGTTGCATGAAACGGGCGGGAGTAATAATTGTTCCCTTTGGCTATTTGTTCGAAGTGCCTTTTCAAGCTCGTCTATTCAAGGGCGAGCACTGCCATAAACGGTTCTGAAGAGAGACTCACGAGATGTGGCGATGTACAGTTGTTTGGTTTTTCGAGAGTTTCACGAAGCATGGATAATAAAAGAATGCATTCTTCGCATTAAAATGAAATCCCAGTCTTGTTCATTACATGAACCATGGTGATGACCTATGAGACTGCAGCAGCTAAGTGCCACTGAAAAGAACCGAACATTTATTTTTCTTGCAGGTTCGTAATAAGGAATTTCCAAAGTGAAGTGAGAGAATGCTTCAAATGCCAGTGCTCATTTGGACCATTCCCTGGCATAGGCGTATCAGCAGGGGGGGGGGGGGCAAGGGGGGCGCGAGCTTCCTCACTGAGAAAAGTTGGGGGGGGGGGGGGGGGGCTGAGCCTCCTCACTTTCGACAGTGGTCACTCCTGGTTGCAGGTGGGGAAACCAGTAAGTAAGGTGCAACTTTTCATCACAACAGGAATCACTGAGTTATGTTCTTGTGGGAGAATGAAATTGTTATGAGGCTATGTTACAATGTCGCCAACATTGCTGCTGTGGCGATTTTTCTTGTAGGCTCATTATATACATGTGTGTGTGTGTGTGTGTGTGTGTGTGTGTGTATATATATATATATATATATATATATATATATATATATATATATAATATCTCGGCTCAGTAAGGCAGTTTAGCTCCCCACTCGCGAAAGAGTTGGTACGCCACTTTTCCCTGGTAATAAGAAAGCTTCAGTTTGAAGCTAAAATCAATGACATTGCCCGAAAAAAAGTAACACAGCAAAAATATTCCAACTTTCCTGTCACTTTAAACATCTAAACATCTTAGCTGTTTGAAAGTACTGGAATCGGGGATTGCTTTTTCGAAATTCCAGAGTTACAGAGTTGTAAACACGGTTTTTTAAAGTACATTCATTTTCAACAATTGCAGAAATCCATATCTTTACTTAAGTTTCAACCATCCAGTTTGACATACAATTGAACCACTATAAAAAGACAAGCACTAGGGAGGACTTCTCATCTCTTGTATGAGGTGCCTCTCATAAGCAGGGTACCACATATGCATTATCTTACCATTACCTATTTCAATCTACGCACACTGGTGTGTCTTATAAAAAGTTCGCCTGTACGTATAGAGATGTTAACTCATTCTTTTTAACACGGCAAACCACATTCAATTTGCAGGAGTAGATGCCAAGCAAAACAATTTGTCCACTCAGCTAAAGTTTAGATTAGACAGGATCTTCTCGCGTCGAGGCATTTTTTTTTTTCATGTGTCCTAACTCATCAATGCTATTTGAAAGAGAGAGAGAGGAAAGGGGGGTTCACAAACTGGATTCAGAAAGGAGATGTACAAACAATATGACATTTAGCCACTATCACGTAACAGGCACGGTGCGATCAGCAGCAGGCTTGACTTACATGATGTAGGCCTGTTGAGCATTTTACCGACGGTTGATGATGTGCTTAGAATGCGAGGACGACGAGGTGACGCCTGGCATCGTGCGTGAAGTGGTGAGACCTGAACAGATCACTCTTGAAGAATGGCTGTGAGGTTGGTGATGTTCAACTGGTGAGCCTGCGATTCGAGGGATCAGCGCGAAGAGAGAAAGGTCAGATCGTTCACTCGACTTTATGAGCTCAATTCCTCCCAACATAATAATAATTGTCGGGGTTTTACAGTTGAAAAATGATGATATGATTATGAAGGATGCCATAGGGGAGGAATCTGGAAACTTTGATCACCTTGTTTGATTTTTTTTTTTAACGTGCAAAGGCCTCTGACATACTGCCTTTCCCGAAATGTGGCCGTGGAAGATGGGGTTCGATCCCGCGACCTTCAGGTAAGCAGTTGAGTAACAATCCCCCAAAATAATTTTGGGGGATTGTTTCTACGTTTGACACAACCTTATTGAGAACCAGAAGATAATAGACAGTTACAGTTTACTGGGCTTAGCAGGATTAAAGTGCGTATGCGCAGTAACATACGTGACCTGTACCAATCACCGTACGCATGGTAGTTTTCAGGCTTAACGGTACCGTGTTAGCGCGGTTCCGGACACCCGCTTCGAAGTGATTTTGGCGTAGTTATTGAAAGATTCTCTTTGTTTGCAGCAAACGACTGTTAAAATGACTTCGATTGCCTTCAGTTAGCTTCGACGACAAAGTATTGTGAATAAGTTAGCATAGTTCTTTAAGATAACTTTCCATTTCGGACGTCTCTAGCCCTAACTAGACGATCGATGTAGACAAATCTGCGACGTAAAATGTATTGCGTATGGGGCGTGGTTCATATTTATCTACTCCTATTATTAGTAAAAAAATCTGGTAACATTGCTTTGCGCGGTGGCATTGGCAAACACTCTCGTTACGTTTACTTTTCACTGTTCTTTAACTTAACCATTCTCTGATAGATGGCGCCACCGTTTCAGCCGGGTAACGTAAGCGCTATCCCATTAAACTATAGAGTTCTCACTTCGGGTTATTGTAATACATTGACCCGTTTAACAAGTGTCTCAGTTTAGGTGAAACCCTTGCTCCTAATAATACAAGAAACATATCCGACATTGAAAAAAGCTTGATACTGATAAGAAAAAATTTTTTTAAATTATAAAGTCTATTTGGGGGGTGAAATGTTCGTCCAGCAGACCATTAAGCTGATTGCAGATTGATAAGTAGTGGAATTTAAAAAGAAGCGCACCTTCTCCTGCAAGTCCTTCTCCGAGATTTCGACAACCTCTGGCTCACTGCCGTAGCGGCTGCGCATGAAGTTGATCTGCTCCTGAACGAGCTGCTTCAGCACGAACAGCAACAGTTCGTTGTTGTCCTTCTTGTAGCTCAGGTACCTCTGGAATGTCTGAAAAAAAAAAAAAAAAAGATGATGATTGATGATATATGAAAATATTAAAGAGAACATTAAACAGTATACAGTAGAACCCCTCCGTCAGAGACACTGATGTAATAGACGATCAGGTATAAGAGACACCAGCGCGCATACATTAAAATAGAGGTTGATAATATATGAGACACTATATGGTTAACCTCTCTGCCTTTCCTCTTTGCTTTTCCCTCTCTCTCATAAAAAAGACAAGATTTGCCCCCTGGTGTATGCCCCTTTCAGAGGGGTTCAACTGTACAAGAATGTTAAAGAAACCCAAGGGAATCAAAATAAATCTGGAATACCCCGCTATGGCTGTCTGATAAGTACATAATCTTTACCTGGTTCTGCACGCAAGACTCAAGAACTTAATAGTATATCATAATGCAGCAGTACATGCTACTAAGCTCGTTCATTTCATGTTTCTGGTGTTAAGTCAAAATTTTTACACAGTGAGCCATATTGGTCAACATGATACTTCACCAAGAAATATTACAGGAGGAACATTCCTTGTTTGGCAAGTTCTCATTATTTCAAATAGAGAGTGCTATTCCATGTACACAGGTCGGCAAACTCTCTCAGGAGTCAACTCTCTCAAACTCAGACCTGAGCCGCGAGTCCGAGTGAGTTCGGTTGCGTAATGTTTTGGAGAGTCTGAGTCTGAGTGAGTTTGAGTTGACGAAAATTTCGGTGACTGAGAGTACGAAAGAGCTCCCATATCTCCTGAGCTTCGACTTTACTATCAGCCTCATGTGTGCTCACATTCATACTCGCATACTTTGACGTATAAGCGTTAATATGCCAGCTCAATATTGATTGATCAGAGGCGTAAGTTACAGAGGGGAGTGGGAAGGTGCCTTGACACTCCCCCATTAGCTAACTCTTTCTTGGCAAGTTCCTGGTGTAAGTTTTTTTCCGTGAGTTGAATAAAAGATGCCCTCACTGAATTACAGCCACTGATTAACCATTACTTGAAGATGCAAGATCGAAAGGTGCTATGGAAAGCAACAGCTATGTGAGATACTTATGTTCAATTGCATTGACACCATGGTTGAAAAGCTAACTACTGTAATTTATTCGCATAGTAGGTGCACTTTTTTCCATAAAATCCTGCTCCAAGTTTGGTGTGCACCTATTATGCGGGGTAAAATTTCCGAAAACGTTTTATGTCCGAGTACAGCATAGACCACTGATAACGTAAGTCACCGAAGTTCCCGATATTCACACTACAATCGAAACAACCTTCTTCATAGGCTACACAATCGCGAAACGTGCTGAGCATGCAGTCTCATGTGTTCGAGAATTGAGCCGTACGATGCGGTATGCTTAGAAGCAATTGAATTTCCAAAAATATAACATCTAAAAACCTACGTGGCCAAAGTGGCCGGCAGGAGGTGTATGTTATGACAAGAAAGCGCCATTGCAGAGTTCTGCAATTAGGTTTCAGGCCTCCTAGATCATGCGCATTACCACGACTGAAATTCTGTGCGCTGAACGGTAGCGAATGTTCATTTCACGGCCTCGCAGCCCATATCCAAAGACTATGCAAACGAATCTGGAACCACCATTCGAGTTTTACAAGCGCCACCTGTGCCCTCTTTCCTTTAAGTAAAGCCATCGCAAAAAGTTACGTTATTCCTGAACTAAACCTACAACTTTGATCACCTGCGACTGATACCAAAAAGCAAGCGACAAATGCTGATTAGGCTTAGTCTACAGTTTGGCAGGTTGTAGTGGGAAGTACTCAAGCACTGATCTAGGAGCAGCGTGCGTGATGTGATGTTTAGGTTCGTGGCCAGGACAAATCAACGGCAGAAAAAGTCCGCCGAGCTTGTGCAAGCCCGTGTAGGGGCAGCAAAGGCGACAGCTCCCGTCGTGAAACCGAAAAGCTCCTAAATTTGCAGACAAGGTAGCCAACTCGATAACTACGACGCTTTTCCCTACAGGAACCTCAGAGTGCCCTTGATGAGGACGCAATCACACATTCCAAGCAGAAAGCGCGGCCAGAGCCACGCCGGCGCTAGTGCAAATGTTACTCCGACGCCCAGGCGACCGCCCCTTCTTCCTCACTCGGCGAGCCCGCACAACACTGCCGTGGTCTTTTCTTTTTTACTCACTACAGTTAAGCGAAAAGACGTCGAATTGCAACCGTGCAAATACGGTACCGAATCATGGTCGATTTCGAAATGTGCCTATTATGTGCGTAAAAAAAAACAACAACAATTTATCGTGACCACTCGGGAGTGCACCTATTACACGATTATGCGAGTAAATATGGTACACACTAACAGACTTGTGAATCCACTCGCTCAGGCTTCCCCAGATTAAGATCGAGCAGTGAGTCTGAGTCTGCTAGAGTCAGATTGATGAAAATTAGCACAAATTGCAAAATATACTTTTTGAGTGAGTTTAAGCGAGCTCCACATTTTTTTGCCGACCTGTATTCTCAACGTTGTAGAACTCTGCTGTCAACTTTTGTAATCTCTGCATTTTAAAACAATCAGGGAGGCCTCAGCAGCCCTCTTGGCCAATTACAGTTGACCAATAGTGGAACTCTGCAACACAGTACAATTTGGGAAGAATTGCACACAGAAAGCTACCTTCAAGACTCTTCTCGCCTCCAATATAGAATGCTGTGTTTACAGAGCCATAGAGATGCTTTACTCAGAATAATATTTTCTTCGTAGCACAGCTATGTTGCAGAAATTTTTTTGGCGAAGTAAACTTGTTAACAAAACTTGCATAACGTGTTCATGTATCTCCATGTCTGTCTGTGTATGCATGGCCATTATTACTTTTAACAAATTTGCAGCTTGAAATTACAAGCCCGTTGCTGCAGTCTGACATTATTGAAGACAGTAAGTGGTACTCTGAACAGCAAATTAATACTGCTTACTCGAATCTTTACTGCTCTGGCTGGTGAACACCAACTATTATAACATCAGCAATACACGATAACGAGATGAAGGATGTGGGTGAGTTAACGAGGTGTCATGCCAACACACAACTGTGAAGTGCAAGAACTAGAGAAGGCATTGGGAGAAACAAGAAAAGCGGGGTGATAAAAAACACACCTTGGATCGACACAGTCTGCCACGCATCAATCCTCGCCTCACCTTGCCTTGAACCAGAACCCTTGTAGCACTGTGCTTTACCATCACACGATCACATCGCACACCTTATGCTTGCACCAGATCCTTCGCAGCACTCTGGCTTACCGTCACACATCCCGTCACGCCATACATCACACAGTTCACTCCACGACATCACTGCTCACCTTGGCCATGCTGCGCATGACGCTGTACTTCTGGGTGTTGATGAAGCTCTCGAGCATGACGCGGATCGCCATGTTCACGTCGTCCTCGAGCACGTGCTCACGCAGGTGCAGGCGTGCGTGCGCCTCCGCAAGGCGGATCATAGACTCGATGTGACGCACCGTGATGGGGACGCTTCCCGTCAGCTGGCAAAGCAAGGCAAGAGAAACGAAGCAATTGTATAGGATCTCTGCCGATTGACCAAATGCTTTCAAACCCCAATTTTTATTTCAACGATTCTAACGAGGAAAATGATCAGATTAGGCTTAAGGGCTTGAGAACAATTATCAACATAGTCTTCATTCTCAACCTTTGACAAGAACGGCAGGTTATAAGAAGCCATAATGCAGCTTTGATCCTGTCGTCAACCAGGATATATTGAAATATCGGTTATAACGAAGTAAATGAAATAGTCTTGCAGTAGATATGGTGTTGGTGATACTATACATTTTTAACAAATTTTTGCATATACAAACTTATTTTTGTGTAAGAGGCAACATTTGTTTTAATGAGTTCAAGTTTCACCAACGTACCGTTGCGGTGAAATAAACTTCTAAATTCAAATATGACAGCACTTGAAGAAATAAAACTTCGGCGGACATAAGACACAAAGTACATCTTGATCCTAACCTATTTATTTTATCAGGGAGCTGCTACTACAAAGAGATACAGTAAAACCTTGTTAAATCGAACTCGGGTTATTTTGAAATCCCTCTTAATACGAAAGATTTCCGCGGTCCCATATCTTGCAATGTAAGTTTGAGAGGATAATTCGGAGCGGCGGCCGGCACCAATCCGGTTAGTTCGAAAACATTGGGTGCTATGTGCCAGTTCACGTCCCGACTTCGCCGCAAATCTGACGAAACGATGGCCCTTAATAGCCACAAGGCAATGCAACGCAGCGATACTGATCAGTGGTAGCTGAAGCACCTCAGCCTCGCTACTTCCAATGCAAAAAAAAAAAAAACAGTTTCAGGATCAACTAAAACTGGACGTGCTTCACTGCAATACAACAGTGACGCGCCAACAGCATACCGCATGCGTCTAGCAATATTAGCGGGTCATGGTTCACTCATTCTTTTTGGGATTGTAAAGCAGATTGCACCTACACCTCGCTGCGTCAGCACGACGTGCTGACGCAGCGAGGTGTAGGCGACGTGCTGCCAACGTGTCACTACTGTGTTGCAGTGATTTTCTTTTGCTTGTTTTTTTCTGTAGCAGCAGCAAGGCCCACCATTGCCCCCGTGTTAATGCCAAAATTAAGATTAGGTATCGCTGAAAAACATCACCCTTGGAGCCGCAAGCTAGCCGGCACAGCATTAATAACATAAATTACGAGCACTGATTACTTTCAACAGTTTTAGGCTCCTTGCATTCGACTTTTTGAATGTTCTGTTAATTCGAAACCCCACTTAATTAGAAGATTTCTCGTGGGCCCAATGACTTCGAATTAACAATATTTTACTGTATGTGTTCACTTTACGCCCATTTTAAAAGCAATACCGTTAAATAGCTCGTTTCGCAGAAATTTCACTGTCGGCATGGGTGTCATTGGTTGTAAGCGAAAAATCATTTCGTCACCGAAAAATCGAGAAAGCTGCAAATTAACAAATAATAAAAATTTTGGTGTTCGAGTGAGGATTGAACACAGGCCGTCAGCATGGCAAGCAATTATTCTACCACAGGGCCACAATGTTTGTTGAAAATGCTAATGAAAAAAAAAAAAAAAAACATTTTATGAGCGCCATGTATTAGAAGGAGCCTCCTTAACGTATCGCGTGGCAGAAGCATAGGATTGCGCCAGACGTGAAAAGGTACGAATTGAGCAACGAGAGGTTGTTTCAAAGGCCCATCAGTTACGAAGAGCTCAGGCATATTTACTCATCATCAGCAGCAGAAGCACCAACAAGTTGAACAGCTGCATAGGTTCGTGCGTTACACTATGGACGCATAGTGCGCCCTTCCCTGATTCGCCAAACAAATAATTATAATGTAGGGGACCCTTAGCAACTGTGCTCGCAAAAGGCATTCGACGATACTTTGAAATGGCCGATGTTGCACTCGGCTGTCCGTGGTGCGGGCACGAGACCGCCGACATGGCGCATATACTTTGGGAGCGCGAGTGCGGTGTTCGCCGCCACTACTCAGACGAGCGTGAGTGTACCCCAGGACGACTCGCTGAGCGGTGGCGAGCCGCCCTTCTCGTCCCACGTGCTGTGGACCAAATTAGGGCTGTCCAGCGGGACCAGGGCTATCGCTGAGGACATCGCACGATGCTCCGCGAGGACGGCTCCTGGAGGCCTAGCCCGAGCCAGTGATTCCCCGTTGGAACCTAATAAAGTTTATTACATACACGCACAGTCGCTCACTTCCTAACGGCATGGTTGAGGCATGCACTGAGAGCCGGAGCAGGCCAGAAGGCGATGCACGCGAGTCCCGTTTGCACTATTGCGATCCGCTTTTGAAGGAAAAGCTGAAGCGTCCTCAATTTCCCCTTTTTGTCAGGCTTCTAATGCCCACATTAGAGCAGTTCAATCACAATAGCATCAAGCAGTCTTCAAAATGTGCACAGCAAAGAGAAGATAAAGAACGCAAGACACGGGTAACTCACCATGGATTCCCTTCTCAGTTCGCTGTACATTCGTGCCACCTTGTCCTGATCCATCTGGTGAAGCTTGGGGTGCACTTTTTCACGAGCGTACAGGATGTATTTTTGCAGAAGGTCCTGCGGGATCTTCTCGGGGCCCGTGTCGCCGTCGTCACGTTGACCTTGGCTCCCCTGCATCACGTGACAAGTTACACTTCTTTGTTCTATTAAATATTTCTACAAAATAAAAAAGTCACATGAAATGTCTGCACGTTAGAGGTGAGCATGAAACGAAAGCCGTGGATCTTCTCGGGGGCCCGTGTCGCCCTCGTCACGTTGACTTTGGTTCCCCTGCATCACGTGACGACACCCAAGTTACACTTTTTCGTTTTAATGACCATTTCTACAAAAAAAAAAAAAAAAAGTCGCATGGAATGTCTGCACTTTAGAGGTGAGCACGAAACGGAAGCCGTGTTGGCGGCATTGGCAACAGTTTACACACAGAGCAAGCAAACATTATGACCACTTGCATTACTAGTAGAAGAGTTCAATATGTGCATAAGTTTTTGTACAGCTCATCAATGATGTCATTTTTTTCCCAATATGAAAGCACATTCAACATATTTGTGGTTTTACATCATCACCGAGCATCAAAATAGATGCAATACACGTTTTCAGCAATTCCACTAGATGCAATACAGGGCACGCTGGCGAAGCCTTTAGCAGAATCATGGGATTATGTCTCGTCACTGCAGCAGAGTTTTTCAGGTAGCGTTGAACATCAATAACATGGTTGTTATGAATGGCTGATGTTTTTTTTTTTCATGCTGCTATTCTGTTTCCATATGTATTGCCCACACTGCTTGGACCTTCAGTTTGCAGTACGGTATGAATGAATATGAGAGAATAAAATGCAATGGGCTAAAGAGATGCCAATATCATGTTCCATAAACATCACACAGAGCTTTTTCCTGTATAACGGTGACAACTATAGACCTCAAATGTAAACAGAATTATACATATTTCTTTCTAAAGGAAAAATAACGTAGGGCAAGGTACAAAATCCAAGCATAGAAAAGTACAGATTGTGGCAAACATGCACAAGTAGAACGACCAAATTACAATCTCATCACAGGACAACTCACAGCCGAGATCAAGACAATGGTTGGTAATTTGCTTATCGCTTCTTGTGATGAGGGCTCATCAGGGTGGCCCTATGCACATTGTCACGCAAGACGATACACCTGACGACAGGCAACCACACTCACACAACCACTCATCTTCAGCGGCACATCCCGACTACCCGCGTCCCGCTTCCCTACTTCCCGCGCGCCCCTTCGTTGTTCATGTGACACTCGTGCGGCACCTCGTTCTTCGACCGTCAACCACACCCAACCCCCCGGGCACTCCCTCTCATTCCTCACAACATAGATTGAAGGAATTTGTTCTCAGCCATTGTGTTGTCAACAAAGCAGGACCCAAGCAGTGATTAATACAATCGTCATTCATAACCAAAGACAAAGGATTGCATAACACTGAGGAATAAGCTAACCTGTTCCATTGACTCATCCGTATCTTCCGGATTGTTTCCACTTGGATGGTGGCGGATGTGGCTGTCAATGACGAAACGGGCAAGCTTTTCATCCTGCAACAAGAAAAAAAACAAATTACTGCCAAGTGCCACTTGTAGAACAAACAAAAAATAAATCATTTATAAGACTTTTTCGGTAACAGTGCAGAGTACAAATGAGTGTGTATGATTCTAATGGAATGTCGAGATTCCCCTTGTGCAAAGACATCAATGTTTGGCTTGAATAATGTTGTTTTTCAGCTGTTATTCTTTACAGTCTGAGATGACACACCTGCCATCAATGACTAATTAGGCACCGTTTCATCATTTCGAGCTCATTTTCATGTCCACTGCAGGACAAAAGCCTCGCCCAAGGATCTCGAATTTACCCTACCCTGTGCAAGCTGGTTCCATTTTATACCTATGAACTCTCCCAATTCGTCAATCCACCTAACCCTATTCCACTTTCGAGTACATGTTTCATCCCTAGGTAGCCATTCCGTAGCTCTAAATGAGGATCAGTTATCTCTCTTTCACAATATGTAACCTGCCCTGGTTCATTTTTTAAGGGCAAACCACCTTAGGACTTAGGCTTGTATGTTGTCTGGTGATGACGTTGATGATGATAAAGATTAAGCGTGTTCTAGACCACACATTCTCCCACTGACATCACAGTACAGCATATGCAAGGCACCCACTATACGTCATGATGATGACGCTGATGACGATGAAGAATAAGCCCGTTGCAGATCGCACATTCCACGACTGAAAACGATCGTGACAGTGATCTTGTCTGCGAAACACGAAGCGGTAATGCCGAATCAAGCTGCTACCCAGGAGGCTCTGGCATGGCTCAACGTATACACAAACAGCGAGCCAACCAGGAGGCGAAAGCTCGGGGAGCGGCGGCAAGACGCAACGCCGACGACAAGCTGCTACCCCGAAGTTGACGGTGCGAGGAGCAACAGCTCGACAGCAAGAACACATTGTATATACTGTACACATGCACTGTCCCTTATTTATATGAGCGTGTGGGCAATGCCACTAAAGTCCTTATTAGGAATCAAAGCTGCGCAAACCACATCCCAGTGCCTTTGCCTCCTTTCTCGGCAGCTCCAGCAGCCCCCATAGAGCATCCAGCAGGTAACTATGCACGCGTATCCTGTCCCGGCGCATAGGGGAGGGTAAGCCGGTGTTGTTGTGGAAGCAAAAGAAAACATGCAACCGAGGACAGACAAGATGGCGCTTGCACTACCAAAGCTATCAAGCACGGGCAAGAGGAGGAGCCTGTACACTGACATGAATGGCTCTACTTTATTTATTTTTAGGGAATAACTTGAAGCCAGGGTTCATGCTCGTTTAGATGACAAACATTCAAGGGTTTTCAAAGACTTTCAAGGCTATGTGTGAAAACTTTCCAGGAATTCACTGTATGTTAGAAACCCAATTAGCACATGTTCAGGGGAGGATAAAGGCTCAAAATAATTGGAATTAATCAAAAACGGCTAACATCACTGGTGCAGACATTAAAAACATGGCTCCAATGACATTTTCTTTTTAGATTACTTTCAATCGTAGTTTCTTAATGTTGCATAGGTAATTCCTTTCATTCAGTATGACACAGGGTGCAAGCTTTTATTCATATAGGAAAACTAAAAAATAATTATTACACAACGCCTTGTTGCTTTTCCTGAATTTTCATATCAATATCCACTATCTACTGCTGCTTGGTCGTGGCAGTCTTCCTAAGGCTGTTTGACTTGATTATGCATATCAGGTCACTAGTTGCCTCTGCCTTTTCTTCATATGAGTCTGCTATAGCTGTTAATTCCTCAACAGCGGCTTCCAGTTTGTTTTCCTTTCTTGTAAACACTTCAACCTTCTCTCAATGCAAAATTTCTGCCGCTTCGCATCCTGCTGCTCTCATCTTTTTCAAGTTTTCAGAAATGAACAGGGTTACTTCAATGCAGAAGTTGCTGATATTCTCAATTCTTTTGCGATAGGAACATTACATATGCCGCCTGCTACATGTACAGCATCAGAAACAATGCGTTGTGAAATATGAGACCATGAATAAAAAAAAGGAAATTCAAGGATTTGCTAGAATTCAAGCACTTTCAAGGTCTTGAAAACGTACTTGTCAAATACAAGGTTTTTAAGGTGTTTCAAGAACCTGCATGATTCCTGTTAAATGTCATGGGTAATTTACAGTAAAAACGATCCCCAGTCCTTCACCCGCTCGTCATAATTCACCGCGTGGAGATGCGTCGATTTTTTTCCGTTCTTAGTTTCACCGGAATGCCGGCTTCCCCCATTTGTTCTTGGTCTGTGTGTTCCCGTCCGATAATGTTATGCCAAACATTTTTCAAATTAGTCATATGAAATGCTTTCATAGATGCCATAAGTAAAGGGAGCTATCAGCTAATGAGAATGTATTCTCTACTCACCTGAATAGGGTCCACCTGATCCCTCACCACGCAAAGCACATCAAACCTAGACAGGATGGGTTCTGTCAGGTCCACCTAGAGAGAAGAGAGACAAATAAAAAGTCACATTACAAAGTGCTTTTGTTGCAGATACCATTATGGGGAGAGCCTGTAACTTGAGATGTTTTTAAAATTCTTGGTTAATTTGTTATGAAACTCCCTGAATACATGTACAGTGAAAGCTCGTTAATTCACACCTCATTAATTTGAAATTTTGGATAATTCGAAATGCTCGCCGCAGTCCGGTCCGCAGTGCATAGGAGACCATGTGTAAAACGATTCGTTAATTCGAACAGAAATTGCTGCCTCTACGGATAATTCAAAGCACGCGCCGCCGAGCGTCATCATCGTCAAACACTAGTGGAAGCTTTTACGGTCGAACGATAGATGGCACGACCAGTTTTTTCGAGCTTCAAGTGGCCTCCGAGCAAAGGGCGAGCAAAGTATGGCCTCCAAAATCCAGGGAGCAATTTTTTTTTTTTCTGTAGCCCTCCCTATCTCAGCACCTGGCGCCACTTGTACGCGGGACCCACGGGACGCTAAGGAGTCGGCGGAGTAGTCCTAGCAGTCCTAGGCCGCTCCCGGCAGCGTCACTTTGTTCCTCGAGCACCTTGTTCGTTCACGCCGTCAAGCCGTCTTATTCCGCATCGAAGTTGCAAGATGCCGCGGGAAAATTGCTGCGCGAAGACTGTCAAGGAGAATGTGGAGATTTTGCGAAAGGTTGACCAAGGAAACTCGAGCAAATACGAAATTGCGAGGAAGCACGGCATACCTCAGAGCACGTTGTCAACCTACATACACAACAGGACGGCCATTGAAAACGCCTATGAAGCCTAGGTTATGGCACCAGTTGAAAAAGGCTAAGGACAGCGAAGTTCCCGGAACTGGAGTCAGCTTTGATTATCTGGGTTAAAGAAATGAGAGCCCAGAGTATCGCATTGAGCGGCCCTATCATCGTGGCCAAGGCAGCCGATTTCACCCTGCGCTTGGACATTGAAGACTTTGTCGCCTCCGAGGGATGGTTTCATCGTTTCAGGGAGCGGCACAATCTCGTATTCCGCACGTTATCCGGCGAGGCAAAGGAAGCGGGCGCCGAAACATGCGCACTTGGAGAAGCGACACCCTGCAGCAGTACTTGGAGGGCTACTCACCACAGGATGTGTTTAACGCTGACGAGACAGCGTAATTTTTCAAGTTGCAGCCAGACAAGACGATCACCTACAAGGGAGACAGCTGTGCCGGCGGCAAGCGCAGCAAAGAGCATGTCACTGTTCTGGTCACCGCAAATATGACCGGTACGGAAAAGGTCCCCCTTTTTGTAATTGGCAAAGCACTCAAGCCAAGGTGCTTCAAAAACATTCGCTCACTGCCGACAGAGTACGCCGCAAACAAGAAAGCCTGGATGACAGGTGACCTATTCAGGAAGTGGCTACTGAAATTCGACAGGCGAATGGAACTGGGCGGCAGACGCGTTCTTCTTGTCGTCGACAACTGTTCGGCGCACAAAGTCGACGTTGAGCTGAGAGCAACTAAGTTGGTGTTCCTTCCGGCAAATACGACTGCGGCCCTACAGCCAATGGACCAGGGTGTGATAAGGAACATTAAGTGCTTTTAAAGGCGTCACGTGCTGGAGAGAATGATTTTGTGCGCGGGCGACAAGAAGAGTTCAACATTACGCTGCTCACTGCCATGCACATGTTGGTGCGCGCATGGGAACAGGTGACCGCGACCACAATCGCAAACTGTTTCCGCCACAGTGGATTTGCAGCTGGAAGTGCGCAGGATAGTTGTGACGTCAACGTGGATGGGGCTGAGGAGCTCATGCCAGTGGCATTGCGCGACACTCTTCGAGGCGTACGTTTTGCCGATTATGTTGAAGTTGACACCGGTGCATCGGTGTGTGGTGCCCTGACTGATGAGGACATTATCGCTCAAGTAGCCGGTGTGCAGCCTCATGCTGAAGAGCCAGAAGGTGAGGAAGACGAAAATGACGAAGCGCCTGTGCGCCCGTCAGCTTCTGCGGTGATGGAGGCACTTAATGTGGCGCGTCTCTTCTTCAGCTTTGAAGAGGGTGAAGAGGATTCCCTGCGCCGCGTCTGCGCGCTGGAGCAGGGAGCCGCAGCTGTGGCATTCAGAGAAAAGAAGCAGATGGTCATCACAGACTTTTTTGGCCAATAAAAATTTTTCGTGCCCCCACCCCCGAAATCCACCCATTTTTGCTCACTTTCATTATTTCGAATTTTGTTTAATTCGAAATTGCTCAGCATTCCCGTGGAATTCGAATTAACGAGCTTTTACTGTATATGTAGTTATCAACATATAAAACATTCCATGTACCTCTGTGGGAGCAAGAATTTTTTCTTAACTGAGAGATTTGGAAAGTAAATCAGAATATGCAAATAATTGGCAATAACAACAGTATGCAGTAAAACAAGAATTGATGTTCCAAACCCACTTGAACATCCACCTCTGTGGTGTTTTTTCATTTGGATACAGATGCATTCGTACTAGGCTTGTGCGAATATTCGAATGCTTTGAATATTCGAACGAATACAGTCAACTGACGATTTTTCGGGCACCCGAATTTTTGGACATGCCCGATGATTCGGACATCTTCGCGGCACCACCAGGAGGCCCATAGAATCAATGTATAAGGAAGTCTGAAATTTCGTACGCTCGAACCACCCGAAGTCCAATTTTCCGGACTTTTTGACACAACGGAAGGTCGGAAACCACCACTGACCTCCAGTGGAAACCACCACAACTGCGTCACACGCGATTACGATCGCATAAATGAGCACGCCGGTCTACTGTGGCGGCATCTGTTGCTTGGACTCGTTGATCATTAGCGGAGAAACACACACGGCCTCCGAGATTCCTAACACTAGCCATGTTTATCGTGCAAGGGTGCTTCGCTGACAATCGAAACTATCCACCCGGAAATTTTTTGGCGCCAATGCCAATAAAGTTCCTTTTGTTTTAGCGCTTGTGCTCGTGCATGCCCCTCTGGCTTCCCACGCAGCACTTTCGCGAAGCATTTCACTACTTCGAACTAGAACTAACCGTCACACACCGATGCACCCAAGGCACCGTTGCCTGCCGTCACACCGTTTTGTTTACGCAGCCCACATGGTGTTTGGCTAGCTTAGTGCGTGGTTGTGCGATCGTGTGAAGTGTGCTCTGCAACGCTAAGCCTAGGTGCTTCGACGCTCGTCAGCAAACACTTTTGTTCCCATCGTGAGGATTTCGCTTGCCTGCGATGGCCCCCACTCCAACTTCGTCGTCCTCGCCGATGGCATCGAAGCGCGGAAAACAGTACTGTCGGTTAACGATAGAGAAGAAAGCTGCCATTATTAAGTTAGTGAAGAGTGGCCGATTGCAGGCTGACGTGAGCAAGGAGTTCGGCATTTCCAAGCAAACAGTTTCCGATTTCCTGAGGAACAAAGACACGATCTTGGAAGCGGCCAAAAAACCGTCTGGTGCCCAAAAGATGAATGCAAGCCAAGGTGTTCATCCAAAGCTTGAGGATGCTCTCGTTGTGTGGCTTAATTCAATGATTGCCAAGCGGTTGCCAGTCTTGGGCTGCATCTAGAAACAAAAAAAGAAACACTAACGCTTCGAATGGACATCACGGATTTTAAGTTCAGTGATGGATGGCTGAGAAACTTTAAGCATCAGAATGACCTCAAGTTCAAGAAGATGTGTGGCGAAAGCGGTGCCGTCGACAGTGCAGTTATTGCGCAGTACCGCAGTGGAAAACTCCAGTCTTTGTTGCAGCAGTTCTCTGCTGACAACATTTTCAACTGCGACGAAACTGGCTTGTTTTACAGGCTGCGGCCGGAAAGAACACTCGCTTTTGCTGGTGACGCATGCCATGGTGGCAAGCATAGCAAAGAACGGCTGACTGTTCTTGTCAGCAGCAACATGCCTGGCAGCGAGAAACTTCCTTTGTTAGTAATCGGGAAGTCCAAGAGCCCGAGGTGTTTTGAAGGAGCAACGCTGCCAGTGTTATACGAAGCCAACAAAAAGTCATGGGTAACGCAGCAGCTGTCCGTGAGTTACATCCGCAGGTTGGACAGGAAGTTTGAACAACAGAACAGACGTGTTCTGCTCTTCGTTGACAAATGCGCTGCTCATGGTCCCATCAATAACTTGAAGGCTATCCAGCTGGAATTCATGCCGCCCAACACGACTGCGATCCTCCAACCGATGGACCAAGGCGTTATCCGTAATCAAAATTTTTATACCGTTCACAAATACTCAACCGCATGATGCTGTGCTCGAAAAACGGGAAAGGCTACAGCGTTGACTTTTGGTCTGCTGTCGGAATGCTTGCGGACGCATGGAAGGCAGTAACGCAAGACACGCTTCGCAACTGCTTTCGCCAATCGGGCTTCGTACTCGACAGAGAGGCAGCAGACTTGCCTGAAGAAAGCGACAGCATTACAAACTTGTGCCCTCTCATGGGCGATATTATCAACGACCTCCACTTTGCTGGTGCTTCCATGCTCACAGACATAACTTTTGAGCGGTTTGTCGACGCTGACAACGAGCTCGACTTTTGCGCAGAGATAACCGACGACGAAATAGTCAGTCAGGTTATGGCGGACTCAGACGACTCCGATGTTGAAAAAGAGGAACCAACGCCTGCACCACCTATGACCGCCGAATTGATGCGAGCATTCATGACGCTGTCATCGTTGTCTAGTGATGACATGACCCTAGCTCAGATCGAGGCAAATGTGATCACATGCAAGCGAAACGCCGTTCAAACAAGGATCAACAAGTTTTTCAAGCCACTGCAGCTCTAACAACGGCTGCTCTGACGACACCCGCTGTCGGCTGCATGCATTTTTATTTAACGGCTCTTTTCAGAGCCACCCCGCTGATGCTTTGGCAGAGCTCTGGAAGTCTGGTACTTCGACCTTGACCCTCTTGATCCGAGAAATGTCAATGAAATGGTGCGTTTTTTGCTTGCATTGAGAAATATTAGCAAAATGATAAATGATGCGTTTTTTTTTGCTTCCATTGAAAATTATCAGTAAAATAGTGCGTTTTTTTTTGCTTGCATTCATTTTTTCGGAATGCCGGAATTTTCGGACGGTTTTTCGCTCCCTAGAGGGTCCGAAAAATCGGCAGTTGACTGTAAGTACAGTATTCCAATTCACTTCGATTCGAATTAAAAATATTGAAAATTTTGAAGTATTCGCAATGAACGAATATGTGTATTAGTCTGCATGTAACTGCCTGTAGAGGGGGCTTCACTGCAGTGTAGGGAAAATCCGATTTGCCGTGAAGCCCCACAAATCTAAAGGGGCCTTGCAACACTTCTTGAGCCTAGTATAATAAAACGTTGCCAATCAGTAGTCAAGGCTACCGAGAACACGTGAGTGAAATATTATAGCGCTGCACACGGCCTGGAATAGACAGTAAATTCTCAGTCAGCTGAAAATTGTTTTCTTTTCTTTTAACAAATGAGGGATGAAGCTAAAAAATTACTCGTCACAGCCATTGTATCAACCATTGGCTGACTTGAGCATGGCACGCTCGGTTGTTACTGGGGCCTCCGCGGGTGGCCGTGACTTGTCCACGCGTACGTGCACAATCGCACTAAAAACCTGCGTATTCGAAGAAAAAAATAAGAGAGACAAAGTGCTCAAGGTCATGAGGCACGCGTGTTGTATTTTCTTTCGCCATGCCATTCCTCCCTGCTTAGCTTCCAGTGCTCTCGTTGGGACAAGACAAAAGAAGATGCAATTGAAGCGTGCGACAGATCTTTGCAACTCTGCTCGTACTGGACGTATTCTAAAGATTTTTGCAGCGATAGATTCATCAGGCAATAAGCTTTTTTGGTGAATCAATTCCGTGGCTACTTGAAAAAGTGTTGCAGGGCCCCGGTAAATGAACATATAACCCTCACATTGATTCATAACTTTTTAAAGTCTAAAAGCTTGTTATGCTGGCTTATATTCTAAGTATACAGTCGAACCCCGCTACAACAAACGCCGTTTCAACGAAATTCCCGCTAGAACAAAAAAATCACGGTTTGCTGTCAGCAGTCCATAGAAGTCAATGCATAAATATTGTCGCCACAACGAAAATTTTTTCTTCTGTCGTCCCGCTTCAACAAAGTTTCACGACGCGATTCCAGGCTCAGATATTTATTGCTATACAGTAAACCCAATATTTCACATTTTGATGCATTTTCAGAACCTGAATATGTGTCGACACGAAGTCTAAAACACGCGTTGGCACCACCAGAAACCACCGATGTTCAGCAAGCATGGGCGCCGCCATTGATCGATAGCAATGGCAATGAGACTTCCCTGCTTTTGCCACTTGGTGCCAACGCGTGTTTTAGACTTCGTCGACGTATTTTCAGGTTCTGAAAATGCATCACAATGTTAAAGCTTCGGTTCAGTGTATAGCCACACACGATCTGAAGCTCAAGCTCAGTTGCTTAGTTCATAGTATCCTTCAAGCAGCTGCTGGGTGCATCTGCGGAACGATGCCTTTTCCGATTCCAATGCTTATCATTTTTTTCGTGCTTGGCCAGTGTGGTAACTAATCAGAGCGGCTGTTCGTCCGCATTATCAACAAAATCAGCTAGCCGCGAGTGATGGATGATAAGAATGGCATAAAATAAGGCAAAAGTCACCGCTCCACGATACCCTGCTGCCATCTCGGCGTTTTGACGGTGGACAGCAGCTGGTGTTGACGTGTTAATGCAACTGTTTGGTTCGTTCACAAAAGCGGTTGTAGTGATTGTTTCACCGTGCTTTTCACCACGGCCTCGCTATGCATGGGTGAGAATCGCGTCGTCACGCTGCTGGGTAGAATAAAAAGCAACGGACACTTTTTAAATTTTGAGAATAAACGTCCCTTTGTTTTGCTAGTTCAGATCGGCTATATTTTTTCGATTTCAGCAGAACGAAATTTTTTCCGCGCCCCTTCAGTTTCGTTGTAGCAGGGTTCGACTGTAATTATTTTAAAATGTTACATATTTTACAGGTTATAACTTCCATCCTACCGAAAGTGAAATCCTTCTGCTACTCAAAGTTGTTATGACTTCCTTTGAACAAACAAAAAAAAAAAGGGCATTTGCATAATGCTTCATTTCAATTTTTAAGAAATATTGTGCAGGTTAGTTAGGTCATTAAAAATATGCCTATTTTTCTTTATATGTTATACATAGTATACGAATTCAATTCGAAATTATTCGACTAAGATCACTATTTGCTTGTTACCTAAATTTCACTATTCGCACAAGCCTAATTCGTACACAACTTACAGTCTTAGCGAATGTCTGTGCCAGTGATTGCCTTAACAAGAAAAATAATATCCTTAACCAAAACATACGTTTTCAGCAAAGGTCAAGGATGGGTCATAGCGACCGCCGATGGGGTTGGCCGCCGCAATGACTGCGCAACGTGCTTGGAGCGAGGTCACAATGCCAGCCTTCGAGATGGAAATGCTTTGTTGCTCCATCGCTTCATGGATGCTGGTCCGATCTGAGTCGTTCATCTGCGAAAACATTTTACAGCATGACCCTGACAGCCATAAACTGACTTTGACCACTGTTGCTCGGCCATGTATCAAAATTCAAGATGGCAGCGGAAGAGCTGCTTAGAATAAAGAATGCACACCCGTGCTTCTAATTAAATGCTTCACTGAATATGCATGCATTCGCTATTTCCATTTGCCTTCGAACACAAACGGAGAATAAAATAGTGAAACTGGCAAGAGGGAAGCAGAGGACACATATTAGAAATCTCCTGAAGAGAAGGGGGCGATTGCTTGGGTGAGTGTGCTTGCTTACAATTTTATGGTAGCTTGATGTCATGAACTGTGCCAATCAAACCAAAAAGACTGACATTAGCGCAGAGCATAGGTGTTTGCACTTCATCACGTGAGAAAAAATAACAGTGGGCAATTACGCACCTTGTCGAACTCATCAATGAGGCAGACGCCCTTGTCGGCGAGGACTAGTGCGCCGGCCTCCAGCGTCCACTCACGGGTGACCGGACTGCGCTGGACGTACGCCGTCAGACCGACGGCCGAAGCGCCCTGTCCCGTGGCAAAGACGGCTCGCGGTGCTATCTGCTGGACGTACTTCAGGAACTGCGATTTGGCCGTGCCGGGGTCACCACAGATGAGGAGGTTGATGTCACCACGAACTCTGTGCTTCTGACCTACGAGAGAAAGCCAGAAGTGGGAGATTTTCGCTCGTGCTCTGGACATCTATGGCTTTTGAAAGTCAAAAGTAGATAATGACAAAAACGGCACAGGCGACGGGGTGAGTGAAACGGAGAAGATGATGTAGATTTTACTGCTCATTGTGTCTGTCCAGTTGTGTATGTTGTCGTTGCAACTAACATGACCTATTAAACAGACCAGCTGAGAACTCTTGAGCTAATCTAAGTATATGTGGCATGGAATAGAAAATTTATAATGAGTCACAAATGCAAGACCCCAAGAATGCATACAAAAAATACAGAGAATGAAAGAGATGCCAAACAAAAATATGCAATATTTATAGCTAATTAGGTGTAAAAACACAACAGTTCCTGGCACAGCCACCAATTACTTAATAGGGATCTCTTGCTTTAAAAAGGCAACATTTCTGTCAGGTATATATTCTTCAGATTTAATTAAGTATTTGTGCCAATCCTGTAACGTATTTACCATTATACGTAGGAAAAAAGTGTCCTCCTTTAGTGCCCTTTTAATACATTGATATTGCCACATTTCATTCCAGTTTCTTTACAAACAACACTTATGGAGAAAATAAAACTGAAAATATTTAGCACTTCTTTATTATTGCAATGGCGCATTCTGTCCACAACCTCTTCGCAAGCACTGCGTATAAAAAAACGCAGAAACAAAAAAATATGAAGGGCACTATCATACAAGTACAGCTCACAGCTATAGCCTCAGTAACCCTTGTGGGAATTGAGGCTAGCCCGCTGCTTTTGCGCGGGCTTTGCCGCCTTTTCTGCCGTTCTCATGTCCCGACATGTCTGCCCTCCTTTGCTGTCTGCCGTGCTGGGAGAGCGGAGTGACGTTTAACCCCCTCACCCGGTAGCGGATGTTGACTGTGACGCCGCGCGCGGAGTCTCCCGAGAGGTTTTCGCGCGCTGTGTCGGGAGCGGGCAGATAGATACTCTCCGGGACTGCAGACGGTGAGCCACGCAATCTTTTCTGTCCATCGACTCCCGTCGCTCGGGGCTCGTCGGACTTCGCTGACGGCGCCTCGCGCTCAAGCGAACGCTCACCTTTTGTTGCCCCACTGCGTACGCACGGCCAAAGGGCGGTACGGTGTCCTAGTGCGTGGCCTAGCTACGCCGACCCGTCTTCCTCTGAAGCCAACGCGAGCGCCTTTGCCCTCGCTCGAGCAACCAGGCCTTGGTCCCGGTGTCTCCGTGGATCACCTTTACCGTAGAGACGTGCTCATGGCACCCTGTGTAGTACTTTTATGCCCGTGGCATGGATAAGCCTATTTGCTTTCCCGCCGCGCCTTTGCAACGGGCTGTACTGCGTTTGGTGTTGCCACAATAAAGTGTTGCGACTTTGAGCAGTATCGTGTTCTCGCCACGGCGATGGTTAACGCGTGCCCTGCGGCTCGCTAAGACCGGACCCACGCTGGCGGCCGTACTCCTTCGGCATACGTGTACACCACACCCTCAAATAACACAGGTAGAAAATGATACATCTCACGGATAAGACTGAAAACTTACCAGGGTTCTTTGCTTCGCCACCAAACAAGGAAAGTGCAATAGCCCTCTTGATTTCTTCATGCCCGTAGATGGAAGGCCCAATGCTGGCGATAATCTAAATACAGTTGGTTTATTATAAAGGAAAGTGCAAAAAAAAAGTCAGCTTAGAAGCTTTAACACAACTTCAACACGTATTGTAGGCACATTTCAATAATAGGCAGGCCTGAATAGAGTATTTTACAGACGCGTTAAGAGGCCACAATTTTGGGCTGTTGCCGTCCCCGTTTTGCGTCTAGCACTAAGCAAACCATACTGCAGGCTCATATACACATGGATCGATTTATGGATGCACTTGGCATTCCACAACCTAATTTGATGACATGGCAAACAAAACTGAGATATCATTCATGTAAAATCCTGAGGTGGAAGTGCCTATGAGTTGAAAATATAAAGACTATAAAGATAGCGCAAGAATCATACAATTGGCATGGGCATATGTGCACACAGATGTATGCACTTACTCGGTCGGCAAGCCTCTCATCTTTGGAGAGGGCCACAATACGACGCACGTCATCGTCCGTCAGGTGCCGTGCCGCAACTTTGTCGTCTTTTCGGAGCACGTGGTTGGCCATGATGATGGTCGCAAACACGGGAAAGCCATTGGCAGTGTTCAGGGATCCGTCGTAGTTGTTTGTGTACACTCCTGTAAGTTCCTGCAGTGATTTTTTTAGTTAGGTAACCACACGCGCTGCGGAAGTAACGCAGAAGATGAAGGAAACGAAAGAAAACTGTTTCCAGCTCCTCTTTCCAAACATGCGCCTTCGGTACGGTATGCATTATTGACAGCAGCTACAAAGTCACTTGCTGTTTAAACCAATGTGCATTCAAATTATACAAAAGCACTGTATTTACTCACGGAATGAATGCACTGGCATAATAAACGCAACCAAAACGTCAGTCGTCAAAACTTAGATTTTTTTTCTCTTCTCTCGCATAATAAATGCACTGCGTGCATTGATTCGCTGCAGTCCCCGCGAACCGACACTAACATTTCGTTATATCCCGATTCATTCTATCGTGGCTTCAGTGTATTCTCTATAAGATCTGCAATGCATGGCGCTTCAGCTTCCACGGGAACGATGGGTGGTAGGCGAATTTGTCTAAGCTTCATTCTTTTGGTTTCGCGCGGCCAGCAGTCACTTAGTCACAAGACAAAGTTCGGGAAAATACCAGCAGTCCCACTTCAGCCCCTTGACCTTTTTAGGCTGACCAATTCAAATCGGCTCTCGAGGTTCACAACAAGCCGTTCTTTTTATCCACTACTTTAGTCAAAATACAACAAACCACAATAGCATTCGAACAAGCTGCAAGCATGAGGACAAGGCAAAACCATCATTCCATCATTCCCGTGGCGCCTGAATGAATGCTTTCTCCGCAAATATTGTAGAAGACTCTGAACTGCACATTCTTTAAAGGGGGCAGTTGCGCCAACTACAGTCCGCTGAACAGTTGTTTGCACACTCACAATTTCATCACCGGGCTTGCAGGAGTCACAGAGGTCGCTCAGCAAGATGGCATCCTTGGAACGGGGGAGACGACCGGCCGACACTTTGCCGGGACTTTCTTGGATGCTAATGCGCTGGTAGTTCTGGTACACAGTCTGAAACGCACGCAAACACAGCGACAAAGTGTTGGAAGCGACGTAAACCACGAACGCGGAGCAGAACACATGCTCAAAGCAACTTCCAGTGTCTATTCTTATTGTTGTATGCAGTAGCTGTGAAGTCTGCTACAAATTAGAGTTGCACATTGTTTCGTTATACAAATGTTTGGGTGTTTTGTCTCAAAACATCAATGTGATTATGAGGGATAGCGAAATGGAAGGCCCTGGAAATTTCGTCCACCTGGGGTTGTTTTAACATGAGCCTAAATCTAAGTACACAAGCTCCTAGCATTTCAGTTCCATTGAAATGAGCCTCTACCAACTAACGTGGCCCGTGATCTTTGAATTGGCAGCACAACCACTAGACCACCGGGGGGTATGAGCATTGTTTCAATGACTCAAATAATTGTTTTTGTTTTCTGTACATTTCTGTGAACTCTTGCCTCTTTGCCACACACTTAGTCTAGAATATTCTTTACTCTAAAGTAATCAGTACTGGTGCGAGGTACCAATTAATCTAGTCATCTTGAGAGGGTTTTTGAAGAGATTGCCCTCACAGTGTTGTTCTAGAGACATTAAGCTTTCTTTTTGCTGAAACCCCTAAAGCAAGTGGTTGCCTGCGTCCTAAAGAAGATACCGCCAGGTCTGCACCTCACTGCCATTCAGCATAGAGTATTTCCAAAAAAACTGATTAAGTACTCAGGCTTTCAATGAGAATCACCAACCGACACAGGGGCCTTGGTGAGGACAGCGCTCTAAGGCTACTGCACGCCTTTGCTCTCTGTCACTTCACCTTCGTGGCAGGTCTCCTCCAATGGTCGCAGGCCGAGCTGAACAAGCTCAACACCATTATCAGAAAGTTAGTCAAGGCTGCCCTAGGTATACTCAACAGTACGTCGAACGAGAAACTCATGAGCTTAGGCGTGCACAATACTATGCAAGAAATGGCTGAAGCGCAACAGACGGCGCAGCAGGAAAGACTAACGAGGGCACGTGCGGGCAGGCTGATACTCAGGGCAATCAGGTCAGTCCCCAATAGATCGAAGAACCCGAAGGAGGTCGAACTGAACGCGAAGCTTAGAGACGTGATCAGAACCCCTCCCCTGCCGAGAAACATGCATCTGGAACACAATGTCAGCAGGGGAAAAGCGGGAGCAAAAGCTCTATTGAAAGAAATCGAACGGGTAGGACAACAGGCGGCCGTCGTGGACGCAGCCTGGGTGAAAGGCCAAGAGGCCTACATGGCTGTGGTGGTCAACAGCCAGGGAGAGGTACGGGACGCCCTGACTATACTCATTAAGGATTCCACGGTTGTGGAACAAGCTGCGATTGCTTTAGCTATCAGGAACAGAAAATGGTCATACATCTATAGCGACTCCAAAGCAGCAATTACGAGCTTCGACAAGGGCTGTCGCTGGGACTGTGGTTAAACTTATGAACAAAGTCAATCCTATCGATACTGAAATTCGATGGTTTCCTGCTCATATGAGACAAGTGGACGAAACTCGGGTCTACCTCAATGAGGTGACGAATGACCTGGCACGAGGACTCACTTGTCGTGCCGGTCAGACCCGATCCGACGCCCACTACCATTCCGGGGGCTATGAAGATAATTTAATCACTTACAACGATATCAGAAAATATTATTACTTGGGGCGTAGGCAATTCCCACTGCCACACGCAAAATTGAACAGGGCTCAGGCAGTCACGCTACGTTTACTGCAAACCGGAACTTACCCAAGTCCGTATTTTCTACATAAAATTCTCCCTGACAGTGAAATTCAAGACAAGTGTGACGCGTGTGATGGCATCATTGGGATCAGACAGATGCTGGCAGGTTGTCCGCCACAAGGCTCGGCCTGACGGTACAGATGTGGGCGCGACCCGCCTCGGTCTGAAAAGACCGGTCTTCAGGACACAAATAAAGTTTTGTGAATGAATGAATGAATGCACAGAACAAGCGGCAGTCATAGCGAAAGTTGGAAGAGCGACCTTTCAGAGCCCTTTTAAACACTCTTTGGATAACTGCTACAAGCACACCTGCATGGTACCCATTATGCCATAAATCATCCTAATTAAATTTTTTTGTAGTAGGAAGGTGTTCACTATGCCATCCTTCGACATTCTTCAGGGAGGCGTGGTACCCACTACACACTTGCAATAAATTTTGTGCAATTTTTCGGTGCTGTGGTTGACGACGAAGAATTATGCCTGAAGCTCTTGTAATGAGTTGGAGCATTCGACGAGCCACTCGTTACGCAATTTGCATTGTGTGACGATTGGTTGTTTCTTTGGTATTCTAGAACACTTTGCTACCAATATTAACGCGATTCCTTTTTGAGACATCAAGCCTGCTAATTAAGGCCAGTTTGCAGCGAAGTTTCATGCACCGCCGTAGCTCTGCGGTAGAATGCTGGAATGGCACGCAGGGTTTTTTATTTACTTTTTCTTATTTTGCAAGACAATAGTTACAAACACCAGCGGTGGCAACGGCGGACAGCTATGGCACACGCGACGCTTGCTGTGATTTTATAAGAGCTTTCATTGTAAAATGGCACCTCGCTTAATCCATGCGCGACCTCACCTGCTCCATGTTGATGGTGAAGGGTCCCGTGCTCTGGCACTCGGGGCACGATCCCGGCTTGACTTCTTGGTTCTGCGACTGCACCAGCGGACCAAGCACATAGCTGCACTTGTTGCAGTCGTACTTGACCAGGGAGAGCTGCGGTAGCACGCCGGTCGTGCTGGTCACCACACCGGCGGTTCGCACCAGCTGGTTCAGGTGTAGTTGCCTAGCATGTTCACAAAACACAGGAAGAATGTGAGCACACAGGCACGTCACCGCTGAGTTGGCAGCCAGGTTGGGCTTACCTCTAGTGACAGTACAGAAAGACAGAAACGAGATGTGAAATACGGAGACGCTAACTGGAAGATAAGTAGTATCCAGGTTTCTACCTTGCATTCCAAAAGATATAGAAAGTTCAGAGAGGAACAGAGAGATAAAAAGCAAGATAGAAGTCAAAGACACACAAAAGCAAGCATCACAGGCAACTTCATTAGAGGTATAGGAGGATGAGATTCAAGACATAGCTAAACCTCCGTTTAGCGAACTTCAATATTACAAAGTATTCCACTTTTCACAACATCATGTACATTCACCCCCGTGTGTTTGTTATCTGAATATAAGAAATAATGTTTATCAGTCGTTCTAACTTGACAAAGTTTTGCTGCTGCTGCGGAGAGACGAGGCAATTAACTGAAACTGCTGCTGGCACCATTGCTCTCATAGTACAGCGCCATGCACCTTTCGCAACCTCATTTTTCAAATTGAAGGCCGTGCGAAAGAGTGCTGCCAAAGAAGACCGGTGAATATTCGATCAGCAATGTTTTTTTTTTCTAGAGGGGGGAAAAGGAACACAACTCAACATTCTCCTTGCCTCCACAATTGCAGACAAGATCACGTGGCCATCGACGCTGTTCATTACGCTTCGGGTGTCACTTTTACCAGGCACAAGATAGGCCAATGAAGAGCTCTATCTTTTAACTTAAGCTCACTGCAAAAACACGAAAGTACAAGTCTCAAAGAAAACAGCTTTTGTCGGGCATTCTTACGCTTCTACCCATAACACTTGAAAAAATGCATGCCTCAAATCTTTTATCAAAGTAACATGAAGTGAAATACAAGAGATAAGATAACCTCACCTGAGGCTGCGAATGTCTTCGATGAGAGGCAGGTCAGTGATCCGGACGTGGATCTCCCGCGTGATTCGTTCATACTGGGGGAACATGCCGAGGACGATGTCCTTGGCGGCTTCGTCAAAAATGACGAGCATCTCGGCGGGTGCCTCTGGCAGGAAGTAAGCTAGAACCTGCTCTGCTTGGGCCAGGGTGTTGTAATTGACTTCCAGGCTGAGCTTGTTCTCTGAAAGCAACATTAAAAAAATTTCACTCCCGACCTATCAATGAATCAAACAACCCATGCTTTCATGTCTTCTTAAATAAATACAGATGACGCCCCAGTAAACATGTCAATCACGTTGGTCATGTCGCACGTTAATGTGATATGATTGGCTCTGTATCTAAATTCTGCACCTCTGTTCTTCTGTCAGTAAACAGATGTGTTGAAGTCGGGGCGAATTGGCTCGTAGTGCTTGAACTGGTACAGCTAAACCAGCATATGACAAAACTGACAAATTCCGGCAAAATTTTGTTATGAAGAAGATTTCGTTACATGCAGGTTTGGTACGAAAAATCTAAAAATAAACACACAAAATAAACAAAAGGGGAGCTGAAGGTAGAGCTATCCCAAAACACTCATTTAGCGGTAAAAAAATGTGTGATCATTGCAAGAGCAACTATATGGACACTCTCGGTAGGTTTTAAACAAAACTCCTATTTAGCGGGACATATTTTTCTTAGTGATAGTCTCGTCTACATGACTGTATGCAACAATCATGTTAGAAACATGTACGCCCGAAAAACTTATGAAATGAAAGCATCACAATAAGCAAAAAAAATGCGATAAAATCAAAGAACAAGACTGCTGTACGAAACTTCGAAGCTATGAAACGAAAGAAAATTCAATCCTACAAACAATAAAAGAGCTACCAAAGAGGAACCCCCACCTTCGCACATTTGCCTGATCTTCTCCTTGTAAAGGTTGTGGCCACGCTCGTCAACAAACGTGCGCAAGAAGTTCTTGAAGCGGTTGTAGATTTCCGTTTTGGGGCCGATCTGTGTCACCCACTCCCGGACAGTGTGGCCCTTCATGTCTTCGAGGTTTTCAATGCTCTCGACCATCTGGAAAAATAAAGTGGATGAGGAGCCGTGTTGACACAGTCACTCTTCAGTCATAAGCATATGTCTGACACCAACGCTACGTCGGTTAGTAGGAATGAAAATATAAATGGTGCGGAAAAACGCGGGATGAGACGAAAGCTGCAAGACAAGCACATGCTAACCTTTTACTGGAAGGAAACGATCACACTCAAACCTCGATATAAAGAATCCGGATATAACAAAATATTGGTTATAACCAAGTAAACGAAGAATAGTCTTGCAGTAGATTTAGTCTTACGAATAAACCTTTATAACGAATTTTCGGATATAACGAGCTGGTTTTCATGTAAGATGCAAGTTTGTAATAATGAGGTTCGAGTGTATGTATGGGAAGTGAAAATAACATGTTCATCACAAGAGGGACCATACATCTTAATTTTGGAGTGAGAAACCATTCTTTAGAACATTGTTTTAGTTGACGCATCCTTGCGCAATCTTGTGGCACTGACAGGTTAGCACCGTAGTGCGAATGCTCGAGGAGCTTTTTTTTTTTTTCTTTTTTTTCACATTTGAACGATTGTAGCCGAAAGGAGTACAAGCTGTCGTGTAATAAGTAGCACCAAAACGTGGCCGAGACACTCACGTCCTCATCTTCCGAGAAGGCGCCTTCCGCCGCGCGCTCGGCCAACCGCCTCCTACGAACAGGTCTGTCGGCTTCACTGCTGCTGTCATCTGTCAATGGCGAAGCAAATAGCAGTGGGTGAACACAAGGAGCTCACTTTGACGTGCGCGAAAGGGTGCAAATGCAAGCAAAATGCCTCACACCAGGCCCCGCCTAGATTCGTGCCCGTGGACAAAGTGATGGCGCTTCTCCTTTCAAGGCACAAAATCCTTTACTACATGACAACAACGATGAAATCAGTTAGTAGGCTAATATCCAAAACAGTGAAGAGATGTGTGTGTCTGTTCGAAAGAAATGCGGAGACGACTAAGACATTAAAATGTAGAAACCATACAAAAAAAAAAATGACTGCTTTATACTAATGAGTTTGCCCTGTTCTTTCTAGCAATTATAGCTCTGCTAGTCACTCAGCCGCCCAATAAAAGCACTCGCCCCATCTTCTCTGTCCGCACTTCTCCAAAACAGCGTCCTACATTTTGTAGCTACGTTAAGCAAAGTCCCCCCCCCCCCCCCCCCGAAAAGGTACTTCGAAGGCTTTAAGATTTTGCAAATGTCTCTCGTTTCTTAATTACTTTTATCCCAATTATTGCCAACATATGTTTTTTTTTCTTTTGCTTGTATACTTTACGTATTACACGTATTATACACTGAGCATCAGTGTTTTGTGGAGTAAAATTTGCAACAAAAAAAGGGAAGTGAGCACCAACCTCTTATGAAAGCACCGTATTCCTCCTACTTTTGCGACATTATTTCTCCAGAAACCCAAGTGTCAGAATTGAAGAATTGAGAAATATTCGACATCTCAAATACTTTATCCGGATGGATTGGTACTCGATTTTCAGCAGACATCCTTCCTTCAAGACAACATGTTGTACTCTCAAGCAATAGTGCAACATGGTGCATTATAATTTCGTACAATGCAACCCGACTTTCTCACGTTTAGTAAGTGAAAAAAAAATTTCCGCTGAATTCAGCACTTGTATTATTTGTATCCAAATATGCTATTTGAAAAACATTTGATTGACACTTGGTTATTCTAATTCACTTTAAAATTTCCCTTTTAACCAAGCAGAGGAAATCTTTTTCACTGTATTCACAAGCAGAGACATGGCTGTGTGGCAGAACAGCTGCTTGCCCTGCGAATGACCTGGGTTCGATCCCCCCCCCCCCCCCAGATCAATTTTTTATTACTTATTTTATTGGCATCTTCCTTGATTTTTCAGTCACGCACAAGATGATTTTTCGCTCACTACCAGCGAATCCAATGCCGGAATTTCTGCGAAACAAGCTCTTTAACGCTATCGCGTTAAAATTTGATGTTCAGACCTATTTATAATTGAAATTGTTGTGGATGAAACAACAAACTCACCAGGCTAAAACTTTTAAAGAAAGGCTGGCAAAACAAGCACAGGCAGTGCAAAGCAAGTGACGACTAACCATAAAGCAAGCCTTTTCGCATGCGACCGGCCACACGGCCCTCCGCTCGATCTCGCTGCCGCAACTGTTCCTCGACGGCCCTCCGATCCGACTCGGACAAGGCGCTGTATTCCGAGTCGTCCAGCATTTGCGGGTCGTAAACGTCAAGGGCTGGAATCGCACGGTAGTCACTGCGGAAAGAAAAGAATTCTCAGCTTCTGACATTACATTAGTGTTCAAGAGGATGACTGCCAGATGCAACTGGTCACTGCGAAAGTTGAGGTGGCATTGCAACTCCGCGCTAGCCACAATTCTATAGTACTACAGCGTTATAGTTCGTTATTTTAACTATCTGCATTCCACTACCTGTAATTAACTTTCGTTACAATTTTGGCTAAACAAACAGTAGTACCCTCAGTTCACTGTTCGGTTAGTAACCCTGTTTTACTGCTGCAAGCTATTGTTTCATACCTTGCTGTACAAGTCATGAGAGAGGCCTTACACTCTTAAAAGAGGTAAGAGTAAAATGGGTGTCTTTTTGTCCCACAACAATAATCATCATTTGGCTTCCTTTCTTGAAAACTCGGCGCTGGCCACTTTCCTATCAAGAAAGCTGTGTCACATTGATATAGCGAATGTCGTTCGCGACCTGAAAGTGCCGGGCGTGTGGCGATAGTGCAAGGAAAAGAACGCAAAATGGATGACGATTATCGTTGCGGGACCAGAATATGCCCTGTTTACTCTATCTTTCTTTCGAGTGTAGTAGGATGGATCCTACAAAAGAGGTATTTGCTGGTTTGGGAATATCTGATCTGTGAAGCCAGACCTCTGTTATTGTAAGTAGGGCGCACTGAAACAATCATTTACAGAAAAAAAAAGTTTTTTCTCCTACACTATATGGCTAATTTTGTCGTAGTACAGATGATTCATGATGCATATCCTTGTATTCTAACTGCTGGTTTTCAAACAAATCTTAACCTCTTTGCAACTACCAATGGAGATCACAGTTTTTTGGCCAAGCTAGAGGTATCCCTTTCCTGACTTTAATGCAAATAGGAATCAGCCAAACGTTTGCATTGAGAGCAAGACGCACCCAATTTATGAGCTGGAATTGCCCTAACAGTCTCTAGGAAAGTTATGGGAGAGCACTGATAATAAGCTATAAGAGCTTCCTTTCCAGCAATACTTCAAAGGGGTGGAGACACAAATTTTTAAGGCCAAGCTTACTCGATCCGAATCTTTTCTATAAAGCTACTACTCTGAAAAAAAGTGGAGCTCAGTATATGATGATGAGATATTGTCACGGGGTCGTGACGTGGCCGAAGACAGGAGACTTTGTGTTGGAATTTAACAGTTTATTTGGGCGAACCTGTGCCCGGTAAACGGAAAGTCGGATTACAGTAGCAGTCTTGCACTGATAGCGGCGAACGGAGCGTTGGCCGTCGATCAACTACTGACAAGCGGCGAAGTGCGTTAGCATTTATACTCTTGCCATCGAATGTTCTAGCGTTATCACAGGCGGTGGCGTAGGTTCCAGAATAATCTGTACAGTTCGCAGAGTGGCGTGATCCTATCGAAATGATCTAGTAAAGTCCGGAAGCTTCTTGAAAACTGCACGCACGTTTTGCGCTGAGAATTGTGTAGTGTTTTGGGGCGATAACAAAACTTGAGAAATGGAACGTGGCAATATTTTATTTCGACATTGAAGCCAATTCGCACATGGCACACCTACTGACATTGATACTACCGCAACATCAGACGAGAGTGTGAGTTGTGGTGACTACACGTACCAGCATGAGAAGTTGTGATGACGTCAGGTACCAAAACACAAAACATGGCCGGTCCCCAAAAACATTCAAAACGGCCACTCGTGCATCACCAACACAGCCACAGAGCAGAGCGGCCTTGGAAATTCCACACTATCTTGCACAACTATGTGACAAGAAGGTCATATTGTGAGACGATGTCAGGGTACAGTAGGAAACGAAACTAGCTTTTAAAACATGTGTAATTTTGACAGGTGTGCTCACGCTTACCAGTACATTTTCTGGGCTCTTGAGTGTTATATCGTGCATAATAACTATTACAGCATTAGTGGAGACACGGCTGTTCATTCCATCTTCTTTCTCCTGTTTGAAGCAGCCACCATAGTTGGCAGCGACACTTAATGAAACGTTGAGGACTTGGTGCGTCATTTTACACATTCACAAAAAAAGACAAATGAGAATTTTCGTGTCAGCACTCTTTTAAGAATGTCCATCATACAGTTGCATGTATATATTGTCGGACACGGTCGGAACAAACCAAACAACACACATTTATTCAACTAATTTAGAATGGTGATATCGTCAGTCAAATTATTACAACATCACGCTATTATCAACACGCTAAGACATTCTATCACATTATTAAAACACACGACAAACAAGGCGGTGTCGCTAACGCCTGACTCATCCGTGGGCCCACCGCAGACGGCCCGCAGTGCCGTCCACGGCAGACGCACCGCTGGAGGCAACCGTCCACGCCACCGCCCCACGCCAGAAGAGCCTCGCTCAACTCTCGCCCGCCACCAAGGCTTGCCTTCCGCCAGGGGTCACCGCCCGCGAACATGCCACCTATCGCTCAATAGTTGTCACCCCCGAAATACGGCTTCTGTGCAAAACACGTGCACCACATGGCGCAAACAACTTTACAGGGGTTGCCAGCACCACAACATATATACACTCAAGAAGGAACTCTGGCACTAGTGTCTATGGGAACTGCAACGCACGGCGCTTCAGCGAGCATGGGAATCATGGGTAGTACACACATTTGTCGAATCTTTGTAATTTCGGCTCCGCCTGGCTTCGCGTGGCTTGAAGTTGCTTTATCACGAAGCAACAATCGAAACTGTTCAGCAGTTGGACTTCGCCCCCTCGACCTTTTTAGGCTCACTCGATTTAAATCGGATCACAAAGTTCAAAACGGTCCGTTCTTTTTTTCAAAACAAAACCAAAACACTATAAACAAATCCACAAGTGCATTGAAAGCTTGCAAGCATGAAGACTAGGCAAATATGTGTACTACCCATCATTCGCATGGTCGCTGATCGCAGCACCAGGGTCATCTCTAGTTCATATTAGGAAACCTTATGTTCTATACAACCTGAGCACAGCTGCTATACGTGTGGTTGTGTTCCAATACTCACCGTAGATGGCTAAATATACAGCTAACTGGACAGTGGCCATCTTAAGTCCCATTCCAATTCTCACGTAGCCAGCAAATAGACAGCTTCGAGAAGACGGCATCTTAGACAAACACGGAGCAGAAACAAGATAGCATGCTATCCGAGCGAATTGCTCGGATAGCATGGATATCGCCGGAGAAGCGTCTGTGCACAGACGCTTCTCCAGACACTCAATGTGAATGACTGGAGAATTTTCAATTTTTCTTAGATTATAACACAAAATAAGCTTAAAAAAATAACAGTTACAATTGTTTAGCTTAGCTTTCTCTTCTTGACGTGAGGTGGCCCCTCATCGCGTAGAAGCCGTCCCAGACGTGTTCCATTCTTCAGACAGCATGGGCACGGTGCTGTCTTCTGAACTGTCTACAATGCTGTCTTAGAATCGGAACACAGCCTGTGTAGAATGCTACAATAAGCTAAACTAGCTAGACTAAATGGAGGAATACATCAGGAAGTACTTACTCTTCCATGTTGTCTCCAAACAGCTCTTCACCCTCCTCCTGCTCTTCGTCACGAACGCCATCGTCCTCGTTTCCGACTCCGCCAAGCAGTTCCGATTCATCCTCGAAAGGTGGAAGGTCGCGGCCCGGTGGCGACGTGCCGAGGTCGGCAGGTGGCGACGCCACATTGCTGCTTCGAGAACGCGGCTGACGCGAACATTGCTGCTTCTGGATCGGGGGCGGTCAGACATCTTGCTCCTTCACTGGTGCAACAGGTTCGTCTCCAATCTGACCAAAGTAAAAGCCGACATTCAAGGGGACTTGATTAGTCATGGCAAGAATCGGTCACTGATCCGATCAGAAAGAGATAGATAATCACGTACATCTCTGTCTGTAATGAACATATCTACTATAGAACTGATCCTAATCAAGGCCATTGACAACAACAGCTAAAACATCGACTTTCGCTATCTACCTAACCATTCCCCTCTAACACCTTGGGCCCTGGGGGCATTTTAAATAAATAAATGTCTACAAACTTGACTCCTGATTACACGGTAGCTATCTATGGAGTTTAATGTCCTAAACTGACGCGGGCTGTGAGAGTTAATTATCACAATTTTAGGGGTTCTAACTTCCAAAACTACATTATGAGAGACACTGCCATGGTGTGTTAGGCTCCTGAAATCTTGACCAACTGGGAATTTTTCACACCTATTAAAATCTAAGTGCATGCCTTTAGCCTTTAGCACTTCACCTTCATTTAGCACTTCACCTTCAATGCCTTTAGCACTTTACCTTCATTTAAATGTGGCTACCGCTAATGGGGTTTGATCTAGCAATCTTGGAGTGAGCAATCGAGCACCAGTACCACTAGACCACCGTCCCAGCTCAGGTTCGAAAAATTTATTTACTCAAAAGGTATCACTCATATTCTGGTCAAGTTATATGTTACTCTGATTTCTACACAACAAATATTGATATTCCAGGCTGTTTATCAATAAATATCAAAGATCATTAACACAATGGCTACGACGTAGCCCGAAAGCCCAGCTATCTTCTTGAAAGGGTTAGTTTCCCTGCAAACAGAAACATTTGTAGAATTAGTAAAATGAATGAAATTAGGCAACGATTGCTCGTAGGTGCCTAATTGGTTTAGATGTGCTGGTAATGAACAAACCACGTTTTAGGTGGCAACGATTGACTTACACTTGTCAGACATACAGAATGTGAGGTGTATTGCATAAGTTCAGCAGATGTGTAACGAAGCTCTCGTGAATCATGGAAATGCACCTGGTTGTTACTTTAGTTGCAGAGATCGAGCAAACAGGAGACACGCCAGCGTCATAAAACGGATCAACGGATATTTCGGGGATACGGGCCCAAAACAAGCTCTGCCCTAGCTCTGCACACAGCGTAGTTATTTCGCGAGATAGCCCTTTATAATACACAAGATAACGGATACTACTTCTTAACCGTAATCGAACGGTATATCCCATGTAGGTCAACTGAAACTTGATGTTGTCTTAACTGTTGATTACAGCACGCCATGCCGTTTGGTAAACACCTTTCTGTTTGAATAAGCTCGGTTAAACTTGGTACACAAACACAGTGCACATAAACAACGAAATACCGACAATATCTTCGGATGTACCAAACACAGACAGTGATGCGCAAACACCATCGCCCAAAGCCTCCACGAGTAGCGATTTAAAGGTCCCTTGTTTAAAGAGCCGGTTTACAAGGTGACTTTTTTTTAACTTTGCGCAACAAATGGTAACGCTTGTCATCACCCGATACGAACACGACAGCTGAGGCTTACAAACTAACAGCACTATACAGACGGCACGTCTTCGCAAAACGCGTATTCAATTAAATTTTCGTTCGCAAATGGGCACCGCAACCACTCACCTGCTTTTCCAGCACAATGGATGAGCGCGCCTGAAAAACGCGGGAAAAGTGGCGGAAGAATACAAGCGTGATCCAAATGTAGTCCCTCAGAAACATTTACAAATCTCAAAGGCTATACTTTTGGGCAATGACTACGTAGAAGCGGCCATGTTTTAGAAGATGAAAATGAAGAGCGAAGTTCTCATGCGCTGGAGTCTCGCGACGTAGGAAGTAGTCCCTAAAGATTTAGACTCTTGCAAGTAACTGCTTAGTGCAACCATAAACAAGCAATGCGAAATTAAATCAAAATGTCGCCAAAGAATGCGAAGCTATTTAATACATGCATTTCATTCGCTTGATTGGCGCTGGATTTTCATTTTTGATCATGCATCCGGCTAGCATTCGCAACACTCTACATTCGCTGAGGTCGTACAGTGTCGATCGATAGAATCTTTCTTATGTGATTCTTAAAAGAGAAAAGTGAACCCCGTAACTGTCTGCATCACAGTGCGACACCTCAACAGTAGTAGCTCACGAGGGGTGGGGGTAAGGAGGGATTAAAAGAATAGGATTAAAGGTATAGAGATGGCGAGCTAGAGCAGGAAGGAGAGAGCGTGGCACATAGAATCAGTTGTCAACGCTCCTAAAGCATCACAGGTGTCTTTAAGACCTGTGATCGTAAGCTACTCGTGCGATTCGCTCGCAGGATTTCAAGCTGGACGGTTGTGCCCTCGCGATCTCCGACATCAGCGTAGCTCCCGCCGACTGGTTCGCCCTCCGCGGTCTCCTGACGCCGTGCAGCTCTCGCATTGTGGCACTCCGCCCTTGGACTGCTTCGACCGGATCCCCACTTTCCTATCTCCTTCTTTTTTCCTCTCGTTGGCTGGCTTCTTCTCCGTCTATTTTCCTTCTATTCTTTTTATCCCTCCTTCTTTTTCCCTATATCTTTTATTCCCCATATCCCATTCCTCTGCTGACCTGTTGAGGTGTCCTCGTAAGGAGAGACAGTTACGGGTCGGCACCTATCTTTTCTTTTCTTCTGATATAACCACTTATATATAAGCTACTCGTGCGCGAAAATTTACGCTAGCTCGTCCTCACTGAGTGGCTGCGCTCACTTGACTAGTGTCGCCAATCGTCGAATACCTTTTTTTTTTAACTAGTCTCGTTTTAGCCCCTATGTTGCGCCAGGTAAAAAAAAAAAAAAAACTTTGCCTACTGTTTCCCATACAAGAAGTGAGTGAGTGAGCAAACTTTATTTAACCAGCGGATTGATAGCGTGGGCCTAAGCCGCGCCAGGGGCGGTGGAGAGACCCTGTCTTTCAGCCGCCTCCCGTGCTCGCTGGATGGCCCATATTTGATCTGTCCGATCTGGGCTGATCAGCGCGGCTCTCCACCGCGCCCCAAGCTGTTCTGGGGAGACTGCATTGGCGTCCTGTATCTGTGTGCATTCCCATAACATATGCTCTAGGGAGGTGCGTCTCATGCTACATAGTTTACACGAGTCATCTGGGTATAACCATACGAGAAGCGCCGGCAATTTTCTGGTAGGTGTTCGCGGTAGGGCGACCAGGAGAGCAGCCTAGAGTAACTGTATACGGTCACTCTAGCGCAGTCTAGATTTAATTTTTCTTTTTTTTTTTTTGGGGGGGGGGGGGGGGGTTGTAGGGGTGTATTAGAATTCCAGCTCACCTCTCCAGTTACACTATAGTTAAACCTGGTAGGTGTTCTGTCGTTAAACCTACAATCCAAGCGAGACAGATGCTCAGCGGGAAATTGACTGACCTCACGGGATTCCGGTTCCGACTTGGGGCCGTCAAGAGCCTAGCGCCAACATAAATTTATCCTTGCTATTAGTAAGATTCCTCAATATTGGCTTCTATTGCGCAATGTTGGCCATCCGCTTTTATAGCAGCGTTACAAATATGTATGTAGCACATGCATGCCTCGCTTAATTCGTAAATTGAGTGCGTCGCCTACCACAAAAGCCACGCCTTAGAAAATTGGCCGGCGTTGCATAGTGTATGTCCAATACATGCATCCATCGGGGAGAAACTCTACGAATACATGAGTTTAATCTACAGCGTTTGAATACCTACTTGCACCTATTTCGTTTTCGTTGGTTAACGCACTCTAGAGGTGCAGTCTGCTCCAGAGGCGCTCACCCCCCCCCCCCCCCCTTCTTGAGATGTCCTTTTAATAAACTTACAAAAAAAAAAAACGACAGTAGCATCAGTTTAATCTACAGCGTTTGAATACCTACTTGCACCTATTTCGTTTTCATTGGTTAACGCACTCTAGAGGTGCAGTCTGCTCCAGAGGGCCCCCCCCCCCCCCCCTTCTTGAGATGTCCTTTTAATAAACTTACAAAAAAAAAAAAAAACGACAGTAGCTGCACATCTGCTGTTCTCCTGGGTGCACCATGTTTTTGCAATGTATCACTTCTCTCTTTTATTCGTATCGCTTGTTTGCTAAACAAGCACGGCCAGCACTGTCCTAACGACGCCAGCTTTTCAAATTCATTGTTGATAAAAAAAAGCGACTCCACACATCACCGCTTATTGTTTATTGGTCACAACCACACCTCTCCATAAATAATTTTGACCTTGAGAATATACTATATATGTATATATATATATATATATATATATATATATATATATATATATATATATATATATATATATAGACGGACGCCACTAATAGTGGACTGTGTAAGAGTTTTAAAACCAAGAGAGGGCACACCGATTTATCCATATTTGGTCTTTGTTTTATTTTGAGCAGTCAATACATATCACATATATCGATTTTTTTTGTATATAGATTTATGTAATAGCGTAAAGCAGACAGGAGAGAAGACTGGTCGATGAAAAGGCTGAAGGTTTCTAATCAATCGAATCTACAACAGGTGGAAGAAAAAAAAGTGAATAAACAAAAAAATGTCAGAAATGAATAGTGACCTCAGTACAGAGAAAGAAACAGGGCACAACTGGATCACAAAGAGTAAAAAAAAAATCACCAAGTAGCTAAACTTGCGATGACAAGCACAACTTGACGTATTCGGCAGAAACCTATGGTACTTCATTACGCACACAATGCAGCTATGTGTATAACACACTAATTATAATAATTAACATTCAATATATATATTTACATGTGAGATAGCCATACAATCAGACCTCACGAAAGAATTGTACACTAAGTTCAGAGACCAAATGATATTTGGAGACAACAGCGGCTTCCAAAAATAGCGACAACTCAAACACAGAACAATACTTATACCAAACATGTTTCCTTTCGTTTTCCAATGTTTCATGTTGCTTTGCACATATTACAGAAGATAAATAACATGTAAACAGGTGCTTCAATGTGACAAGAAACATAAAAAAACTAAAAAAGAAACGTACATGAAAAGGAACAGTAAAGGAATACCCCTCAGTAAACAAGAATCGTTGTAGGACACAAACTGCACACAACAAAATTTTAATGCATCAAAACAGAACCACCAGATTCACTAAGTCGATAATAATGAAATCACTTGGGGAAGTTTAATATAGAGGGTGACAGATTTCATCAAGTGGTGGCATTCGATTTGGCCGCAACGTTTAGCCCAGCACTCTATGTAAGTCCAATGAACTGCTTCTTTGGTTTTGATGAATTCTGGCACAAAATAGTGCTAGTCCATGGTCGATGAGTACACTGAAAAATCAACCCAGCTTACGTTCTACAAGAAATTTAAAAAAAGATGCAGTGGTCAAACGGTCGCTACTTACGTATAACAAAGCTTTTCTTTGTGAAGTCCATTAGCGAACAAGCTTTCAAACGAGGCAGTATATTATGTCTTGAGGTCGGAAATGGCTACTGGGGCCGCTTATTATTAAAACAGGGGCCAGATCTCTCGCAACTGAGAAATCACTGAAGCCACACTTCTTAAAAAACTACGGAAACTCCCAAGTTCATGCGATGGGTCTTTAGAAGATTTTACATTATGTATATATATATTATATATCTGAACACTACGTCAACAAACTCGAAGCTCTCGTGCTGGATACCTTCTCTTCCGGGGAGGAGGGATCATATTCATGTGGCTACCAACAAAGTTTATATGTGTGTATTAAGTATATCGAACAACAACACCTCGGGCATACTGGTTACTTATTTGTTCGGCATGTGTCCGTCTTTGGGAAGCAACGTGCGCATCGCAAAGAAAACACTGACACACAACCATTACCCGGGGAAAAACACTAAACACTCTGGCAACACTGTCGGCAATGGGTTGAAAACACTGCCGATAACACTGCAACAATGTTTAGACGCTGCCCCGGGATTCGACAGCAATGCCAAGGTGTTGTGGCGTCGTGCGAGGCAGCGCTCTTTGACGCTAAACTGCTGAAAAAGCTTTTTTTTTTTTACTTTTCAAGGCTGAATCATAGAAAATAATGAGCATGCTGAAGAGGTTGAAGAATGGGGGCTGGGGGAAAAAATGGTTTCATTTACACGTAGCACGTTGACAATGGGTCGACGAAAAAGGAAATGTCTGTTGACGAAGGAATAGTTACGGAAGGAATGCACGTGTTATATAAGGTGAAATAGCTCTGCTGTCGAGTATTTTATTTCGTTTTCTTTCCACGGCTTCATTCGGAATGAGACCGGTGGTAGCTAAAAAAAAAAACTATGGCAGTTAGTGGTGGGGTAAGGTGATAGTACCATTGTGGGAGGGCAACCTGCTACACAATACAAAACACAATGGTAAACGTGAAGAGTCGACAGATCACAAACATCAACAACAAAAATGCACAACACTTACACGCGTTTGTTTGGCGTGTTAAATATTTAAAAGAAAGACGAGTGAGCGGAAGCGAAGGAAAGAAAAAACAAAATGCGCGAAACCACTGACGGCACAAAGATGATATCGGACTAGAAATTGTTGCTGCTGGATCAGGGGGGTAAGAGGAAGCATTGCTTTGCCAAACGCCTTTTGGAAGCTGGTAAATGGCCCGGGGGGCGTGGTCAGTATTATCGACGTCAAGGCGGTTCTGGTTTATTCATCTTCAGTCGAGGCTCGCACCTGAAAACGCGCGTCTTGCGCAACTCGGCACGTCTCCGTCGCGTGCGGCGGGGAAGCCCTCTTTGCGCACGGTCGCGCGCTTGCGTACTACAGTTCCTCGTGTCTCGTTGGTCACCGTCAACGCCGTGTTTTCCATCACCGTGGGCTATCTCTCGTTTTGATCGCGCCATCTCCAATGTTGTCGTCGTTGGTGTCATTCCCGACCGCATCGTTCTTCTTCTGCGCTGTGTCATCATCAGGGGCATGGAACTCGAAATGCACCGCCTCCAGTCTCAAAAAAAGGCCTCAGCCGGTCACTCGGAACCGTCCGTCTCTCCTCAAACACCGAGATTAAAAATACACAGGGGTTTTCGTTCCTCGCTTAGAACGAGAATCGCTCAGACAGGAGGGCGCAGAAAATAAATAAAGCGAGCAAAAGGTCTCAAACGAAAAACTCTGGCAGCAAAAATTAAGAATAAACGATAAAACGGCAGTGCTTCAAAGACGTGTTTCGTCTACCAAACGTGCAGAGAGACAAGTCCTTTTTTGTGCTTGTTGACTTGGAGCTATCACGAGAGCCTTAAGAGGGAACGCATTTCCCCCAGACTACAGCTGTTGCAATGTACATCTGGCAGTGACGGACTTGTGCGTTCAAGCACCCATTTCCCCAAATGCATTGTTTTCCTTCACTTGTGGGTTTCACCGTGGCAAGAAAAACAAACGCACTATGTCGAAAAGCAGGATGGCCACTACTAAGCATTGAAAACAACACAAACGTTGCTTTTAGCTGACTCATATATGATAAAAAAAAGGTAAAACGAAAGAGACAATCTACACAGTCGTTGACAATGTGCGAAGTGAAAACATGACGCGAAATAATGTACAACATAATGTCAACTATCTTACATCATATACAGCTCGAAATGCCAGCACAGACCACTTCTCGTGAAGGTTTCAAAAGATGCCATGACAAAGAAGGACGTGAACACTGAACGACACCACTTGGGTTCGCGACCCAGGTTGCTATGGATTTTCAGACAATCGCTCCGTAGCAGTTATTACATACAGCATGGCACCCATAGCAAGCGTCTAGCGTTGCTAAGGTAACTTTCCGAATGAAAAATTGAAGTTAAAATATGAGTAACCGTGGTAATTAAGTGTCATTAATTAGAATTGCACGCTATGGTTTCTCAGTATTGCGCCTCCTGCGGCTTCCATAGGAAGACAGGCCATAACTTTGAAAACGGCATCTGCTTCTTTTCTTAAGAAAACTGCACTTCAGCCAGGCCCGTCAAACCTTCATATATATAGTTTCTTTCATTTTTTACAGAAGCAATAAATGTGCTATCTGTAATAGCATGAGTGAATGAAAAAACTAACTCCTCAGAAAAAAAAAATGTTTTTGAAATGTGCGAATTTCATCAGCTGCCTCAAATCGGACGCATTGTGCGTCTTCAAAACTACCTATTGAACTATGTTTCAAACTTAACAAGATAGCTGCATCATTAAGACCTGCCAGATGAACATGGCATTCTTCCAGTTACACTTTTTTTCACTCTCTTATCCACTAAGATGTGCAAACATTTGGCAGGAGCTTTATGACTGCTCACGTTTAGGGGAACTGGAAAAACATAAAAATAAGTGTGCGTATGTAAGAAATGTTACAAAAGTGTGCGCATGATGTGCCATGACGCATTGACGCTCTCACCTATCATGACAAACTACTTTGCCTTTTCAAGATCCCTTGGTTGTCCTTTCATTTTTTGACAGGGGCTTTAAGAGTGCTCGCTCTTCTCGGAAGTAGATGCACATTTAGAAAACGAGCCTGTACACATAACGAACATTACGGAAATGCCTGCATCACGTGGTGTGATGCACCGACGCTCTCAGAAACCGGTCACAACGAACTCCTTGGCCTTTCCAGAGTCCCTTTGTCGTCCTTTTGACTTCAGGAATGAAAACGAGGCAGCGAGAGTGGTGCAAAACGAGGAGCGGCAACAAAATTAAAAACTCGTTCGGTGCCACGCTCGGTGTGAGATGACCAGAAGATCCGAACGGCTGGACCAGGCATGAAGTGACTGTGCTCGGCCTTCTCTCATCAGTCGGGGCTCTCGATTTTTCCGGCGACTTCCTCAATCTTGACCGCATGCCCGTTGCTGGTGAGCTGGCCGTTCGTGGCGTTGGCGAGGATCGGCGCCGCCGCTGGGCCGTTACTCACAGCCAGCAGGCTTTCGACTGACCGGTACAGGAATAGGAAGTCGTCCTAGACAAAGAAAAACGGATATTTTTTTAGAAATATAGCCATGCGATTTAAAGAAACACTCTGAGGAAGCAACAAATTGCCTGAAGGGCTGCATGGGTCATGCTTAAGGGCAGCACTCAAGGGCTGTGCTAAACAGCTGTGCTTGAGGGTCGCACCCAAGGGTCAGGAAATGTATTATCTCAAAACTCATACATAAGTGGTCTCGCAGTAATAGGATGGTTATTATGGCAAAAATGAAGGTCATAGCTTAACTTCTGATTTCAAGCCACAACCACAGTATTGATACATCAATGGGATGTCATAGATCACAAAGTACGCTTTTTCATTTGTGCTACATTTAGAATTGTATGTAACACGATCAAACATTACTGACAGAAACTTAATCTGGCTCTGACCAAACTGGCTCTATGGATCCAACACTACACTGGACGTGCCCATTCTGCTAGTCTGTTTTCAATGTAACATGAGAGTGATGACTTCGGACTAATTTCGACTCACGTGAGTTCTTGAACAAGCACTCTGATCTAAACATGAAAAGATTTGTGCATTTTTGCTTTTGCAGAGACCAAACTGCAGGAGTCAGAAACTGAAGTCCCATAACCCTTGAAAAAGTGGTACAAAAAACATTTTTTTTTATCTGTACAGTTTATTCTTCTTGCATGAATCACTCTGTTCGTTGTACGACTGACAGTTTGATGATGTAGAATTCTCGAGGATGCGTACCTGAGATTTCCATATTCCAGGCCTCCTCATGTGATACAGCTTCGCATACAGGTACACGTCCACACACTTCTCGCTCTCAAGCTGCTTGTAGAGCGCCGAGAGGCAGCAGAAAGTGGCTGCCTCTGTACCTCCGCACCTGCACACACAGCCAGGCAAGAAAAAAGGTTGGTTAATTGACTGAATATTAATGTATTCTTTCATTCTTCCACTCATTCAATATACGACCCAACCATATAGCAGTGAACAGAATAGAACTTCTCACTTATCTTTTAATAATGTATGTCATCAATTTAATTTTTTAGTCTTTAATTCACCTTAAAGTATGAACATTTAGGCCCATCAACACTGACTGCAGCCCCATGTGACACAGTATTCTTCAACTTTAATGGGAGATGCGGGTCGAAAAATGCGAGTTTTTTTTCAAAAATACCGATTTTTATTTTTGCCTGTTTTGATAAGATTAGTACCTCTACTGTTATGAAAAAAATAATACAGGTCGAGACTTAACTGAAAATGCTTTAAAATCATATCTAAAGAGCCCAAGGTGCCTGTTAAAAGGTCGAAAGTTCGCAGTCTTCGACCACCTTGCCGCCGATAATGCGCCGCCGCTCGCTATTGTTGATCGTATGAGTCGAAGAGTCAAGCCTCACTCTTCAAATAACAACAGTTTCTCTCGCTGATGCAGCGCAAGAAATAATAAAAAGAAGCACTCTTCTGCGCGTTTTTCGAGCGCCGAAACTGGCTTATCACATGGTACGAATCGGGGACCGCCATTGGCCGCTGCGCACCTGTATGTGCTTTGAAACCTATTTGCGGTGTCCATGTCTTGTCGAGCAGCACAGCTGAACAATGCTTTTCTCGTGTAATTATCTCTGTTATGAATTAAAAAAGGCATTGCTCGCAAGTGAAAGCCATTGTGCAGCGCGCTCTGTAGGAATAGGGTACGAGCAGCTGGTCCGATTTGCGGCAGTTGTTGGCTTGCAAAAGCCAATGCATCAGAAGTCATTCACACCCGTCAGCTGTAAAGTTCGTGATGCGACAATGAATTACGTCAGCGCCAATCTTGAGAGACCGAAAAAGCTCGCAGTGAGAGAACTTAGCAGGGACAACATTGCCATTATGTACGACGGTATGTGGCACAAGCATGGCTGCAAAATGGCATGACACTGGACTTAGTTTGAATTTCGCAGTCCTGTCAAACTTCTTCCTAGTTTGCAGTTGGCACATGGCCAGATGGAACGGAAGTGTGGCAAGCGTTTCATGGCCCTGTCTGTGACCGAAATGTCTGTGAGGTGTCGGTTTGAAAAAGCCGAGAGGAAGAAACTCATGGTGCTGGCGTATTTTAGTGGCAATAGCCACTACAATAAGAATTGTTCTTTTTGATGTGCAAATTTCATCTGATTTAATAATATCTTTCATAAATAAAAACTCAATTTTAACTTTAAAACTCGTTTTTCTCAAAACACAAATTTCGCCTTTTTTTTCCATGTGCCCCTCCTTTTTTGGGCACTTCTAGTGCTCGGATCTGCATGAAATATTGCCCAAATTTTTTCCAAAGTATGGCAAATGCAATTATCTAGTTTAAATTTCTATATTTTATTGTATAATAAAGAAATTCTATGTAAACCTTCACTAGGGTAGGAGAAATATGGACTTCTTACGTCTATTATTTTTCACGCATATTACATATTTTGTATGTGCTTTCTAATTAGTTATTTGCACTCCACACCTTATTTGAAGCAATATGAACTATGAATGGTAAAAACTTACAGAAGTTTAGGGGTGAAAAGAGGGAGGGCAAAAGGAATAAGGTTTTCAATTTGGCATGTTGCAGAGCTAAAAGTGTGAAACTTGAAAGAAAACTAATTATATATTTGAAATCAGCATAAAAAGTTCCACAAACAGCTCAAGTTTCATTGCTCTAGTGTGAATAATAAAAAAAAGTGTCTTCCAGTAGCATCTCCCCTTAAGAGGTGCCAAACTAAACTGCTTCCCTAGTTGATGAATCCCCTTCCCTATCAAGTCATATTGTGGTATCTCTACTAATTTCCATAAACAAGATAATAGTCATAATGCCTTTATTTCCACCCATGAAAAGTTGATTGAGGGAGGTTAAAATAAAATGTTGGCAACTTCTACAAGTGGTACAAGGCTGGACTAACAGTGAAGCATGTAGCTGACCTAAATTATTAGCAAGGTTTTATTTAGCATAACCTTAACTAGCCTTATGCTTATTACCAGGATCTTAGGTATGTCCTAGAACCTGCCTGCCGCTGTCTCAATCTAAAAGCTTTTAATTAGCTGTCTTAATTAACTTGACACTAATTAGCATGATCCTCCTTCTATTGCTTTCCCTCTTTGTTAAGTATTTTCCCTCACCCTTTCTTTTTCTCCTTTTTCCTCTACTTCTGTGCTTATCTTTCACTCTCTTCAGAAGGCACATGCACTGAAACACCCACACTGCACATCAATAGTGTCGACATAAATGGGTGTTCTGGACACTGGCCTTAATATCCACTATTTTACTAGGTGACATATAAAATGCACCATAACTATGTTGATGTTTTGATGTACGTCACCAAGAGCAAACTATATTTATAGTCAATACCGAAACGAAGAAGAGGACGAAGAGAGTGCACACTGGCTATGTTATTTCATTACGTGGCACCGCTAGAAGAGGTTAAGCAGCTGTGCTGTTAAATCTAAGCGGACACAGTGAACATGCAACGCACTTGTCTACGACAACAACGGGGCCGTTGAGGTCCTCGGCGTGCCGTGAGGCCACCGTGCGGATGAGATCGAACAAGGTGGCCATTGGCGTGCACGCCTGGGGCCAGCCCGGGCACTGGATCACACGGCAGGACAGCTCGTAGTCGTCTTGCGTCGACTGCAAGATGAAGTCCCGGCTCACCAGGCCCGGCCCACCGGACGGCTTCTCGTCGGCGGGAGCCGTGTCAGTGGACGCCGTCGTGGCCGTCTCGTCGCTTGTGGGCTTCACCTTGAAGCTCCCATAGTCCTGCTCCTCGTCTGCATCAGGCCAGAACTGAGGGTACTCCTGTGTGCGTGGAAAGGAAAAACACAGCGCGGAGATGTCAAAAGAGAATCTCGGCGGGAGCAGACCTCGCAAAGCAAGACAAGAGAATGATCACCTTGCAATGTAGCTCAGCTGACAAAGATAATAGTAGTTTTCACGTGATGTTTGGGGTCGCTCACCTTTTCGTCGACAACTGAGAGGACCACGACCGTCTGCGAGTTGTGGTCCCAGACCATCTGCCAGAAGTCGGCCATGGTCGTCATCAGTGGGTGCTGTGTCACTATGTACTCCCGCAACCTATTGTAACCCTGCAAATTGACACAACATTAAGTAACGAAAAAAAAAAGACCGCATACTGCGCACGATAACAAGCTAGTCTAATGCTCCGCTTCTATAAATAGGGGTTGAATTTGCTGAAACAAAGTGGCGATATAAATACGAGTCATGCTGGAGTGAGAGATTGTGGAGTAATTTTGACCAGCTGTGGTTTTTCAACATGCAGATAAATCCAAGTACTGGAAGATCGTTACGTTTGCCTTCATTTAAAAGTGGCTGGGAATCAAACCCACATTTTAGAACTTGCACATTTTACATGGAAAAAGGTGCTGCTGCGTCTTTCATCACTAGTCCCTTGTCTTGTGTTTTGCGCTCAGTACACATATGAACAATTACGAACTACAAGTGCGACAACTTTAAACGTCGAGCTACCAAAGCGGGTTAAACACACGGGCAACTCGCATGATCACAGACCATACAGTTGTTACCTAATATTCTTGATAGTTTCATGCACACTTGCACATTACATAAACAAGGTTAATTGCGAAGTTCTTCTTTATGCAAAGCTTCGTAGCACTTTGAATTTTAAAAATGCAACAAATAACGAGCGCATACTTGTAGGAAAGTGGCATTGATGTAGTCCGAGCCGTCGGTGCCCGGCTTTGGGGTGATGTGCACCCGGTGCGACTCAATGGGGATCAAGTTGAGTGACCGGTTCTTGGCCTTGTTACAGGGCTTCACAGCTGACACCACGTTAAAATCTTTTGCCTTGAACACTGTCACCAGCTGCGTAAATGATAATAAACGACCACAAATTACTTTGTTGGGCTTTGCACAAATGCTCAGCTAATATTCCTTAGTAAAAGAAGAAAATCAATTAAAAAAACTTCATAGAGCAAAAAGGCACAGTAAAAGAATGTAAATTATTAAGCAGCACAAGACAATAATGCTTTCAAGTTACCAGAGACTTTGACCTTAAGGGGTTTTCCGGAAAATTTTCGCTTTTTTTTTCCGGCTGTATTGGCATCCTTGGACTATAATCTATTACTTCTGAAAATATCAAGCTTAAATTCGCACGAGAAATTATCAAAAAATGCTTCCAAGTGGGCAGCGGTGACGCGAGAAATGCGCGAAAGTCGCGAAAAACGGCGAAGTTCGCGTCGTCCTGTCGTGAAAACGACGCGTTGGCCGCCATTTGCAATCGTGCACGCATGCTGCGAAGGCCGTATCCTTCATAATCCACTAGTAGCCAGTCTCATGCCTTCACGCAGAATAAACAAAAAACGAGAAAAACAACGCGTACGTCACGCGTTTTGAATATCGCGGCACACATCGCGAGGCCGCCATTGGACAGCGGTGCGCTCCACGCTCCTCCCCCTCCTATCTCTCCGGCAAAAGAGCGAAGCCTCGGACGTCGCGATCGAGTTTTTCTGCGTTTCTCTGCATTTTTGCGTCATGGCAAGCCCGAAGAAGTGCAGTTCAGATAATCGAAAGTTCAGAACTCGCCACAAGTATCGAGGGAAAGGGCGTCGGACGCTTCGCAAAGCGACAGCGAACGACGATGTCGCCCCCGACCAACGCCCCGACACTCCGACTTCGGATAGGCCTAACACCGTCACCGAACCCTGCGACAGTGGTTGTGAAATAGCCGCTGCCGTGGAATTCGTCAGTGCATCCCAAAGGAAGATTGGATTCTTCGAGAGTGAACGTAGACCGGTAGATGCTGCTACTGCGAACATGCTGCTTTGCGAAATCGATGCGCTGACGGCACTTGTGGCGGGTGCGCAATGCCCAACCTGCCGCGAACGGAAGCTCGGCGTGCGAGAAGCAGCTGGAAAGCGCAAAGGACTTTCGGCATTCCTGGAACTGTGCTGTCAAAATTCTGATTGCCCTGAATCTGCACTTTCGTTCACGCACACGTCGAGACGTACTGCTTCGGCCGGGGACCAAGGAACGAGCGCTCGTTTTGACAGCGGCAGCTCGCGTGACAGCTTTGCTGTAAACGTGAAGGCAGCTCTGGCAGCACGCGCTATAGGCGCAGGCCACGACCAACTTTCACGATTTTGTGCGATTCTCGGTCTTCCGAGCCCGATGCATCACAAGACATTCAACGGCATTTGCAAGAAGCTCCATGGTGCGGCGATGACGGCAGTGAGCAAAAACTTGCACCAGGCACGAAACATCACGAAGGACGCAGTCGGCGGCAGAGATGTGCCAGTCATGTTTGATGGCACCTGGCAGAAAAGAGGTCATAAAAGCCACAATGGAGTGGGCACAGTCGTGTCCCTGGACACGGGGCTCTTCCTCGATTTTGAAGTTCTTTCGAACTACTGCCATGCTTGCAGTATACACAGGGACCTTGGGGAGGATGAAGAGATATGGCGAGCTTTTCATCTTCCAGTTTGCCAAAAAAACACTGACTGCTCATCCCATGCAATGGAACCTGCGGCAGCTGTCAATATATGGCAGAGGACCTTGTCTTATGAAACTCCACTGCGATTCACCAGCTTCCTAAGTGATGGTGACAGCAAGGCCTACACTGCAGTCTGCGAGGCAAATGTATACTGTGACACCCCCATTGACAAAGAAGAGTGCACGAACCACGTTGCAAAGCGCTTGGGAACTGCCCTACGGAAATTGGCAACGCCACTGCCACGAGGCGAAAAACTGAAAGATGCGACAATAATAAAACTACAAACATATTACAAGATCGCCATCACGAGCAACAAGGACAGTGTCCGAAATATGTACACTGCCATATGGGCATCGTATTTTCATTGCTGCTCCAGTGATGGTGCCAGTAGCCACAACTTTTGCCCCGCGGGACCAAATTCGTGGTGCAAGCACAAGCGTGCAGAAGCACTGGGGGAGCCTGCACCACGCCACACCCCACTGTTGACGAAGGCTCAAGGATTGGCAATTATGCCTATCTACAAGCGCCTTACAGAGGAGAAACTCCTTATTCGGTGCCTTCATGGCAAGACACAGAATGCAGCCGAATCGCTGAACAGCAAGATATGGCTGCTATGTCCAAAAACAAAGTTCGCCTCCAGAACAACTGTGGAGACAGCCACCGCTCTTGCTGTACTCTGGTACAACAAAGGCCACAGGGGCTTTGAAGAAGTGCTCGAAGGCATTGGAATTCTCCCCTCACAAGATCTGGCCACACATGGTGACCACTGTGACGTCATGCGCACCAGGAAGATGAACCTGAAGCAAACTGCAGAAGCGAAAGCACACCGTCGCAACACAGCGAAGAGAGCTCGTGTTGAGGACACTGACCGCAAGAGCCGTGAAGGACCAAGCTATGGTGCAGGGGACTTCTAGACACTTGCAGTGCATTCAAGGCAAGGTACTTTTCATTGTGCCCCAATATGATGCAAAAAGAATGATTTCCTCATAAATGCCAACTTTGCGAACTTTCAAACTTGTTTTTCTCATTTTCATTTTTTCTGACAGTTTCACGTTTTCCGGGCAGCCTTTTAGAAACTTATATTCATTGTATAGTAACGAAACTTGGCACACATATTCTTCAACACATTCAGAATGCAAATATCTACTCTAAATTGCAATGCCTACCAGCATTAGTTGTGAAAATATTAGCTTATTGTTTCAAGGGAGATTAAAAATAATGAGTCATTCAATACAATTTTTTTTTTCTTGGTTCCAATATTTCTGTGACATATCTATATAGATATTTGCACTTTTCAATCTACCAAGAGTCAAATAAGATCAGACACAGTGCTTTTACTGAAAGTTTAGTACATAAAAGAGTGCCCGCAAAAAATGTAACTTTTTGCTATTGTTTATGGCATAACTCAATAATTATAGCAGCTACACAAAAAATGATTGCATATTTGAAATCTGCATGAAAAACTATACTAATAACAAACTTTTCAAGTCTCTATTACTAGAAATAAAAAAAAAACTTTTTCGAGGAGCGTCTCCCCTTAAAGGACTGAAAAAGTTTTGCACTAGATATAAACAAAAATATAGGGTACTGCAAACACAAAGCGCTTTTTCATCCTGTAGGAGAGTTTGATGCCACTAAATAACACACAGGATATCCAGGAACAGAAAAATAGTTCAAGTTATCAGACCTTCAAAATTAACGAGGGTCAAATTAATTACTGTTTCGTCTTTCCCTGTTCCCACCATCTTGTGCAAATGCTTTCCCAATGCATAAACAAGCAGTTACTTTGATAAGGATGCAATGATGTTACTGTTATGAAACGCTTTCTTTTGCTCCCACTAACTAGAACTGCTGCAATAATCCTGAAAAATCTATAATCATGAAGTTTACTACATATATATTCACTAACAAGCAGCATGTTCATAGCCTGTTATGATGCTATTTAATGTATGCTAAGAAGAAAACTGGAGAATTATTAGTCATGTGTATTTGTGAAGATTTCTCAGACAGAAGAGAGTTTCAGTACTGCACATGTAGCATCCATAACAGCATTGTGTACATGAGAATGCCACATTTCATGTAGAGTGGGCATACAGAACTTATGCCCACATGCGTCATGCAAGAAATGATGGTCTTACGTACATAACATTGTTCAGATGCTATGTACACAGTACTAAAATTTGCTATTATATAGCAGTATGAATATATAGAACTGATCTAGTCACAGTGAAATTACACTGTAGTTCGCCTTCCACACACATGATGGTGTGAGGAAGCAGGACCTGACCAGGACATAGAAAGAGAACAGACATGAACAAGACGCTTTAAGTCATGACCACTCACTCTGTTGTGGATGCTAACCAACTAGCCCGCCAACGTGCTTTAGCCAAGTTCAATGCGTGGTCACCAGCTGCAAATTCTCCACCACTGTTGGAACCTGCGACTCGTACATACCTTGAACTGCTTTTCTAGGAGTGACCAGGACTTTTCGATGTTGTCCCCGCTCCCTGTGTTCCCAACCTGAGCTGTCTGCAAGCTCTGCACGTAGCGAGACAGCTGTGAGACCCCAACCTGCATACAAGAGGGGAGACATGAATACAAAGGCCAGATAACCATGTTTTACTAATAGTATGCTGCTCAACCGCACAGGCGTACAAGATAACCAATTAAAAAGACTTTGTAAGGGCCACGTTGGCATGTGATTGACAAAAATTTGTATATCCTTCTTTTGTTGTTAAATTCCACATATCAATCATCAATCTATCCTTCTTTCGTGCCGTGTCTTTTTGATATCTCAATATGCTGTGTGTCAATGAATCAGCTAGGCAGTAGCATTACAGAACATCCCATTGCATGACCGAGCAACTGTATTCGTGTGTCCATTCCTGTGCGTGTAAGCAGGTACTAGACAGGCAGTTACCTCTGTGTCTCCACTCTCGATGGCCTCGAGCAGAGCGTCATGGATGAACACGTACTGCTCCTCGGTCTGGACGAGGTAGTTTCGCTGCTGGCGGATGTGCCGCAGGAAGCCGTAGACGTTGACGCTCTGCCGATGGCGCATCTGCTTGAGCATGGCATCCAGAACGATGTAGGTGCCCGTCCTTCCTACACCAGCACTGCAGTGCACAATCATGGGTCCTGCAGTGGGAGGGTTGGCAGCAGAAGACTTGGCCACAAAGCTGAGGACTGGCAGAGGATGGTCTGGTACCCCATGGTCTGGCCAGTTGGTGTAGTGATACTGGTACACCGTCCGTTCAGACGCCTGCTTCTGTAAAGCATGGAAAGGTACTTATAAGCTCAGCGCAGCCTTTCCAAGACAGTAGCGTGAACGTCAGATGGGAGAAACCAGACGCACCTTCTTCACTTTGATGTTCTTGACCGCAAAGGTTCGGACGGTGTATGTTGCCATGACAACCTCCTGGACCAGCTTCACTTGGATTATGCCATAGGTCTCAGTACCTTCCTTTGGCCAGTACATATCGCACTTACGCTGCAATGAAACATGAAAAGGGCTTATGTTTTGACCTCCGATGCGCCTGTGACTTACAGGATGAGGCAACGAGCAAGGTATTTGTTTGAGGCACAGAAACTAACAATTCTCTCCACATGTGACATAGCTCAATGAACGCTCCTGCTCCCAGAAATAGTCATGGCTCTAGGAACGCAAGCAATAAAATGAAAATAGGGCGCTTGCTGACTTTTAAAGAAGTTCAATGACACTATAAAATGTCAATCATTTCTTCAGACAATCTCAATGAGCTAAAATGTTCATGTAATGCTAAAAATTGTCATCCTCCTATTTGCAGCACGAAACTACAAGGAAATTCACGCGAATCACTCTGAAAATAGTGAACAGTTTTCTTTCCCTTAGTAGATTGTAAAGCCATAAACACACTAGGATTCAAAGATCTACGAACTTAAATAAATTTGTCAGTGATCATGATGCAGGTGTAGAGAAAAAGCACAAATGATTTGCCATCAGGTAAACTTTAGCTGATACAAGGTCTTCTGTCAATAAACTAGCAAATCAGCCACACCGAATTAGTCAGTTTCACAAGAGAGATTTCCAGTTAGCAAATTCGCATGTTATGCACAACAAAGAAGGCAGGTGTCAGCAGACTAAAAACACTCGAACTGGTTAGACAAACTTACTTTGTGCTGCACAGAATAGCTAATTAGCCAATTAAGGGTCTCGCTCAAGAGTACTTTGCGCTCTTGTAGCATTGCTTGTCAACATATAGAAGCCTAAGGGTTCATTTGCACAGGTAACTCTCCAAGTCACGCGACACAGGTGGTCAGCCATAGTTCTAGCAAACTGAAGTCGCAAAATAGGCAGTCAAAAACAGTCCCACATACTCGCTTCTGGTCGAGAAGCGTCTGTTATGAATAGATTACTCCCTGTTTGAATTAGCAGTTGGGCTATAGCGAATTTGAACACTGAGCCGAAAAGCTAGTTTCCGAACCTGATAGCGATTACTTGCAACTAGTCACTTTGCGACTTCGTGAACAAAATGAATGCAACAACCTTGGCCACATGGTTGAGAGCTGTCAATGTGAATGAGCCTTAACTGTCAAGTGTGGAAAAAAAAAAAAGGTTTGAGAACTCATGCCCAATGAATATGACCTGAAATAAAATTTGATTTTACCTCAACAATCATTTTTAGTAGTGCGAATGCACTAACAAATGCCACAAAAGCTCAACAGGCCCAGAGGCATTATTTGAATGAAGCAGCTGCAACCTACGCTCAAAACACTGCAAACCAACGTAACTTTTAAGACTTAATAAAACTGAATTGAAATTTCAGGCTGCCATTGCTTATAAGGTTATTAATTACAACTGCTTCACAATGCTCTCTTGCACTGTAGCCATAATGTGACTTAATCTATGGTGTAGACAATACTGCAAACTTTGATGTGCTTGCAGCAAAAGGCAATGCAATAGAGTCGACAATTAACAGTGACGTCCACTTTTTTCAGCGTAAAAGGTCACGTGCATATGACTAATTCTAGATTTCAACATCATCTCCAAATGAAGCCTAAGATTCTTTTGAAATTGATCAAGCAATTACTTCCCGTTGCTCAATGCACTCCTCATTCTGACAATAATCAATGCTCTTAAACCCTGGGAATGCCTTCTTTTTCTATCAGTGTTCTTTTTATTTGGCATTACATTTACTCCGAGGCAATACTGATCTGTTTAAACATGCATTAGTGGTGCTGCTCATGTGCTTAAGCTCTCCTGAGCCACACATTCAAAGCTATTTTGACTAGACTTCATTTACCTACACAGCAGAATATCCTGCTAAAGATTTTGGTTTGTCAGGAGGCGCTAAGACAACTAAAGGAAATCAAACGAAATGTAGGAATATGAATCTTTACTTTATCGCTATCGTTTTATTCAGATATAAAGTGAATACATACTGCACTGAATGTTAAGTTTTAGTGTCTTCACCTAGAAAAGGAAAAAAGAGAGGAAAAAGGAAACCAATTTACAATCATAACAGGTGAAGCTAATATCATGGTACTCGTTAGCTTGCAGTTCGGAACTGGAAGTACGGAGGACATAAGAGACTGAAAGGGCGATCACTGAGGCCCGCAAACGGTACGCGTGGTATTCCGCAAGTGTCCACAAAATGAACTTTAGCATGCTCCGATTGGCTAAGTCTTGAGGGTGACTCGGTCAGCTCCTATAGTGAACCATGGCTTCTATCTCTATTCAATCAGAGCACGTTCAAAGGTGTCCATTTAGTGGACACCCTACAGAATACAACAGGGATTGCATTCTACGTTTTCTTCTAAGTTACTGACACAATGAACGTTAAACTGGAGTGAAACATGCGAATTAGCCAGGCAGAGGTGTTAACTAGCAGCTGCTGCACACACAGAACAGGAAGAAGACGTCAAACGAGGAAGGCAATGTTTAGGAGTTATAAAGCGGAGTTTTTAAGGAGTTATAACACAAAGAGTCTTTAGGAAGTCAGCCATACAGAAAGCCCCACGCATACTCCTTCACATGCTATACTCACAAGATCATCCAACTCTGCCGAAACGCTACGAGCGCGCTGTTTTGAGTGTCGCCGACCGAAAACGGAAAAAGAGATAGAAAAATAAAGGTAAAAGAGAAAAAGAGGAAACAGAGGAAAGAAAGGGCACAAGACCGAGCAAACAAGAAAAGATGAGAAAAAAATGGAAGGAAGGAAGGAAAGACCAGAAAAACATTATATGAATTGAATGTAAGAAATGCAATGAGCAAAGGAACAGCCCTCAGTTAATCTCATTTGTGATGTCATGTTCTTTATAGTTTTGTAACCAAAAAAATATAACTTATCCAGGTGCCCCATTTTTCGCGTGTGTGTGTGTGCTTGACATGAACACAACGCTCAAATCTAAACATAAGTATCAGTGCAACCACCAACTAATAAATAATCAGCATAAATAATCACCAAGCAAAATGCATTATTTGACAAAACACTGTTTGTCACTGCCAATAAAATTTAGACAACTATATTGCAATACTATTTGCACCTGTGAACTATGCTCTGTTAACATAAAGATTATCATCTCACAAATGCCACAAAAATGAGTACGAAGTTGCATCATTCATATGCGTTGGAATAATCAATTATATACCTAAAGTGCACAGAACTAAAACAAAAGTGATGTCAGTCAGAACACGAACTGCCCGAGTTTAGGTATGGCTTAGCCTTAGTTTGATGCCCTTATATAAGTTCAGCACAATTATGATATTAGTATGCAATGTATATGACACTCTTCCCTACCTGCACTTCACCAAAACCAGAAAATGTAGAACACTAAAGCCTAGCTACCTGCAGCTCATTTCTAAACAAAAAGAAAGATAGTAACTACAATGTTCTTTAAAAGCACTGAATCAACAGAAAACAATAATGTTAGTGTAAATCCAAACAACAGAGGACTTGCCTGCTCCGCTCCTACACATGAATGCAATGCGGCTCAATCGAACGTATCAGATTGATTTTGCAAGAAGGCAGGCTTAACACAAATGCCGATGTTTGTGTTGTCTGTTCTCTTCTCTGGTGTGTGTGTGTGTGTGTGTATTTGCATGCAAACCTTATTTTGAGATGAATCCTTATCACCTTCTGCAATTCGAATATCCCACTGATCAGACTATGAACACGGAAGCCATCAAATGAACTGTGTTCCTTCTTTACTGCAAACGACTAGTTCATGATGAGTTGATGATAATCCAGCTATACAGCTCAGTACTCAACCCCGAAATATAGATTGTTCAGAGTTATTTTTAGGATGACTCGGAAACAGTGCAGTTTAAGTGTAGTGCAGTAGAATCCTGATTACATGATTACGGTTGATGCGAATCTCGCGATGGTTAAAGTTTTAAGATTGTTTTGGATAGACTACATTACATAACATATGACGTGCTTAACATTTGCCCTGACGAAAGTTCAAAAGAACATCATAGACTTTTTTCTTTCAGCATGAAGTAGATGCCAATAAAGTTCCTGTTCATCTTTGTTACCAGCTTCAACTTGTTTTTGGTTCATACAAATTCGGGATGGTACGAATATTTTGCGTGTTCCCTTCGAACTCGTATCATCTAGATTCTACTGTACTATCATCTAAAGCTTGCTGTCACAATTTATGACACAGTCCGTAGTGCTTTCAGTACCATATCTCCTCGAATCCCATCCTTCTTAAAGGCAATTTTTTTTTTTTTCTAACAAGCATCAGTTGTTTCTCCAGCACTGTGGCTGCCAGCCTTACACTCTTTTCGTCTCTGCTTGCAGCCTGCAAAATAACAAAACTAGCCCAGCTGGAAGCTTTCTTTAAGAGTTTTCAGTTTCCACCTTGAAACACAGCTCATAATTTCAATGTTGCGGCAAATTCAATAAAATGCAACTGGCGGGTGACAAATTGTGCACCTATTACTGTCTATGAATAGCCTGGTAAATTCGTAGACAACTTAACCATTAGACTGAGCATACTTAGGAGAGTGTTGCTGTTACAATGGTTGATAGTGGCCGATGTTAGCCACTGGTTAGCCAACACCAGCCAAAGCTAATACTGCTATGCGAGTCAAGTGTGGCAGCTAGCCAAGGAAGGCTTCTACTCTACGCAAGTCGACTTTGGTCATAAATTATTGTCAGCATCATCGTCATCAGAAAACATTATTTTAAAAATAATGTAGCTCACCCGTCCTCTTTCCACTAGGTTGGTGATCATGATGATAATGCACACCCTCTGCTCCCAGATCATGCGCCAATAGTCGTCAAAAGTCGAGGGCAGGGGGCCCTGGGTGCCTATGTAGGCCCTAGGCTTGTTGTAACCCTGCGTCGCACAAAAGATACAAAACGTCAACGAATCGGTGTCAGTTGTACCACGCGTCAATTACTTTCCAGTAACACCAATGTCAAACTTACCATGCGAATGTACCCTGGCATAGCAATCACATCAGTTTATCTGTTCACAAAGTACGCTCTGATAACAGCAACATAAGTGATAATGTACAAAATTTACACTCTATTTAAGCTGGTACCAGAATTAGAATGGCCAGTTAGGTTTGTCAGATATGGTCCCAAGAACACAAGTGTGCCCCTGTGAGTGCACTGTTTTATACCCCAATTCCTATAAATTGATATTATACTTATTGCTTGGAAGTACTCCTTGGTAGCAATTATGTAAATTTCACTAATAACAACATGGCTGGTAAAACTGACATCACAATACTCTCATAATGTGTATAAGGACAAACACGTTAATGACTAACAAAAGCAGTCGATAAAGAAATACCATAGCAGCTGACATCTAAAATGTCGTTACTTCCCAAACAGTACTCACATCAATGTAGTTAGCGTTGATATAGTCAGCTGATTTCTTCTGGCCAGGGGTAGGCTTCAAAATAACACGTGTGTGGTCATCTGCAAGTATCGAACGACGAAAATGAGCACGCGAACCCAGAATGACGATTGTTACGTACATTTCTAGTTGCAAAGACTCATGAACAACAGCATGGCCTTCCAGGCCTCATGATAACTTGCCGTTTGAAACTTACGCTTTGCATCGTTTCAAGTTGAACGTCAACTACGACCACACACAGAACAAAATTAAAAAACCAATATAACAAAAACACATCACGATAGGAGTGAGAAAAAAAAAAACACTACTCAACTTGATGGCGAGATGTTTGGAGAGCTAGCCTTCACTCCTTTGCAGTCACAACAAAACTTACTACATTGTCATGTGCGTTTCCTATCTTTGCTCTTGCTGTACTTGGTTTACGCCCACAGCAATGGTCAGCACAAACCACGACTCAGTGTTATAGAAGCTTCACTATTTTAGTAGATAATATTGTCAAGATTACGCGCCCAACGCGAACATTACAGCCTCTTCTGGACGTTACGAGGCCGCTAGCGATAACACTGGAATATTTGATGGCACATGTATGTATAAATGCCAACGTGCATCACCACAAGTCAGTTGATCAACGGCGGATGCTCAGTTCACCGCTATCAGTGCGTTGATAAAATCCGATTTTCTATTTACCGGCCACGATTCCGCCAAATAAAGTTTCATCTTGGACATACTGACCAGCTATCTTTGTCAATGTCACGACTACGTGACATTACAGAAGAGCCCAGATGCTACAACACCATGTACAACAAGGCTGCACAGCATGCCATCTAATGTAGATCGAATGATGCTGATGTATGTTTATCTCGCATAATTCTGAGCAAATAAAAACATTCCAGCTTTCTTCAACATTGTAATTGAAATTTCAATTAACCTTTCAACGTCTCTCCACTAAGTGGCTTTTTCAAGTGATTTCCGAGGATTGTGCAAACAGGCTTGCAATGAAGCTATAGCTTAAAAGTACATGCATATTTGATGCAGTGTGTTGTCAAGGTACATACGACAAAGAGAAAGAGCGTCACCCTGATATGAGCTTACAGGAGCACAAAGGTGTTTTGGTAAGGCATTTCTAAACCCTCTTCAAATAGAATGACAACTGTTCTATCTTTAACAATGCAGCTCTATCATTAGATAAGTAACTGGTTAACAATACAGGTATCTATATCAAGCTTTGATGTCGTAGAATGAAGGGCGGTTGTTAAGCTTTTACAGTTCCATTTATATGGTTTTGCATTTTCCATGATTATCACTACAAGTCGACTGTAACTGTTGCACTCCAATGCAACGTCACAATTAATAATGCCGTCCTGCGGAATCCTTTTCGCTGGCCCGCTGTCAACAAGCAACTTTGTTTAAACGCATTCTTATTTTGCAGGCCAGGTTGTCAGATAGCGACAAAGAAGCCACTGCTTAGCTGTAAAGGGCCTGCAAGCAAACTAACGCAAGATGCCGAAGCAAACGTAGAAGACGCGAAGCGTGGATAACCCACGAACTTACAGGCCACGATGTTGACATATCGGTTCTTCGCCTTGTTCTCTGCCATCTGAGAATAGTCCGATGACAGATCCAAATCCGTAGCCTGCTGGAGAGACTGAAATTGGATGGAAGGAAAAGAAAAAAAATTTAGGCTGAACGTGACAATCTCACGTGATAAGCAACATCCTCTTGCAGTGGCTAGACAATAGGCCGCCACCTCAACTCTTGAATGGACGCAGTCTTTCTGAACATTGGCACATCTCTCCTATAAATCTGGTACACTTTCAATGCGTGCAAACTTCAACGAGCTCTAATTACCCAAGGTTACAGCTCTACTTAAGTTGGTCCTATCATGAGCTTGTGCTAGTAAGCCACCCTGCAATGGCGTGGCAGCAATCAGCATCCCAAACGAGTTTTAAAAAAAATCAGATTGCGAGGTTTAAAAGTTCGAAAGAACTACCCGGTAATAGTATTACAGAAGTTATGAGCTGTAGGGTGAGTGGACTCTGCGCAAGGTGAAAACACAACGGTAACTATTCTAAGGCACTTGGGCCTTAGTGTTTTATTCAGCTTTCTTTTCAGGATGTAGCAAACTCGCCATACAACTTATGGTAAACAGTAGCTGTTGTAGTAAGATCGTCACATGCGACTATGCATGTGGCTATAGAAGCTGTCTGCTTGGTGCCAGGTAGCAAAATTTTCTCAGCGTTTCTCATTGCCTAAATCCTGTGCATCATCAATTAGATGACTGTTAGTACTAGCTGTCTATTTGCAACAGCTGCGAATCGCTTATATGGTTGCTTCTATGAACTGGTGTTTTACCCAGTTAAAGGACTAGACGATCCCGCTAAACCAGCATGTGTGGTGCAAGATTTGACATGCAGTGAATAAAGTGCTCCGGATTTAAAATTTCAGAGTTTGAGGCCATGCAATGTCTGTTCAGGTATTGAAATCGCAACCCCAGACTCGATACGCGGTAAAAAGATTGAGGAAGAGCTAAACATGTAGGGAAGGGTGTTTCCACTCCACTAAGATCACAGCTGCGTCAAAATTTACCCTAAGGTGCTTCTTGTTCTTCTTTCTTACATGCCCTGTTTCAGCTCCCTACGGCATGTAACGACGGGGTGTATCAGCTCAACTAACTTTGTTAGCTATTTGTTGGGCCAACTGTTGCTTTCTTCATATTTAGGGGACAGGCAGCGAGTAGCGGGACTTACCCATTGTGGCAGTACCCATTTTAATGATAGACCATGACTACAAGACACTCCGTGATATTACACTTCTTGTTAACAAGCCCTGAGCCTAAAGTGCTTCGCACCTGAGATACTGTTGCAGAGATCTCGATTGAGGGGATTTACCCACATGTACGAAACTGCACCCTTCGCCCCTTCCCCACTTTTATCGAAGCCCGTTTATGATGCACCTGTGACAACACGACACGGCGACAAGTCGAGACTCCTAGGGTGCTCCGCTCCAATACATAAGCACAACACAAGACAAGCGAGCACCACGCAAGGAACACACCTCGTACTCCCTCGAGAACCCAATATCTCCATCGGCATGTAAGTCGGCCACGTGTTTCGCCCATTGGTTCACGTGCACAGAAGCATACTCCGAGTCGTCTGGAATGACAGGTGCCAAAACACATTAGCATGTGTAGCGTAAAATGTTTTCTCCGCAGCTTTTAAAGATGCAAGTGTTCCTCAAACCATCAGTCTCTTTTGACTCCCCTGAATTTATAGCAAAAGTATGAGAAAACGCAATGGGAAGTCGCAAGACACCTCAATGTTGATAAACATGATACCAAAATGCATTTGGTGGACTCATTGACATTTTTTTCAACGTGTCAAGCCTATGAAACAGAGCTACCACTAATTTGCTGCAAAGTAGCCACGGCCTGCAAATGACTCCATCAAATCACGTCCCACATTTAGCCCCATTTTTCGGTAGGTTTAACTGCAAACAAAAATGGAGAGTTTTTTGATCGCATGACAGCACGTGTTTGCATGACAGTGTTTTGAAAAAGCTTGTGACATGCGCAGTGTTTACTGTACTGCTTCGGCATCGAGATACTTTTACACATTCAGCACTGCATGCTAAGTCAGGCTTAAATATTAGCCCACAAAAGTCTTCTTGAAGGTCTCCTTGGTAAAAGAGCCATCAGCCCGCCGCCTGATGGGGGAATATATCTAGCAGTGGCAAAGAACCGACAGAGTGATATCAAGTTTGGAATACACATATTAGCCGTACTAACACACACACACACACACCCATACATGCACATGTACCGCATTTACTCGCGTAATGATCGCACCCCTAAATTTTGTCTAAATTCGACTCCCCCCCCCCCCCCCCCCCCGGTGTAATGATTGCACCTTGAACTTCCCGCATCAACATGTCATGCGCGAAGTCTAGCTGAACGCGCCTATCATTGTTTCTGTGATCTGAAAGCGGGCATCACTATGCTAATGCCGTAAATTTACTGATTTAAATGAAAGCATTTCTTATTTAGATGGAAGAAACTGTTTTGATGCGCGTGACGTACTCACAACCTCCATAACTGACGCAAAGATGAAAAAAAAATGTGGTGGATTCGCTCCACGGAGTGCTTCGCTCCGTCAGCCGCCATGTTTGTTTTGACATGCCGCACTGTTACAGCGGCGGCCGCCTGTTGGTCGACCTGTGTTCATCCTGCAGCAATGTTTTTTCTTTTGTGTGTGTGTGCTTTGTGATCAGTTTATTGATGCGCCGTTTCTCTATGGGGCGGTATGCGAGCTTTACTGCCGCATTCAAGCTCAAGGCGCTTGACTACGCGCTAGAGCACGGCAACCGCGCTAGCCGGCGGAGATTTCGCCGTCAGCAAAATCCGGATACGATATTAAAAAAAAACAGCGCAACATACTCATGGCTACTAACAGCACGCGATGGGCTTTCCGCGGACCCAAATCTGGCAAGTTCCCTGACATTGAAAAGGCAGTCCTCGAATACGTGAAGGACATGCACAAGGACGGTTATGCAGTGTCATTAGACATGATACGGATGCAGGCATGCACAGTTTCTCGGAGTCTGGGAATAGCCACAAAGGACTTTCGCGCCAGTTCCGGCTGGACGACACGCTTCATGCGGCGGAATGGACTGTCGCTGGCATTTCCAACGTGCTCGACGGAACGGAAGATGACCCTCTGTGGGACAGTGAAGACACTGCCAGTTCCGACAGGTAATCGTGCAGGCGACGACACTGACGCCAGTGATGCTTCGGAGTCTGAGCGAACGTTAGGGGGTGAGAGAGGTAAAATATAAAAGGGCAGTGTGCCATGCATGTAGCTCCTGCGTAATATGTGCATTTTATTACAAAGGTAAGCCTTGATTTACTTTTATTTTTGGTTAAGTTCATGATAGCTACCGTAAGAATTCTGATTAACGACATTTTTGCGTTTCCGGTGCTCAGAATATTTTTTCACGGAAAATTTACCCCGTGTAATGATCGCATCCCGAAGTTGGAGTCAATTTTCTTGAAAAAAAAAAAAAAAGTGCGATCAATATGCAAGTATATACGGTAAACACGTAACCCTAACAACAAACACATACATGTATACATCTATTGCTCATACTAAGAGGCTCGTAAGAGGTTTGAAATGGGAGCTGCACAGAAACAAGAACGTCGATGCAACTTGAAGTCAGTGTCAAAAATTACGCAGCATATACAGGGCTTTGAAGGTCAAATGTTTAAGAGTTATCAGCACCTATAATAGATGACACTGAGTGAACGATGCTATGCACATTTGACAAAATGTGTTCTGATCTTGATTAACTGTTATAAGCAACTTTGCTGGTCCCCTAATCTATAAAAGCACATTTACGTAGCAACATATAAATTTTTAGTCGTCCAAGCGCACAATTTTTCAAGTTTATTGAGCTGTGAATACAACACCAAAGAAAAGCGCGCGTCACGACAACAAAGGCGTGCCACTCACCAAAGGTTTCAGAAAGTTGCGGCGAAGCTCTGTTTCCTGGAGGGTCGTCCAAGTAATAGTAAGCGGCCTGAAAATATTTTCTGCAAAAAAAAAACGACGGTAAACGTTTTTATGCTGCCAATATTTGCATTTTCTAAATCGGTACCATAAAAATTAGTTTCAATTAATGTGCAAGTACAACACATGCCAACTAAGATGAGCAAAATGCTGAAACAACTCCCCTGTGTCATTTCATTTTCGGTTTCACCAGCTATTGTGACAGTGAATTAGATCACGTTCCAAAACATACGCTCGAACTTACGATTAGAAACACGCTACCAAATGTTAAAGCTTCATAGTTTGAGGCAGTAGCTCCAACTCTAATGCCATTAAGCTCTGAACGTATTCTGGAACATACTGTACATGCTATTCATTTCTACATTCAAACAATATGTGCCAAGCGCCTTGTTGGTTTGAACCGATTAATAGCGGGCAGTGGACAAAGGTGGAAGGTTCTAGCTTGGAACCAGAGTTCTGACAAAAAGACTTTCCTTTCACGCACTTTCTAACACCGTGAAATTCCTCAAATCTTGGACTGAGATGCAGGCACCAAGACAGTTCATCTAGACATTATTTAAACACTTAATAGTTGATCTAGATGGTGATAAAATGACAGATACACAATGATAGAATGAACTATAATATTCAATCTAAACACTAATTGAACGGTAGTTTAACAATGAAAAATGATAGTTGAGCAATGAAAGACTGAACAATGATAATTGATCTTGAGGTGAATGCAATCCTAAGTTTCTGCTTGGGATTCTATATTTCAGTTCACTTGAAATGCTACTACTCCAAACGGCTGTCAAGATGAGCTTATAGGTTGAGGCAGCTACAACACGAAAGGCGTTACGATATGCCTGGCACATTCCCACATTATTACAACACCGTCTGACATTGCTAGCCCTCAACAATTAACATGCAGGTACGTTCAAATAACTACCGCTGGTACAGCCACCAAGAAAAGGAAAAACCGAAACCAGAAACCTGAACAGCCTAGGCAAGTCGCCGATACAATTCTTGTAAGACAATCCCATGTGGACGTGCAACCCATACGGCACCCAGCGCTCCCTTTCTGAGATGCGAGTGCACCAACGCAAACGCGTTTCGACTTCCGATCACCCCTCTAAGGTGCTCTCCTGTCGTTATCTCCGAACCACTCCATGCGGCGTTATCTGCTATCGCGATAACTAAAATGTCGATGCGACGCGTCTCTGACCAAAAGCACCGCATTGTGGCACATGGCTCGCGACGAGATAACGGGACTGCAAGGCCAGAAATGGAAGACGCTGCAGCAGAGAAGAGACTGTGAAAAAGACAAGCCGCTGCACTGTAAAAAGCCGAGATAAAGGAGTGATAAGGAGCCGAGGCACCGTGTGAGCACGGAGTGAACGGGAATGCTGCTGGGATCTCTCATGAGATGGTGTAAGAATATACGATAAGAGTCAAGAAAAAAAAAATGTGAGAGATGCGTTATTCAGTCACGTACATTCGGCACTGTGGACTGGAAGAGGATATTTGGAGAAGCTATGGCAAAAGCTGTGCAGATAATGGCTAATGCAATTTTATGTTGCAAAGCTTTATGATCAGCTGTGTGAATACTACTGAACTTGATTTTATAGATAAGGAGATATAAATAATCTGTAGAACCACACACATACATATACCAAAGCAGGTATATACAGCCAAATAGACAAATAGCAACCAGTAGTCGCACCCACAACTCAGTACTGATTGATGAAAGGTCAACTCCACTGAACCTCTATAGTGGTGTTAGATTGCGCAAATCGCATTCCACAGTTAAAGGCTGTCTATCTCAGCACTGATGAGGAACATGTTAATGGGTATCGCCAAGCAACTTTTAAGATTCTCTTTCTTTCTTTTTTTTTCCGTGAAATGACAGACCAAATCCTCAGGAGTCTACAAGATGTATTGGTAAATGGAGTGCACCATGAATACACACTGTTAGGCTAGTTGGTGCATGTTTGGAATCAATATTCAACTTCGCGCCAAAATTACGACCACACTGAACGATGAAGAAACGTATAAACAGGACTGGCGCTCATCCACAAAGTTGACCACACTCAACCTTTGATATAATAAATCTAAGATATAAAGAAATATCGGTTACAACGAAGCAAATTAAGAATAGTCTAGCAATTTATATAGTGTTAAGAATGCACTTTTACACAATTTTTCAGATATAATGAACTTAGATTTGTGTAAGATGCAATTTTTTTTCATAGTGATGTTTGAGTGCGTTGAGTCCAGTAATTACTGCAGCTTTTGGCTAGTTTCAGTTCCTATTGTACCTTGCCGTCACAACATGATATGAGCTTTGCGTCAAGTACTTGCGTAAGATGTTGTCATGTTTCCATGGCTTTTTCTCGGCATGGCATCAGTTGGCAACACACAAGCCACCATTCTGAATGTTCTTGATGGCGCACAAATAGCCACTTTGGATATTTTGGTACCCGACATCATCACAACCAGCCACACTGGTGTGTGAAGTCACCAGAATCGACACTGTAGCTCGACGTCACATTAATGCTGATCTAAGTACATGTGTTATGCGAAAATGTACTTTAATGTGAAAATCAAATATCTTACGAACATTTACGGAGCTCCACACTTACATGGAGCCATCTCTGTATACAGAGAAGACTTGTATTATAGACTAAGCTCGCCTTCGAAAATTGCTATCAGTACACCTTCGAAGGGACACTATAGAGCAAAACGATTTTTTGGGTATTAGTAAAGCACAATTTCACAATGCTGAGAACATCACTGTTACCATGACACAACGCTTGGTAAGTGAGAGAACATGTGAAAAGAAAATGCGGGGGAAGATGCCACGTTGGAATTCCCGCACCAAACACCGTGACGTCATAGATTTCGAAAGCGTCTATTCGGTCCTATGTAGCTTCTAATCTATAAAAATAAAGTATGTTGTCATCTGTGGTTGCCATAGACCTAGCATACGAAGTTTCAGAAAGTTTCATCGAGCCAATGCCATGAAAATCTTAAAAAGTACACTTTGAAATTTTCGACACCACACACTGGGATTTAAACGATAAATTCAAAAATGAAACTTCACCCTCGATTTCCTCTGCTAATACTTCACCTAAGAGAGTAAAACATATGACATTAAAAGTTCTCAGAGTGCAGTTTGTTCATCCAAAACAAGTCATTGTTTATCTTCAGTGTCTCTTTAAAGTAGGAACAAAAATAAAAAGAAGGAACAAAAATAGAAAAGGTTGTGCTACTCACTTCCACAGAACAAAGGAGATGATGGCCAGAAACAGCGCAAATGACACGCACACCACACCGGCCACCACAGCGGCACTCAGGCTGGGATCGGAATAGGCACCATCGTTGAAAGCTGCATCAAAACCGTCATGTTCAACGTCGGCAATGGCACCGAGACGAAGGAGATTCAAAATGGGAGGGCTTAAAGAATGAAAATTCAAGCATTGCATCGCCTGGGCAATTTTGCACAGCGGCTAAAAAAAGAGTCACGGTGACTCGCTCGCTTTCTCAGCAGCTTTCCGGCATGCTCGGCACGTTCGCAAGGTCATTCTCAACATGCTCAGTTTTTGGAGAGGTTTGCTCGGGGACTCCTTTAAGCAGGATCCTTTTGCAGCCAAGCAAGACTAGCAGCACAGCCCAACAGAAAAAAGAAAAAAAAAACTACGTGCCCTTACCTCCAATGCCCAGCAATACCATACAATATATGGGAACTTATTTACGATTATAAGGGCCCCAGTTATGTATGTATGAATTAGTGGATATAGGGGTTGTAGCATATGCAATTTGCTTTCATTTTCTATTTATTGCATAGGGACATAGTCAAATAGGAGGCACAACTAAATTTCGAAACTAAGCTCCCCATACAGAAGTACAAAATGTGAACTACGCATGTTCAACACTTACGGGTGACTGAACTATAGTAATCTGACCTGGGTACGCTAGCAGGTGTAAAATTTGTTGCGCTGGAGTGGTGCAAAAAGACAGCAAAGAAAATGAACATTTTTTTCCCCCAATCTCCAATGCGCTTTTGTAGCACCTTAGTACTCCATTGTGCACAATATGGTAACTTGAACTAATTAATTATGTCCAAATGGGCTCACCCTGCTTCATTACATAGGCCTCTATGACACTAGTGACGCCAAAGGCATGCAAAGTTGTGAAGCGTCACACACCTGACTTCCAAGACCACATGAGGTAAAGACTTCCCGAGCCTGCCAGATGTCAATATTTGTGACTAAACACACTGCACTTAATACAGCTATATTAGACTCCCCATGTACACAGACCATTGAATAGAAATGTCTGTGTGCAAGGAAAATTTTTGACAATTTACTGCCGTTTCATGACTGGTGCACGGGCATTTGTTTTCCAAATGTTTCACAAACAAGCTAGACGCCCATAGTTTGACTAAGTGGACTACTTAGCCCGACCTCTGCACCAGATTTTAAATTATATGTACTGTCCGAGCGCTCGGCACTGAAGTGCTTTTTGCTGTAAACCCACCTGTGAAAATGGTATTTCATAATAAGATACTAAGCTAAAGTCAGAGCAGCCACTTCGAGTTATACCCGACCTGCGATTCTTGCTCGACCGAGCAACCCTAAGTTTATTGCCCGACCCTTACTTCACAGGATTGTAAACGAAGCAGCAAGGTCAAGTAAGCAAGCATGCACTGTTCAGCGTAAACACACTCTAATACACTATGCACGGCCACAGGAAGAAACACAGACGCACTTGATGCGGATCAGCCCATTGTTGTAGATGTGCAATTTGAAACAGCTCACAGGAAAGGGCAAACGTGTGACGTGCCCGCCAGTTGCGAGCGAGAATGTCAACCAGCAGGCATGTGCAGTGCACCGATGCAGAGCAAAGAGACGCACAGAGCGTGCATGCCCCCTGTTTCGGCATCGTGGAGAGAAAAGAAAAGAGGGTGTGGGTCGACGCAACAGCTCACAGTAGACGCAAAAGTTTACAGGCCGCTGAAACACGCACACGAACAAAAAAAGTGAACATTCCCACTGCTTCAGCAGGCAAGGTTCAATTTTTTACAATGCTTCCAAGCTCCGAATCTCAGAAGACCACTGCAGCTCAGCCGAATACATTTTCGGTCGCTCATTCACAGAGCGACACGCTCTAGTAACGCAACGTCACCCAAGCGTCTGATCTGATTGGCTATGGAATGCATGGAAGTAGTGAGATCGGCTGGTAGGGCGGCAGCACCTGTATGAGCAGATAGTATCTACCACTCCACATACTTCGTCTCTGTCGTCAGACGGCATGCGTGTTGCTGGACGCACTGGGTGATGGCCTACACGATTGCGCGCAACCCATGGGCGTGCAATCTCTAACGTCTAGACTGGGCGAAGCTTAAATCGTTGAGCGCGCTAGAGAGAGCTCTGCGATCGCCAGCGTGTCTCACGACTTGAAGAGGCACGGCAGGGGTGTGAAGGAGGGTATGATACAATTGTGCCTAGCTGGCCTTGGTACGCGGTGTGTCGCTAAATTTGCGGTGCGAATGGTTTGATGACGCTCTAGCCTGAACACTGACAAAACTTAAAAAAAAAAAAAACTGTTTCGGATCTCTTTATTAGTATCGGCAAGCAAAGTGTTCGGATCACTCTGTATTACAATTGTCGGATCACTCTGTATCACCAGTCTTAACTAAAGTCAGCTGCTGCTTAGCAGCCAACAATCGGTGTAGTTAAAATGCGATGCTGTCTACGAGCTCAACTGCTACAGGCTTAGGGGCGCTTTAGCTGCCTTTCTTAATGTCCCTGTCGCACACATGCTTTCAAAAGTGACTGAATTCCACAAAACCAGTTTTATCCTTCCCGCAAGCTGGCAAGAAGGAGCCAAGGATCATCATCAGCCTGACAATGTGCACGGCAGGGCAAAGGCCTCTCCCATGTTTCCCCAATCAACCCGGTCCGGTGCTTGTTTGCGCCAAGTTATCCACAAAAGCTTTTCCCATGTTTCGCCAATCAACCCGGTCCAGTACTTGTTGGCACCAAGTTATTTGCGAAAGCTTCTTCGTCTTCATCTCATCTGCCCAGCTAACTTTCTGTCTCTCCCTCCTGCATTTGCTATCTCTAGGAATTCAGTCTGTTACAATTCTTAACTAGAAGTTCCTTCTTCCTATATGCCGTGCTTATGCCCATTTCTTCTTGATTTTGACAAAGACGTCCTTATGCGTGTTTGTTTACTGACCCACTCTGCTCTTTTCTTGTCTCTTAATTAAGGTTGCACGTGTCATATTTCTTTTCATGGCTCGTTGGGTCGCCCTCAATTTCAGTTGAACCCTTCTCAACATGCATGCAGATTTCGACGAATTTTGGTATCGACTTTCGATCGGGCAAGCAAAACATGTGAATGAGACATAGGGGTAGTTTTGCTTAACAAGATGCATCAGACAACAGGCTAAACTTTGAGCCATAGCCAAGAGCTAAAGCGAAAGACAAATGCGTAGAAGAGAGGCAGAGAAAAAGACGGCATGCAGAGATTTTCAGGCAAGCATCGACTACGGAAGAAAAAAAAAAGTTGCATAATGTGAAAGAGAGAGAGATAGAGAGAAAAGACAACCATTGAGAGAGAGAGAGAAGTGGTGAGAGACGACGTGGGCCCGGCCGACGTGAGGCGTCAACTTACTCTGACACTTACTCTGGAGGAGCACCTTCCGGGAATCAGAAAACTGCCCTTTGAACACGGTCGTCTGGTCAATGATACTCCGCGTCGCCCCCTGCACCTTCACCTCGTATAGCGTGTTGGCCGTCAGGTTGGGAATGAACATCTGCGAGAGAGAGGACATCGGGTGGAAGGAGCGGGTGCAAACAGGTGTGCGAGATGGTGAGCGCAGAGCTAGAAACATCACAGTGTGATCCTGTTCAACATTTGAAACTCTAAATGTTTCTGTTCTGACCCGTGTAACCAAATACAGCAAAGTCTTATTAGTTGGACACTTACTAATTGAAAAATTAGACAATTCGGACGCATTCTCTGGTGCCGACCAGCATGCACATCGTTTAATGTCATCGGACTCTTGTTAATTCGTTAGACAAAATAATAATGAGAGCAAACCAACAATTCTAAGGAAACTATAGGGGATGTTATTAACAGTAACTGTAATGTAAATGTGAAGCAAGAAAAGTGGATGAAAGGATAACCAGCCACGGGCAGGTACCGAACCTGCGATCTTTGAATAACACACGTGATGCACTATCTGAAGGTCGCAGGTTCGGCCACGGCCAGTGGCAAGCGTGTGGTGCGCCCTTGAAGTTCCCAAACTAATACACGATGTCAGAGCTCTTGATGGTGTCTACTAGGACCTGCGTTGTTCCTAATCGGAAAAAATAAGGTAAATTGTTTTTCAAAAGGGCCAAAAGTTGAACATGCCCAGTTTCAGAAAATTCAGGAAAACGGGCCAATCTCGTCAAATTACTAAATATTCCCCCTCGAAATCAGCAAGGTCCTGAGTGGAGATTGCGGAGCGAAACTTGAAAGTGAGACTTCGACTCCAATTTTGTCCCCTCTTACTAAAGCTACGATGGTGAACTGAACGACCATAGAGTTGTTATCAGAGTCAAATTTACCAATCTAAACTAATTCTATGTCTCATTTTACACAAGTGACCAAGAGAGAGGGAGACTCACGACGTGGTCTAGCCGGTCGGTGGCAGCCATGGCGATCTCCTCGAAGCCCCAGGCCTCCTCGGAGCGGTAGTGCACAAAGTAGTAGTCCACCTTGTTGTAGTAGGTCTGCGGCCGCTCCCATTGCAGGAAGAGACTGTCCAATGACTGGCAGGTCAGGTTCACTATGATCGGCGCACTGGGGCCTGTGAAATTTCAGAAAATCAGTAGTACCAGCGCTGCTACATCCGCATGCACGCTTTCATGAGGGTCACCCACCACGTACCTTGGACGTCCGTTTGTATCTTGAGCAGGTTGCTAGATTCCCCGAGATGTTTGTGGGTGAAGGCCCTCACCCAGATGTCGTAATACGAGAATGGCCCTGTAATACGCGTGGGCAGAGCAATGAGATTATGGCCCGAGAAAAATAAAGGAATGGATTCCAGGATGCAGGATTAACGATTTGAGCCTGAAATTGCCCGAAATTGAGCCAAAACGAGAATGTCCAGTGACTGTGATAAGATCACTGTTTTGTTGAAAACAAAAGGTACCCTCCTAAGAAAACAGCTTGTGGTTCTTGGAGAATTAGAGACATGATTGTTTGCGAGGGCTTGGTTAAGTATTCCAGCTTTTTTAACAACACAGACCGTCACGCCGGCAGGAAGACACTCACGGAGATTGGTGAGCGCGTATTCCTGAATGGGCTGCGGGTGGGAGACCGTGCGGCGCTGCTGCTCGGCTGAGCCGTTGCGTGACGGCTGAAAGTAGACGTAGTATCCCTGAAGAACCCCGTTGGGCTTCTCGGGTTCCCGCCACTTCAGCTGCACCTTTTTGTCGGTCACGCTAACGGCTGTCACGTTCACAGGTGGGCTCGGCACTGGGTCGTCATGCGACAGATGAAAGAGCGTCGGTATTATAGAACGGTACCACATGAAAAGCGGACAATTTGAAAAGGACAACATTCGGCTCAAAGGTCGTCACTCCTCCATAGATGAATAAAGTTCTGTATGCTACCCTCAGACTATTAAAGTGATGCGTAAAAATATTCAATTTTTTAATAGCACTATATGTGCTAGCATAAAATACTCTTCAACTGTTGCATATGAATTAAATGTTCTTGTTATGTTCTGCATGCTAATCTGATACGTCGTTAAATGATTCCACAACTATGTCTCCTGTCTGTAAATATATATATATATAAGTTCTATAGTGACATGGATCCATACAAGCATTCTGCTAACAACCCTGATGGTTGTAACATGTTTCCATTTAACCATACTTTGGTTAAATAAATTCAGTTAAATTCAGTTCAATCGCATGTGACATAACAGAAGCAGCCTGCCAGCATTCTAGTGCCCAAATATCATAGCCACTATGGCGAGACGTGTGGAATGTTCTTGTACATGTTCAATCTTAAGAGCTTTGAGCTTCAACTCGTGTGACTGGTCTGATGTCAGCTGTCGTTGTCAAAAAGCCAGCTTCTGCCAAATGATGCGAGCGAAATGTGAAGGTTTGAAAACCAGTGACCAAGTTTGCACGAGATTCTGCTCACGAACACAGCATCGCGCCACATGCACCGTTCATGCTTGACGGTGACAGTATTCTCAGTGGGTTATGGCAGTTATTCACTTGTCTCTCAATGCATGAGGTGCCTGTCAAATTTCTTATAGTGTACAAGACAGTGGCCATGATGACGTCAGGGAAAAATATGCATCGATTATCGCCCCCCCCCCCATATTCACTTCGGATGAATGAAACACAAACAAGAACTTATACAGCAGAACAGCTTTCATGAATAATGACTTTATAATGCAATGTTCACCGCTTCTTGTTCGGTCAAGTGTAGTGTTCGGTCAAGTGTTCGGTCAATCATGCAGAAACTACACGAGTTCGCAAAGATAGGACAAAAATAATGCATTCAGGCTGGCCCCAACTTCACTGTGCTCCTCTTGCTCATGAAAGTATGTGTATATAGCTAGGCAATAAGGTAATAATTATTTCATCTTTCAATTTACCTCAACATTAGAAAGTGTTGACGAAATAAAGATCAAAGACAAATTTGTCAGCGATAATGTCTAGTGAAAGAATCTCGTCAAGAATGCCACAATCCATGCAGATATCACATACAACGTACCAACATGCGATTTCGGGCCCTTTGGCACTTCATAGTTCAGCACCTTTAAGCACAAAATGCTTGGGCAAAAGGATGAAAGGTCTGTATCTTTCTAACCTTTTGCCCAAACGTTTTGCGCTTTACAGCGGTAAAGTACAGAAACAGGAGATGAGACTATTCAACGACGTTGCGGCACAGCGCAGCTGGCGGAAACACTCACCTCCCTCGTCGGTCATGACCGGCACGACCACAGCCGGTCCTCGTCCGGCAGGGTTGAACACTTGCAGAGAGACCAGGTACTGAGTGAAAGTGTCCAAGTTCCGTATGGTGTATTGCTGCAGTGAAAGAACGTACCGCACCTTATCACAGAACGCCCACAGAGCTCGAGCGTGCGACACTCTGAACAGAAGATCATCACTTCATTATTACTTACAAGCACTGCAATTTTCGCACAAGCCTATAGTTATAGCGCGAGAACAAAACGACGACACAGAGACAAGAAGGACACGAAAGACACGAGCGCTCGTGTCTTTCGTGTCCTTCTTGTCTCTGTGTCGTCGTTTTGTTCTCGCGCTATAACTATCGTCATGCCATACCAACTAGCCCAAGCTGCCACACTTCGCACAAGGTTCTGGCAGGGCGGTTCAACATCTTATCGTGCGAAATCAGTATAAGGCATGGTCACAATTACGAAAGAATGATAACAGTCTCGAGTTAGACTCTTTGCAAACGATTTTATGCAGCACCGAGTTTGTTCAACTCTATAATGGCCTTAGGTAAATAGCAATACTTAAAGCAGTTAATCCAGGTAGATATTGGCCTAAGGATGCAGGAATAATGCAGCCAAGTTGATCAGCTTGTGAAATATGTCAAAATACGTAAGTCATCTATGCTTACGTCATACAGATCGCAACACCAAATCACAAGCCTGAAGAGCTAGAGTGAACTTGCAGTGGCACAAAAGATAACCCTGAACTGTTTTATACAGCTCAGCAGTTTGGTCACAATAAACGTGATGTCACACGGTGTGTTCCACACAAAGGCAGTTTCACTCCCCACCTGCATGCTGGCTAATGGTGCAAAGCACGCGTTCACGTCCTAAAGTGTTCACTGGTTTGCATTGATCTCGATGCGCAAAAAACAGAGGAACCCACGAGAGAACCATGTTGCGATGGTTATCCGTACATTCAGTGCCCACTAAAGGTTGCACGGGACCAAGTAGATCTTTATTTCTCAGGTTTGCCTCGTACAGAGTGAAAGCACTTAGGATGATGTAATCATGAGGCGACTTTTTCGCACCTTAGACATACAACAAAAGTTATTTATCGTTTAAAAACAGAGCAAATGTTGACGTGTGCTCATCGACTGCGCTAAGGAATCTAATGCAAAAAAATAATCAATTTTATTTTAAAATATATCAATTGTTTCAGTAGTGAGAATGCTGTGTGTCATGAAAAGGAAGAAAAAATTATGATAGACTTTGAACTCTGGTGACATTGCAAACAGGTAAGCTGCTACTGTCTCTGATAGATTGATCGGTACCAAAAGCAAACAGAAACATTCGTAAGGTTTATCACGAAATATTCACAGAAATAGAGCTAAAATACAAGTTTCCATTCTTATGCATTGGCTGTGCGAGAGATTTGCACCAGTTAGAGTAGTTCAGAAGAAATGAGCACATCGAAACGAATTCCAGCTCCCAAAAGATCGCTGGGCGATTGTATTTATATTATCTTAAAATTATCTTTGCACAAATGCACCCACAAATTAAAAACCAGTGCTATCTGCGCCAACACGCCAACCTCAAAGCGTATAACTGAGCAAAACATATTTGCTCAGTATAATGGCAAAGTTCAGCGACCTATAAATGGACAACTGATGCCAAAAGGTCAGTAACCTGATGAGAAATCGATCCCAATGACAAGGCTAGTATAGAAAACATACTTCCGTGATTTAAAAACATTCTTATGTCTGTAACACTCAGCCACCACTAGTAAAATAATACTCTGTGTGAGTGTTAATAATTCAGACCTTCTTTTCTTAACGCAGTAGTTGAACTCTCAGAGCTCGAAAGCTATGTAAATAAGTGTCAATGTATGACATGACATATGACATACACATTTTATTATAATGCTTGTAAATTCATATCCCTTTATTTTTGAACCAAATATTTTCAAAGACAAAAATATCAAAATACAGTACTATAGTGTTGTGCTGTGAAAAAGCAACTGCACTTGATAACGTCAGAAATACAAAAGGAAAAAAAAATATATGGGTCGCGAATGATTAATACGTACATTGCATCAACAGCATAAGCTAATCAGCGTTTATAAAGGTAATAAACACATATATTAATGGAAGTTATAAGGGGGCACCTGTGATAAAAGTAATATAAGTGCTGTATTTTACACTCCAGAAAAAAAACGACATCATTATAAGGGACGCCGTGGTGGGGGACTACAGAAACTTCGACCACCCAGGGATTCTTCAACGTGCGCTTAGATATGAGTACGCCGGCTTTTAGAATTTTCGTCTCCATCAAAAACGAGCAAGCCGGGGTCGGGGTCGAACCGACGACCTTTGAATCAAGCTTGAGCCTATGAGGGATTGAACATGGGCGTGTCCTGGCATGTTGGTAGATGGCGCGGGGAAAACATGCGAAACATGATCCGCTCCAGAGAAGGAATCAAGTGCGACATTAGTCGAAATCACTGAGGTGATCTACAGATTGTTTTTAAATCAATTCCGAAACGAAAAGAGCCGCGAAAACATGCGCAGCTTGCAGTTTGACGTGCGCGACAGCTAAAAGGCCGTCATGTAAAGCGCAGGCATGTCCGGACATGCCGAACATGGCAGGGAAGCATGCGAAACACTGATTTGCTGCAAAGAGCGTTTAAAAATTCGCACGCCAGATTCGAAGAATAATAATAAAAAAAAAACATTCCAGGACATCCATAAACGAACCCTGACGCTCAAAATGCATCATTCCAATGTGCAATTATGTGCAACGCACGGGTTACGAAATTCGCACGTTCAATCACGTTCGAACACGACGCACGAGACGCGCAGGAAAGTTCATGGAAGATGCGAAACAAGCATCTCAGAACAGCACAGCACTCGTTACATAATCAAGCGAGCGCGCGTATAGTGAGCGGGCATCATTTGAGGTTAGCAAATTTTTTCCCAAGTTCCGTAAACGGTATGAAATCATTGGGGCCACACTCGGACAAGAAATAGTAGTACAGCGTTCAACACATTGCAAACTAGTCCGCCTCAAAAAAAAAACATCGCTCCAAAAGCCGACCCAAACGGCTTTCAACCTTTTGTGTTTACGCAACACCAAAACAACTTTCGCTATTCGCAGGATGCTGGCGTAGAGAAACCCGGATGGGAGATCACCTACTTGCGCGCAATCAAACACCACACCTCGAAACTAGTTCTACAGCCGCTGCTCGACTAGGAAGAAATAAAAAACAAGCACTAAAGCGTCGACCAGCCAAATTACTACACCGACTTCCCGACATCATTTTTGGGGGGAGCAATGGTTCCGCGAGCATACAGAAAACATATAGCGAGCCTTCTATCTGTTTATAACGCAACAACTCGATCTACAAGCGCGCATAACAACAGGAAGAGGTTTCATCACGATAAACGATTCATTCGGGTTCAGCGTCGAACCGAGGTCGATACATTTTGTCGCGACTCTCTCTCTCTTTTAGTAAAAACAACCGGCTTTGTTCCACGCGTTTATCCCATTCATACTTTCGGAAGGCGCAGGTTCAGCTTGTTTTCTCGGCGATCTAAGGACCCACGCGAAATTTACAAGCAAATATCTCGCGAAACGTAGAAGCCGATCGGGGGATGCAAAAGAACCTTGCCTTTGGAAGAAAGGGATGAGGTCCGTGATCGCTTTTTTTTTTGTGCGTGTCGCTGGCTGAGCGGGCTTCACGAAGTGGCGGCTAGGAGAAGAGGTTGCGCAAAAAAAACTCCGAACAGCGCGGCGTTCACACTCCAGTCGGCATCAGGGCGTTCGCCGCTCTCTTATTTTCGACGAGTCTTTAGCACCACCACTCCGACGGCTTACATCCGAGCACCAGCACAGCACCAAGGCGGCCAGGCGGGCCCAGCGAACGCACGCAAACACCAAAACATCAAAGCACGCCGAAATAAAAATGATCCCTAGCCTCGGACCCCGGCAGCGGCGGAGAACAACCGGCGTCTTGAAATTTCACGAGAATAGGCTTAAAAGCGAAATAAATGCCCGCTTAGTAGACATACGAGATTTATACAACACCGCAGATTGTTTCAGATTTGGAATGAAACGCGTACTACCCGTATTTTACGAGTAATTAAAACGTCGGCAGCGAGAGAGAGAGTGTGTGCGTTTGGAAAGTTATCGAAAGATGGCAGCACAATTGCGTTAGGTTTTTGTCATGCGCTCTGAGATGGCGCGTTGGTCGCGCAAAGCAGACGACGCTTGTCGATTTCGGCGAGCAGACGACAATGCGAAAACGAAAGTGCACTTTTCTATCTTCGCGAGTGCGCCGATATTTTTCGCGCATTTACGGCGGCAAAATCCTTCATAACTTCGCTAAAAATTCCAAAAGAGTGCACAGTACCGCTTCTTCATAAAGAAAAAGCTACGGAATATAGAGTTTCAGTGCCGGAAAACACTGGCCACCGGGTCCCCGTGCTTTTTGCGTTCTTTTTTTTTTTTTGTACTCTTCCCGTTTCCTCCTTTTCGCCAACCGCCTCTTGGGAGTGTACAAAATAGCGCAGTAGTTTGGGTACGTCAGCGGCTTGAGAGCCCCCACCACTAAGGCACTGCGCCGTGTCGCCTGTAGGCAGACAGAAATTAGGTGCCTTCTTCCTTTTCCTCATGAACCACTAACAACAACAACAGCCCCCACCACTCGAATCTCTATTGATCTTTAGTAACGGGACTTTAAAGTGGCTTGCGTACGCACGCTCTTTCGTTCTTTTGTGCTCCCAGCCACACCCCAAGGAGAATACAAACCAACGCAATTTGCATGTGGGCCCCACCACTTGACAGTTTTATTTCGACGTAAGCTCTGCGAATGCCGACAAAGCATATATATCTATTTTCCAACGGCATGCCTTCGTAAGCCAACTTCGCATGCCAACTAAAGCGGCGTACGTAACGTGTGAGACGACATAGAGTATTGCTATATACGGACCGTCTGTTTGCTGTCCCTGATGACGATCTCCCGGCTCTCCTCCTGCGACTTGTCCCTGGGCCGGTAGGTGATGCGGTAGCCCTCGAACTCGCCGTGTATGGTGTGCCTCGGGGGAGCCGTCCACTGTATACGTATCGTGGAGCTGCTCGTGTTCTGCGCGTGCACGATGGTCGGCTTGCCCTCCGGCACTGCATACGTGTGAAGCAGCAAACGAAATCCATTTCTCGAATGAACTACTGTCACCACAAGAACACCATCAGTTAGGGCGGAACATTCGTTCAGAGACTCATATGCTACTATTTGCATATGTCGGTGTTAGGGTTTTCAAATACCAGTCAATCAATCATATGTGTGCGCAGGAGTTCCACTCTCGAGTTGAGAGGGTGGGGTGAGGGTTCGACGCAGCACCCCTCCTTACTATGTCAATGTATTGCACCCCACTCCGCCTCTTAATTAGGTGACAAAAAAGCGAAAGAGATAAGTAGACGCGCGAAAACAAAACCAAAAAAGAGCGAGCTGCTATAGCCTATTCATTAGGCCAATTAATAGAACGCAAGAAGTTCAATAATTAAGGCCTTGACTGATTTACTGCGCGAAGACAGATCAGGTGATGGCTTTCGAGCACTGACTGTTCTGACGAGGCGTCTGTCGTCAAAGCGGTTTAATGCAGCCGCTATCGGCAGTCGCTGTAGCGAGGACAGTGACACAGAATGTGGTCTATCGTTTATCGCTGCCGCTATGAATGCAGGCAGCACCGACCTAACTATAGGGTATATACCAATCACTCTACAGCCGGATATTGATTTTGCTATTCGGCACAAATGAAGACTCTACTGACATATAATTTCGTTAAATCCAGGGCTCACCTGCCATTATTTGCCCTTCACTGATATTTTGCGGTTAAGCACCTTGCAATATAATATAATTTTGTTTATTGATTCAAATCTTGTTCAGTACAGTACGAAACTCTACAACCATTTGACGTATTTCTAAAGAATCTACAGGTATTTCTCCTTACAGTTGTTATAATTAGATAGCTTTCAAGACGACACAATTTGATGCTTCTAAGCGCCACCGTGTCACGATAGACTCCGAATGAAACCCTGAGTACTGGAAGGCTCAGCCGGCGTGTTCTATGTCACGGCTGCAGGTAAACCCGCAGTTAATTCGGACTACTTTTTTTTTGTTTCGTATACGTTAGAGTGCGGCGTACGATATAAAAAGCGTATACCTTCACGTAGTGTGACCATGTAGAAGGACTCCTTGCTCGGCTTGCTGGCGCCGATGGCGTTGACGGCCAGCACCCGGAAAGAGTACACCGTGAACGGCTTCAGGCCGATCACCTGGAAGTTGGTGCTGTTGTCTGACGTCATCACCTTGTTCCGCGTGTCCCAGTCGCCTTTCTCTCCGATTCTGCGGGACAGAAGGGGAGCGAAACAGCAGGAGCGTTGTGAATACGACAAAAAAGGGCAACTGCCAAGGTACAAGAATATGCTAAGGTTAATTGATCGCACTGCTCGAAAGTTTTAGATAGACTAGACAATCACCAATTGTCAGAAGAAAGGGTATTAGGACACTGGCCGAGACCGTCCTCTGCACGCAAGGCATTGAGAGCGTTGTTGCGCTTTCTGCGGGCAAGTGGTCTTAGAGACAGACTGTAAATAGCGTCGTGGATCGTCTAATGACCTTCTCCCCCTTTTTTTTCTTTTTTTTTCAACGTCCTTTTTCTCTCATCCTTTATCCCCCTTACCTCCTTCCCCAGTACAGGGTAGCCAGCCGGTCTGAGAACTGGCTAACCTCCCTGTCCTTCCTCTTTCAATCCTCCTCTTGCTCGGTAAACTTGAAAGTTGGGCGAGTTTTGGCGATGGTTGATGCATACGATTGTTAGCGATTGTACTGTTGTTGAGTACATTTTGTGCCTTGACTCCGTGTAATGCTTCGCACGTAAACATGTATCGGACTGCTCAGATCAGAATTAATAAATTCATTGAGTTCGTGGAATGGGCCTGGATCACGACTAGGTCGTTGGGCAATAAATAAATAAATAAATAAATAAATAAATAAATAAATAAGCAATTGATCAAGTAAAAATATAGCGAGACGCAAAGCAACACGTTTGATTACTTCACCAGGATTTCAAGCCATTCGAAATAAAGTGAAAAGAGATGCCATTTTCACAGTTCATACAATTCAAATATTTTAATTTTTTTGAGGCTTATCCTCGCCGCTACCACTATCATCACGCATACAGATCCCCTCTCAGGGATCTGGCAGTTGACCTTCACGCTAATTCCTGTCCGAACTGTGCGTCAGTCGAATTTTTCCTAGCGTCGTACAGACAGAAGTTCAGCTTTCTTGAAACAGTAGTGTTTTATTAAAAAGTCTGTAACAGTGCTGGACAGCTTAAAGTGAAGCTGAGCTTAGCAAGTAACCACCTACTGCGACTTTTCACCGGAGGGAACTGCACACCGACATCCCTGTGGTACGGCAAGCTTGCTTTTCTGCAAGACAGGTATGTCTTGCGAGAAGTACGCTGCGACGAGCGAGAAATTTGCAACCATTGTGTCAGATGTACTGCCATATAGCACGCAAATACAAAAATTCGTTGGTGGCCCAACGATATATTTTACTTACTGGAAGGGCACCCAAAACAAGTGCGTGTGTTTGGAGAAAAAAAAAAAAAGAGGGGGGGGGGGGTCGTGTAGTTCCTTCCCCTCTTTAGACGCCACCACTGCGAAACAAACTTGAAAAAAAAATATCTTAAATGCAACAAGCTATTCATCAGGATCTAGGTCAACTTTTTTGCCTTTTATTTTCTACTTTTTGCAAGCGCAGTTTCGTCGCAGAGTGCAGGGGCAAGGACGTTGGGCCAGTTGGTTTGGATTCGTGTTTTGAAACGGAGCAAGAGGCAAAAACACACGGAAGAGCACCAAACAATGCTCGCGTCCTCTACTACGTGTTTTCGTCATTTGCATTGCTCAAAACATGTACATAAGGTGGTTTGCTGGCATATTAGGAATACGGAACTTTGACGCATTTCCAGCTATCAAGCCAAACAGGAAAAAAAAAAGAAAAAAATCTGATGCCGGCAGAGCGCCGGGACGAAATGTTTTTTTTTTTTTTCGTTTGGTTTTAGTTTAGTTTTACCGCAAAAAGATCTGTTCAGTTTTTGTTCCGGTACAAAAAAAAGAGTTCTGTAACTGTTGGTAATGGTGTTTATTTGTATGCGAAAATTTAAAGACAAAGTAACAATAACTAAATTATATTGGTGGAATATATAGTTAGCTGCTCCCCCGCCCCCTTAACAAAGGAGGACAACGGTAAAACACGTTCTTTCCACGTTCTTCGGAGGAACTGTTGTAACATTCCCATGAAATGCTACCAGCTAGCACAAAACCCTTCCAAGACATAGTATTTATTTTCTCAGAAGCTAATCACGAACTTTTTGAGCAGGCTCAATGGTATGTGTCAAAGGAGTGAGCATCATCTCAGAAGCCGCACGTCATCAAGTATACTCTCTCACGTGCGAGCCCGTCGTTCCGACAAAAAAAAATAAAAATAAACCGGTACCGAGAAGCCGAGAAAGCACTGTGCACGTTGACCTACGTGAAAGTCCATTCGGGCTAATATAAACACCTCTGGTTGCCACATGTTTTCATCGTTCGCACGGTTTCAACGCGTCTTCACCCTGGAAATGACGCCTGAGGTGTGCGACAGTATAATGTATGTAACTGGAGATGCGCGCACATTATTGCTCACGTTGGACGAATCAGTCGTTCCGGATCGCCAAGTTTTTGTGTGTTTTTTTTTTGTGAACCGAGAAAAAATAAAAACAAAAAATTCGGTTTCACTCGAGAACGAAATAGTTAGATAACGTTTACGTTACGTTTATCATTCCGGCCAGAAATATAGTTTTTTTTTTCATTTTCATTTCATTCCGACAGATTGCATGCCGACCCGGAAAGAGAGAGTGCAGCATCCCCGAATCCTTCTTGTCTGCACGCGTTTAACCTGTTTCGATCGAGCGCTGGAAATGCATCGCCGCCATAGGCGTCCCTGCACCCCGCATTGCTGTTGGACAAGTTAAGCGCAGCAAATACTCCAATCGAGACAAATGGATGCAATCGGGAACGCATGGCAATCGCAACGATCACACAAAATGAAGCGTTTAACACGGGACCGCTTCGGGTGAGTCGCTGCGTTTTTTTTTTTGTTCGTTTATAATCACAGCAGCGTCGCTTCGCGAGCAGCAGCAGCGCAGAGCATTAAAGCGTTTTTTTTTTTTGTCGATGCCACTTTCACGAAAAGGATGAAAAATACTCTGGAACAATTTCAGAGCGCGTCATCTGGATGTTTAATTTGCGAGCGCCGAAAGGGGAAAAAAAATAACATTTGTTTCGTAAAACGTTCCGGCGGTGACAAAAGCGAGGAAATTAAAGAGCCTCGGGAAGCAGGGAGAATCGTGGAGGTAGAGGAAGAAGTATATAGAGGGATGAGTGGAAAGAGGGTGAAGAGGTAAAGTAATTTAGAGAGGGTAACTACAACAGAAGACGAAGAGGAGACATAGAGGGATGAATCAAGGGAGATTATAAAAGTGTGTGGATGTGAACAGGGATAATAAGAGACGGAGAAAGGAAGACAAAGAGGGATAAAACTGAGGGATGGGTAAAGAGAGAGTGCCAGAGAGAGAATAACTGAGAAAAGCCAGAAGTAGAGGGACAGGCGGATCAAATAAACTGGCATATATGAAAGTATAGATATGTGAATAAGGATAATGAGAGAGGGAGGAAGTTCAGAGGTAGAGGGGTAAGAGAAATGGTGCAACGAAAAGAGAGAGGTAAAGAGGTATACGAGAGGAGAGGAAGAAAGATGAGAGGACACCGTTAGAGAGACGGAAAGGGATAGTAAGCAGACGATGTACTAGACGTGGAGAAGAGTGAAAGATAGAGAGAAGAAATCGTGAAGAAAGAGCTATGGAAAAATGAGAAGAGAGGGATAGAGACAGATATGAACGAGAAGATGGGGCATAATGTGAGAAAAGGAGATAGACGGAGAACAGAAAGGATTGAAATAAACTTCATTTGTCCCACGATTACTGCTGCTAAGTCTATACGAGCAACTAAAAGATGAAATAAAAGAGATATAAAGAGAATGAGAGGAGGACAAAATGATAAATGTGTGTAAATGGAGAGTAAACAGGAATACGTGATAGAGGGATGAAAATAAAGGACAATATATAAGCGAATGAAAGGAGAGGAAACGACAGAGAGCGAGAGGGATATATAGACGACACAAGAGAGAAACATATATGGGCAACGAAATAGAGGGACAAAAGGAGGGAAACGAAAGAAAGAAAAAATAATAAAGACAACACTTTAGCGAGAAAGATCTTTTCCTGTCGCGTTTTGTGCCTGACTAGGCCCAGCGCAAAGAAATATACCCTGCACAAAGAACAAACCCGCGACCCACTTACATGGGTCGTTTAAAACCACGGCTTGTCGCATTGCGAGTGTTCCCTAGAGCGCTCTATGATGCTGCGCCGTTCTTTTCCCGGTTCTTCAACGGTAAAGGAAATGAACATCCGTTTTTTGTGGACTCGGGGTAATTAATCGACGACGGATGCGGCATGTATGGTCGCGCGACTGTCGGCTCGCTTATCGAAGGAATAAAAAGGTGAAACAATACACGACCGAGACAGCAAACGAGTTAAAATAAAGAAGAGATAGGAAGAAAAAAACATTATCAGTGATGTTAGAGCCGACGAGAGGAGTACACTAGGGAGTTCGTTAATCGCTCACACGTAGCACACGCGCTGAAGAAAAAAAAAGCCAATTAATTGTCGTGGTTTATCTGCATATTCTGTTAACGATACAAAACGCTGCTTAGCAGACCCAGAAATCAACGTGTTGCTTCGCGCGCGGTGAACAAGATGAATGAATGGTAGTGATAAGACTGTTATAAAGTTTTCGCAAACATAAATGCCAGGCTTTCGCCAGCTTTTTATATATATTTTGAGGACACAAAACGGGACGCATCGTGCGACGTACCACCTGTTCGCTTCAAGACATCAGTCGTCGTTGAAATTCTTTAGAACGGTATGTACGCCCCGATTATTCTCGCCATTAGAGAGCTTTAGTACTGCGGAATGGTGCTACGTACGCATCACGCAAGCGCCTTGCGTTACGTGGCGTGGTTTGCCACTAATTGGCTTTTAGTACGCCGTAGTACCCGCGTACATAACGAGCGTGAAGCGTGTTGCGCCATCTGGTAGATCAAAATAGAAGCACGTGTTTTTGACAGCCATTGTGAGCCAATCCAAGTGTTATAGCCAGATTATGGCCATACTTTAAGCCACAGAGCCGGTCGGTGCTTGCCTTCGATGCCGCCATTTTGCAAAACGAAGTCTCGCGCTG